AGGAAACGTGCTTCTCTAGGGAATGATTTATTTATCTCTGTACAAGAAGGCCGTGAGCATATACAGCAGCTTGATACACAGCTTAATGAGCAGGTTGATGAGCTTACACCTATGCCTCGTCAACGCGCTTCACCACGCTGTAGTGGCTGTGGGACTGTTGGGCATACAATAAGAAGCTGCCCTAATAAATAGCTAGTTATTTTGTCTGTTATATATTTTAATTCAATGGTGTTAGTGGTTGCAAAGCTTCAAATTCGTGGTGGTTGCGGAGGAAGTGGACGGGACGGCCGTGTGGACGGCTCGGCCGTGGATTACGTTATCACCACTGAGTCATAAATTTACTCGTAATAATTCTCTCGCCTTCTCTGCCGCTTTAGAATTACACTCTACCACTCCGTCCTTTAATAGAATTTCTCAGTAACCCTTCTTTTTTGTCCACAGATTGACCTCATAACTATACTGCAGATCAGTGGGTTCCGGGAATTCTGACAGGATCCACATCTTGCGGGGAGTGTTAAGCATGCCAATGCCATATACTGTACAGAGTACTGTAGACAGCAGAGAAGGCATTGTGCAGTGCATACAAGTATTTTACTGCATCTGAGGCATAGGGCTGTTTGCACCAGTCTCCTGACAATTGCTAGGTCAATCACTCCGGTGACTAGATCACTACTTACTATAGAAGAAAAGACGAGGTGCATCGTTGGGAAGGATTGTTAGAATCTTTTCTAGGATTTTCCCTGTTCCATCTATTCGAATATGGAGCGCTATATACATCAACACCAGCCAACAAGACCATAACCAGTACGTCTGCCTCTCAATCCTATACCTACTCCTCGAGCAACTCCGCATGAAAACCACCTTCGTAGCACCAGACTACCTAGTCCTCCTCAGGGATACCATAAAACGAGGCATCAGCAGTGCTCGACTGCAAGCAATGTCCCCAGCGGTATTTTTCAATAATACAAAATGTCATTATCCTTGGTGTCGTCTGCATGTGTGCTGCAGAGTGCTATGCGAGGATTCTCGAGGCGATCGATGAGGAAGAGAGGCATGCTTCTAGGATGGGTGAGGGGAAACAATTGGATATTTCTGGTGGGCTGAATGGCGTGGTTCCGTGTGACCAGACGGGCTCTTTGGATAATGGCATTCTTGTGTTATCCCCGGTCGATGTCAAGCCATCGGAATGGAGAGGTACAATGCGTAATATCGTGCAGGGTGAGATATTCGGTGTCGATGGCCGTCGGGAGAATTGTCTGGTATCGTTGGTCGAGCGGTTGGATGAGCGGCAGAAAAGTTGGCATCAGTCTTTCTATGTGTCATTATCTGGATCGGAGACCGACTTGTTTGATGCTTGTTGAGGATGTGCGGAATCTTATTGGTCATCTTGGTCTCTAGGTTGCTAAGTTTATGGCTCGGAGTAGGTCACAGTTCTATATATTTCACAACTGCCAACAAGGGTTCTTGGCAGCCACAGGCATTTTATAACATACCTACTTGTAATATGCACGCTTGATAGCGTTCCACAAGCCTGGCTTGCGTTCGCTGCCATGATCGCGATCAGGGACGCCGATCACTTGGCCGTCGAGACCAGTATTGGTCACTGCATTTTGCTGCTTGCCCAAGTAGTAGTCTAGAGGGAGTATCAGTAATGATACCTTGCAACAAATAGAACATAAGGGAACGGAAAGGGACTTACTCGGCATGCACAAAGAGAAAACCACAGGCAACGCAGCCAGAACCGTAGCAGTGATAAAGATAATCCCATTAGTACGCGTATACGCCCTAATAGCACCCATTCGAATCGGATCGTTCCAGTCGTAGTCGGTTCGAAGAGTCTTAATCGACCCATAGATCTCCTTCAGTGTTGTCTCCGATGTCCCCGGCGGACATTCCTCACGCATGTAATCCAGCATCTTCCCAGTCCAAATACCAGAAGCAATAGCATCTCCTACAGAACTACCTAAGAAACTCCAGAGGGAAAACGCAGCAATAACAGATGCCATGTCTTGGTGAGGCACGGAAGCCTGCGAACCAACTCGTGCACCAATCACAACAAACGCGCTTCCTCCTATGAGGATATGTGCGACGGCCAGGACGGCGGTGCTCTGTGTGCTCCTGTTATGACTGCCAATGCACATAGCGTGGCCGACGAGCTTGACCAGTGATCCAAAGACCATGAAACCTTTGTAACGGTGGAACTTGGCTTGTAGCAGACCGGCTATGGGACTGAAAATGCAGAGTGTGAGTGTCATGATGGCCAGGAATACCGTCCAGACGTAATTGGACCAGTTTTTGATGATATATAGGTAAGAAGAATAGTAGGTCTTTCCGGCGGCAGTTGCCACTTGCGTGAAGAAGCTGGTGAATAATGCAGCGAGGAACGCTCGATTTTTGATGATGCGTTTTGTCATGATGGGTCGTGGGGCGATGAACGCCTCGAATAGAATCCATACGATTAACAGAAACCACCCTACCACTTCCATGGCAATCATGCTATGGTTGGCCCAGCCGTGCTGAGCCGACTTGGCGAGTGTGAATGGGAGAAGAATCAGGGAGAAAGCAAATCCCAGTAGTATGAGACCTGCTAGGTCAATTTCCACAATTGCATCCCACGCTTGATGCGTGAAACCGGAAACATCCCAAGCCCATTTCGCTCCATCGCTCGTTGTTGCCATGCCGGCTTTGATGGCCTTGTGCTGCAGACCGTATAATGTCAAAATGGCTGGGAAGAGAAGAACCGGAACCATAATAGCAAACATTCCGAGACCCCAACGCCACTTGTCCGGGATAAACGAATCGGAGATAAAGCCATCAATAAAGGTGGTCACCAAGAACGGAGACAGCAGCATTCCGGACCAAAATCCACGCCATTGAAGGGTTGTCAAATCCCCGATAACGACTTCGCTGAGCAGATCAAGTCCCGACCTTCCAAATGAAGTCAAGCAACTACCAACAACATAGGCTGCAAGGTTGGTGCAGCTAGCGGCGATGGCAAATCCCACCGCATATGCCAGGAGCACAACCAAATACGACGTCGGTCGAGAGGTGATATCTGCCATTTTACCGATGAAAGGCTTCGAAACTGCATTTATGATCTGACTAGCCGTGTTGACCGCTCCAATCTGTGCGTGCTTACCGAAAGACGAGGTCGCCATGACATCGAACTGGGGAGTGATGCCTTGGCCCAGAGCATAGGCGAACATGGTCAGGCCGATGGAGACGACAATGATCCCGCGGAGGACCTTTCCTGATCGTCCGGACTGGTTCAGGACCTTGTTGAAAGCTTCTACCTTGCCAAGTGCGACATTGCGGCCTTCACGGATGCCCGTTTGTTCAGGGTGTTTCTCGGAATTATGGACATCGGGGCTTTGGGGCGTGGAAACACCGATTTCGTTTATCTCAATATCCGCATTCTTTTGTTGCGGTTTCGAGCCGGATATATCGCGACGCTCGGTGCTTGACATCTTATGGATTCGAATCACAACACGAAGAATAGAAGCTGAGGTGAAGAACCGCCAGATGTACCGTGGGGTGCCCTATTATATATCACCAAGTGGAGAAGTCGGCAATCGCCGACAAAATCCTTTCAGCCCTATGATTGAACTCTATGATAAGCATGCCGGCATCCGGCGGACAAATCACCCACTTCATAGCAAGTATATTTTGCCGATTTGGCCGACATGACTGTATTGAAACAAGTAGAGTCACCCGAACGCCGATGCAATTCCAATGCCGCAGATACTGGGTGCAATATCGACGGGAATTTGAAGGTGAATCAATGTTGAAAAATCTGCTAAAACAGTCTGCCGCTCGGTTCACCTATCTTTCAATAGATCACTCACTTGCACAATTCCTCGCTGCTCGGATAGACACGTTACGTTGATATTCAGGTGTTTAACCCAAGGGCATTGATACCCTCGGACGATGTTGTACCCGAGCGTGCTCCGTGCTATGCTCACCTCCTCACCATACTCCTTGATCAACATCACCTGTTTCGAGTCCTGCAGACCCACGTCAAGCATCATGCACGTCGTAACCGACCCATGATCCGTGAACGGAATGTCTTCGCTGCTTCGCATGCTTAACGTCGGGCACAGTTATCACTACTAGTGCCAAGTCCAAACTAGAAGTCTTGGCCATGTAGTTTATTCTCAAGCTTGGTGATCGACACATTGGTGTGGTGTGAGAATATATATTTAATATTTGACTTGAGATTTATGAACGCCGTCAAAATTGTCATAGAAGATAGGTAAATCTTTCCTCTTGCATATGTTCTGCCCCATGATCACCCATTAGAATCTCCCGCTCCTCACCACGAGTCTCCATTTCAATCTCCATACCATCCCCACTCCCTGATCGATTCGTCCGCTGTAAGATAATGCGTAGCGCAAACGCCAGCACAGCTACCAGGAGCATGGAAAACGAGCAAACCGACATGCCCCGTATATACCACGGTCCATCACTTTCAGGATACAACCTTGTCCCCAGTAGCGGGCCGCATTGGCCAATTAGATTTAGGATCGCGACGCTAGTACCCTTGCCTTCGTTGGCGACGCGGTTGTCCATCGTCCAGGCGAGGATTAAGCTGATGGCGGAGAAGAAGCCAGATGTGGCTGGGTAGACGCAAAGATAGCGGATGACGACGTGTGTTTTGGTTGAGAAGTGGGTGTGGAAGTGACCGGTTGCTGCGATTGCTAGGTAGGATATGGAGGAAAGGAGGGCGTGGGTGATTAGGTATGGACTGCGGGTGCGGTTGCGGTCTGAGAAGTAAGTGGTGACCAGCACCACGGCAAATGCGACGAGGAATGGAGGTGCCGATAGTGCCTGAGAGGCAAGAGATGAATATCCCATACTGAATTTGCGTGTTAGCTTCCTTGATAGACGTCCAGCGGTCGAAATGTACGTACTTCTGAATGATTGTAGGCAAGAAGACTGGCATGGAACTAAACGCAATATTGCAGCTGAAAAACATGAACTAAACAAATCATCAGTACTTCAGCTATTTGACTCAGTCGAGAAGATATACGAGCACTCACGGCTGTGACGTATGCCTTGGGGTCCGCCAGCGTTTTCCTAACCTCTTGCCAGTTGAATTTCTCTTTTTGCGGATCTCGATAAGTCCCTGCTTTACGGTTACGCTCCAGCCGTAACTCGGCTACCATCCTCTCACGAGGAGCAAGGAAATGGGCCTTCTCGGGCGAATCAGGAATCAATGCCCAAGCAAAAACAGCAACCACGACACTCGGGAATCCTTCTACCAGAAACAGAGTGCGCCATGGTGCAATTGGCCCGTCATGACTGAGTTTGACAATCACCCATGCCAAGGTACTGGCAAACGAAGTAGCCAGGGGAGCTGCGGAGATAAACAGAGCAATTCGAAATGCGAGCTCCTCGCGCTTGTAGAATAAGGATAAGTAGAACGGGACACCGGGACCGAATGCCGCCTCAGTAACCCCCAGTAACATCCTAAGGACAAGCATGGCCCCGAAAGATGTCGCGAGGGACTGGAACGACGCCACAAGACCCCAACCGCAAACACAAAGCGAGACGTAGATATGCGGCGGAACGAGGCGGTACATCAATGTCATCCACTCGAAAAGGACGTATGTGATGTAGAACGCGGTAAGCAACCATTCATATTTCCAAGATGGTATATCCAGTTCATCTGTCAGTCCGGCGATTTTCGCGTTTCCAATGTCTATCAGCCCGATCATCAGCGCATGTATCAAAATTCGAGTCGTAGGGACGACTGACTTGAGCGATCCAAAAAGGAGAGTAAATACAAGAGTGCCAGAAACGGTACCAGCTTGCGATCGAATTTCTTCACAACCTGCGCCTCTTCTGCAGCCGAATATTCCAATGAAGACCTCGTCCTGGACGGCTTGTTCTCTCGAAGTTCCGGCCCAGAATTATACCCATTGTAGCTCTCATCCTCGTCGGAGAATATCTCACTGAAATCCGTGTTATCGGCGCTCCCAAAATCCGTCTGCACCCTCAAGGATCCTTTTTCAGGGCGTCGCGAGTGCGAATAGGAGGGTCCGTCATCTGTCTTGTCCGAAACGGGGGTATATCGAGCGCTCGAGGAGGGCGTCGCGGAGTCGGAGGCGGAGGCAAACTCCGCAGGCTGGGGGGGCATGGTCATGTCATCTGTGACTGCGGTGTAGAGTTTTGAATGTTCTAGCTGTTATTATTTTGAGACATTATTGCTTTTAAACGTGTTATTCCTTTGCCATGCAGTTGCCATAACAAGGGCGAGTTTGATATGAAATGGGGATCGGGGGCCGGAGGTCCGGAGGAGTTGATTATCCGCGACTAGCGAGGTCGTATACGGAGAGATCCAGTTTTAACGAAGAGATTGATATATTCTCGTCTATTTGCTTGTGTGCGTGCTTTCGTGCTTTTGGACTCTCATATAGGCGAGAATATATCAATCTCTTCGTTAAAACTGGATCTCTCCGTATACGACCTCGCTAGTCGCGGATAATCAACTCCTCCGGACCTCCGGCCCCCGATCCCCATTTCAATAAGCTATCAGCACGTGAACTCAAAATCATGTGACATAAACATAAGATCGGGCTCTCCAACACTCTTTTAACTCTTAAACATTATTGTATGAAACTTAGATACAACACTGTTGCAATTGAACCCCAAAAGCCTTGGATTGTCAAGCTTTTCCAAAGCTTGTGTCTGTTATGTAGACAACCAGCAGACCCGGGATTAATTGTCATCACTACTACTCAGCGTGGGTCCCTACCTGTACGAGCAGTAGCATAGTCTAACTGAATACAGGCCAAAGTCAACGAGCTTGTAGAGTTTCGCAATGCGAAAGTGGATGTTCCTGATGTCTAAACCGAGCACCACCAACTTGGTACCACCCGACTTGCCATGAAGTTCTGGTAGCTAGCTATGAGTTTTCTGAGGGGCCCGTCCCCAGTAACATCCCACATTTCTCGGTCATGTCGACCTCATGGTAGCACTATCCAGGCCCTTTTGCGCAGAGAGTGTCATTTCCAGCCCTCAACAACCCCTGGCGTGGAGGAGCGCAACCCACTGCAGATATTCTCTCTCCTTGTTCGATGCAAATGGGGAGATATGGCAAGCTTCCAGAAATTATCCTCACTCTTTGAAAACAAGAAGTTCGGGGTCTCTTTCTGCCTGGAAACTGTTAGCCGTACGGCGGATCATTACAAAAGTGCAGAAACCTACTCGCTTGTGTGCTTTACCAGACATTCGGTCTTTTAGACTTGTCTTCCGAGAGAAATCTTGAGGAAATATAAGGCATACTTGAAATATCGACAATCATATAGAATGTATATTGAACTCTTCTCGTTTGTACTTGCTTGCTATTGTTGCTGCTTTTGGCATTCTCACGGCATGATCTCAATGATATCAAGAATGCTCATTTTCACACAGCTAGCTTCAAGCCTTGCTTGCATCTAAAGCCTTGGGATAGCGCAACTCCGCGAATGCTTAAGCAGCTACTCAGCGAAGGATTCTGTGTACGCAATTAGCTGCGTGTTCAGGACTTCCATGTAATATTGCTCAAACTTACCCTCGTTTTCTGCATCGGGTATAAACTGTGCATCAAAGAACCACTCCGATGGGAGGTTCTCGGTGAGCAGTTCACAATGCCTTTAGATGCTTTTTGGTCCATTTGGATCCTGACTTCCGCAGTTTGCGGTCCTGAACATGTCGGATTTTGTCTGGTAGTTTTGGTCCCCAATTGCGGCCTCGACTGGCTTTGGAATCACAATTCTTCGGTACGAGTGTGTCAGCCGATTCTACTTGGAAGTTTTCATTGAAATCACAAGTGGTACTGACTTGGGACCTCACAGCCTTCACGGAGTCCGTTGAAGATTTTCCTCAGAGAAAGGCACCCCCGATGTGGGGTCGAATTCAGCTACCAACGCTGAAAACAGTGTCATGCCAACTAGGTCCGTCACGACGACCTCGTGGATCTCTTGGAAGTCTCAACCAACCCTTCCGAAAATCCCTTCATTCGCATACAGGTGACCTTTATAACCTTCATCGGTCTTGGTTTTCTGGTTCCATCTGAGTGGAGTAGACTTCATTTCTTTGTCAAGCACTTTCCAAGCGCCATAAGTAGTGCGTTGCTGTGGTCTCATATCGTAAGCATTATTCGCTTGTCACAAGAGATGTCATTGTGTCACGATAGATCTTGAGAACATATCGTTGATGGTGATGTAGCAAGTGAATAAGGAAGCCATTACCTGGGGGGGTATTCTGGCATCCACTTTCCAAGAATACATACTTCGTCCATAAATAATTCTAAGGTGCCACGGCAGCCCGTTGAAGGTGCTAAAGACAAGGCACATGGGGTTCATTAGCGATGAGTATCGGTCTCGTATAGTTTCAAGATGTCCGTCTCAACTGGATCTGGAGGGAGGAGAAGTGGTAACCAGTGGTAAAACAACGTTGGTAGATATTCCAGTTCACCAACCTTGAATGTCATATAGGTACCCTTCGCCAGCTTGCAACTGATTTCGCACGGCCCTGCCAGTTGCACAATCCGGTGAATTGATGGCATTAATGGTTTCTGTTAGGGTGTTGTCACTGGGGCAATTGGTATCAGTGGATAATATGAATTAGTAGTATTGGGGAGTGTAGGCGTAGAAGAAACTAGAACAGGAAAACTCGAAGCCTTGAGATGTTTTAGCGATAAATAGCACCAGCAGAGCATCAAATTCTCCTGCGGACAAGTCATATATAAAGCATATATTTGCATAGTGAAAATCCAGCATCATATTTCAATTAGAAGAAGCGTGTACTCACAGAAGGTCAAAAGAGTATATTTCCAAATGACGGCGCTCCCAGCCATTCCGCCAGATCGAAAACCTTCGTTCACAAAACCGTCTTCGACCGTATCTCGTCGTTGCCGTGTCTCTTACTGGCTCTTCCTTGGCCTCCCAATTTGGGTCAGTCGAATTGTTGTCGGGTTAGCCAAATTCAGGTCAGCCCATAGACAAACAGGTAGTATTGACTTGGGGTTGGCAGGTCGTAGAAAACAGTGTCTACCGCCCACATATGTAGCCCATAGCAGTGAACTTTTGCAGAATGCACATCCTAAATAGTGATATTAGCCTTTGGAGAGATCCTCTTGACAACGCCGGGAAATCACGTAAAATCGACGTCGCGATGGGACGTTATATCATAGGAAGCGAGAGAGGTGCTCTACCATTGTCATCCAGAGTAGAAGGCCCCCTCTACCCAGATTGTCCAGCTCAACTAGTTTCGTTTCCGTCTCTGACACCGCTGTCTCGACGACGGCCGATGGCAGGGGACAATCATCAGCTCGCACCATAAGGTCTGGTGTCTTTTAAAGGTCAGAGAATTGCGCTTGAAGGAAGTCTCTCGCAGCTGTAGCCACTTAAATTAGTCTAGATAGTCTAAAGTTCGACTCGTTTTTGGATTGGGGATCAGGTAATTCGGGGCTTTCTGGTTGCTGGTATCTTCCTCTAGGTATTCATATTTGCACCGTGTAAATATGCTCGCCAGAATGGCTTCGTCAAGGCAAAGAACCAGCTGACTTTGGAAAGGCGAGAAGTGGGTAACGCTCGACAACCCCATCTCCATTCAAATCAGCACACGCTGTACATTGGAGTAGAGCGTATTCACTTACTATGTAACCGGGCCGTATAATAGGTAGATTGCAGTTCGCTCTTCGTAAACACATATATCCGTATAGGTCCATCACATGTATAGAAGCGCGAGATACGTATCTTCGCTCCAAAGTCTGGACTGATACTTGTTGCGAAAATCGAATATACACACGCTTGTGGAGGGATCTGGCTGGTCACCGCCAGAGTGGACACCATTAACGAGGCGCTGTCCCGGGGTATCTCGAACATTGATCGTATTATGCCGGGGTTTCAAGATGTCGGAGAGTATCTGGCTTTGCAAATGGAAACGGTATATATATCTAAGTGACAGGAGGCAGCGCTAGTTTGAGAGTGGTCAACGATGATTGGGCGTAGATATATAGACAGGAAGGATAGTATATAGGTGATGGCAAAGTGTTGTATAGGAGTCCAGGAAGAGAGAAGGAAGATTGTTGGAATATAGGGAAGTAGTTTGTTAAAAAAGGAGGGAGATCTTGACTGCAAACAAAGCACTCAAATAGATGTGAATACGCGCCATGTCTGCAAATGATCATAAATCCGAAAAACTTTCATTATCTGCATTGCATTGTACCGTAAACTTCAATCTGCATCTTCTCGCCATACTCCCACACTATCAAAAGCCATCGCCTACTTAGAACCAGGCCGATACGAATCAATAACCCTCCCACTCCTACTCCTCTTCTCCCCACTCTCCCCCCTCCTCTCTCTGTCCCTCTTCTTCCTGTCCCCATCCCTCTCCCTATCTCTATCATCATCAAAATGCCTCTTCCTTCCCCCCGAAAGCTGCGCCGCCTTATCCCGCGCATAATCAAACGTCTTCTCCAACTCTGGAATCAGTTCGTGGTCAAATAGTCCGTTCGTACGCAGATACAGGATCGTGTTCTCGGCCGTGTCGCGGAGGAAGCGCACGGAGTGGAGGGGTTCTACGTTGTCGCGGCGTTTGATGCGGTGGTAGTCTTCTTTGGCGCGGTGGTAGACGGCGAGCATGCGGGTTACGCGTTCGTGGAGGGGGTTGGAGGGGGTTTTGGTGGTGGTGACGGGGGTGGTAGGGCTTGAGTTGGGTTCGGGTTTGGGTGTTTCTTCGTGTTTGATGCGGGGGCTGGTGGGTTCCTTGAAGTCGTAGTGGGAGCGGGTGGTGGTTGTCGTGTAGGGATTGGATTCGGAGTCTAGCAGTGTCAGTAACGAAGCCTGCGAAGAGAGGAGGTAAGTAGTTTACCTCTCTTACTAAACTCATCATGCAGCGCAACATGCTTCCCCAATGCATCTTCCACATCCTCCTTCCTATCCAACCCTAGAAACTCCGTCAAATACAACTCCACAACCCCCGTCTGAATCGGATAGCACCCCTCCACAGACAACTCCAGCAAAGCCCTGTCATAGATAGTAATTTGGCCATCTTCGAGTGCTTGCGAGCGGCGCTTGATCAGAGAGATCTGGCGGTAGAGAGCGTTGACTAGGAGCGCGTATTGGTCGGGTTTGTGGAGGAGGTCGAGGAGGGTGGGGCTTGGTGAGGCTTTTTGGTATTTGTGGACGAGGGAGTCGACGAGGGCTTGGAGAGGGGGGTTGGAATTAGGTTTGGGTTTGGGGGGTGGTTTGCGGTAGGTTGGGGGTGAGGCGGGCATTTCGTTGGTTTGGGATGGGATGGAAGGAGACAGGATGGTGAGGTTAGGTTGTTGTTTTTGAGATGGGAGGAGAAGCATTTGGGCTATCTTTCTACAGAGGGGGTGAATGGCAGACATAGCGAAGAGTGTGATATTCCAGTGAATGTTAAACATGTTCATCGAGGATAACTCGGAGTGGCTATTTGCAGAGAAGCTAGCCCTGTCATTATGATTATGTTTGGGAGTAATCAAGCATAAACCACAGTCGTTATCGTATGCAAAGACAAATTCAATTTAGTGCCCATTAACCATAATTCATCATCAATCATTAATCGAAAGCAGCCTGGGAAATCAATTATTCCCCTCGTATCGCTTCTTCACCTCTTCAGCAAGCGAGGATACTTTGCTGTTCTCCTCATCTTTGCCGCAATCCTTCCATGACCCATCGTCCCGGACGCACCAGACCGAATCATCCACTCGAACGGTGCAGCTGGTAGTCACGCCCAGCTCCGCACTATGAAGAGCACTCTTCCGGAGCAATGCAATACCGCTGAGCGGCGGGTGTTGACCATCACCGGGATCATCTTCCTGCTGACTTGCGCATTCATTCAGGGAATGGAAATCGATGCCGTGCTCCAAGGCACATTGTTCGACAAACTCCCGCTCGGGGATGCGGGCGTATTCGCTGATAAGGCAGGTGGCAAAGCCCAGGGATCGAATTGTAGGTGTGCGAGGGGTATCGGGGGTGACTTCGCCGGCGTCAGGAGGGAAAGGGAGGTTTGCAGCGCAGAGGATAAGGATGTCGCCGATACACTCTTCGGGGCCGTGTTTGCATTCGATTGCGGAGGATTGGTTGGATACACTAGGACCCGAATCAGTTAGAGACTAATAAATGGAACTCCGTGAAAGGTGACTGCTCACCTGGCGATGAAATCCAGGTCAAAATCCACCAAATCGCTGACTTGCTCCATCGCCGGCACAACCAGCTGCCGTAGACAATCCCGCGCGTCCGGGCATTTGCTCATGACGTGAGCTTGCAGAGGAACCTTTTGATTGTCGGACAGCTTGGGCTGTGATTCTGGACCTGTGGAGGCAGACCGGAAGAAATCATTTTCGCTTCCAGTTTCAGGGAGTAGCTCGTTGATCCAGACGTAGGCGCAGAAGCAGAGGAGGAGCGTGGCCAGGCTGCGTCCGAGACCTGCAATAACCCGGTGGCGTCGCGGCGGTTGGGATGGGACAGCGGAATCCGTCGTAGGGACGTCGTAAGCGTGTAATGGAAGTTTTTCCATAATGACGGTTGTCATTTATTTCTGTTGTGGGTATGCTGTTGTTGGACAGCGGGTGGTTGAAAGAGGGAGAGTTGCAGTGGTGAGATCAAAGACGTTGCGGAGAAAACACCTGACGCCAACCACCTGCAGGCAGTTTGGTTAAGATTTCAAATCCTGAGGTTTCGCTGCAGACTGGATCGCAATGTCATCTACGTACTAGAGGTTGCTTTGCATCGTCAGGTTGCATCGCTGGAGTAGAAGTATACAGCTCTCTGGAGTACTAACTATGTAGACGATGGCTGCGATCTACCCGATCGGGAAATGCAGCTCTCACTGCTCGACAGTTCGTTGGTTGACAGCAAAGAGTCAGAAGTACAGAGTACTCTGTATATTCATACCGTATGCCTACTATAACTACCATCCTAGTCTTTCTCTGCATTCGCCCGTCCAGCGTCACATCGTCTCGTGCCGATCAAAGGTCGCATCAACTGTTGTCCTCCGTCTTCTCCGACATCTCACTTGTTCTTTCACCTCTTTTGCTCCGTTTCGTTCTTAACTCTTCTCTGTCTCTATTCTATTCATCTAGTATATCATAATTCTATCTCTCTCTTCTCCATCTTCTACCTATAGCGATATCGCAACCCCGATCTCCGGCTGGTCCTGATCCGATAACCGATAATAACGTCTTCGACGCTGTCCATTGCGATATCCGTCTAATCATCTAATTCCTGCCTTCTTTTCTTCACTCGTAAAAGCTCGAGTCTATCGGTAACTTGCGACGAGATTCATTCCCGAGTTCCCCTCGTCGAATAATCCTGGTGCGTGATACGAGATTTGCGCTCCACATCGGACAGATCTACTCTGTGCCTTCCCCACGATCCTCCTATCCCCCTCTGCTGCATAATCTGTCTCAAGCCTTAGTAAAAGCGAGAAGTCTTCTCCTTGTCCCCCTGGCGGAATTGCGATTGCGCTGCATACGCGCGTCATTGCATCAACAACAATGTGGTTTCCCCGTTTACGGTTACAGTTGCTAATCAGTGTTGTATAGACCAGGCTACGGTATAATAATTACCACGAGTCCTTTACATTACAACGTCCTTTACGCAGTTAGCTGAGCTGGCAATCTCTATCGCGTCTTGCGAGACTCCGTTACTCCTCATCCGTTCCGTCGCATACTCCCTGAGCCAAGACCATTCCGCTGCGCAACAGGCAATTGGTCTGTCTATCTAGATAACGGCGCTGCGCCTTCACGAATCTCCTAAATAATTCTCACGGTATCCAGCAATCCTCTCGACTTTGATTCCGGGACTTCTATAATGGCATCAATCCCACCCATCCGCACAGACATTGATAATTACGAAGCGCATGAGCATCTGCATGATGAGGATCCAATCGAGGATGATGAATATGAGGAAGGCTCGGAGATAGATCCAGCTGAAAGAGACCGTCTGGCGCACCATCGGATGGTAGATGAGTTCCTGTCGCCTCTTTCTCTCGACGAGGCGGCGCTATATCAACTTGCACGGCGATTCTCCACGGTATACCGTCATCTTGCCTCGAAATCAGAACAGCAGTTCCTTCCGACTCCGGTAACCAGGCTACCCAGTGGTAATGAAACCGGTCGTTATCTAGCAATTGATGTTGGAGGGAGCAATCTGCGGGTTGCCTTTATTGAATTGCTTGGTGAAGCTGCAGATGCGGATATTCGCTCTACAGACGCTTCTGAGAGGTCGTGCGATACCATTCGCAAAGCACAGAGACAGCGGGTACGACGCACTTTAGAAAGAGCATGGCCCATCCAGGAACATCTGAAGTTAGATAAGGCAGAAGATCTATTCTCTTGGATTGGAGACTGCATTGCAGAAGTAGTAGCTGAGAGTTTATCCTCAGATGCCATGAGAGGTAATGTTCCTCAGGAATTGGATATGGGCATCACCTTTAGTTTTCCAATCATGTGAGTGTTACTCGATGAGGCTCCGGTCCTGTTAACTAATCGACAGCAGGCAAGAATCTCTTGCAGAGGCTACGCTCATGCCAATGGGTAAAGGATTCGCCATGTCGTCTGACCTCAACCTTCGTAAAATCTTATTGAACGGGTATGAGAAGCATACGAGACGCCTAGGCGAAGATGACGAACCTTCAAGTAAGCGTCGGAAGCTGTTTTCCTTGCCCAGACTCAAGATCGCCGCTATCACAAACGACACAGTCGCCACGTTAGTGTCACTTGCTTATGCCGTGAAATCCCTGCCCAATAGCCGGGTTGCTATGGGCATCATTGTGGGCACAGGGTGCAATGCAACAATCCCCATGAAACTCAGTGCTTTGCACGAATCCAAGGCCAAACACGTACGCTCGACTAGTCCCGAGGCGGAGGAAACAATTGTAAACACAGAATGGACCATTTCGGGAGCAGCATCGCCATTGAAAGAGCTTGATATCATCACCAAATGGGATACTGATCTGGATCGGGAATGCGCGCGTCCAGGCTTCCAGCCATTCGAGTACATGACTGGAGGTCGGTATATCGGCGAACTTATCCGGCTTATTCTTTACGACTACATCACGAACCTTGCAGGGATTTCAGAAGGCGATCTCCCCGTTACTCTACTTCAGGCTTACGCTCTCACCACCACCTACATATCCAATAATGTGGCTCGCTCACGGTCTGACCCGGACCTCGCCAATGAACTGAATCACTCCATGCCCCCGCGCGAAAACAGTCAATGGAGTTGGGACGCAACCACTGCCGGGGTCTTCCGCAAGATCGCCAGAACAGTGCAACGACGATCTGCCGGTCTGATCGCCGCCGCCGTTGTTGGTTTGCTAGCATACGCGCGGGAGATCGAGCTAAAGGTGGATAGCAAGGAGAACTCACCGCAGAATTCTCAAGCCGCTACGCCCGAGTATAACGGCAATGGACATATGCCGTCCGAACTGGAAGAAGGTTCCAAATTCCAGGGCCCAATCGTCCCTGTTCTCACACCAACCCCGGCAGATTGGCAATCTGGCCCAGAGGAGTTAGTTGTTGCTTACACGGGTGGTATCATCCAGAACTATCCCAACTTCAAAGAATCATGTCAGCAATATATCGACCGGCTGATAATGAGGACCGGCCCGCAGAAAAGCGGGAAATCGGTGTTTCTGCGAGAGGCATCGGATGGTGGAATAATCGGTGCTGGGGTGTTGGCCGGGATGGTGGTCGACAGTTAATGCTTTCTTTTTTCTTGCTTATTTTTGACGACGTAATGACTTTCAATGATGTATGTCTTCGGATACTGACAGCGGTGGTTTCTCTGTTAATGTTTGTTTATGTTCTGGCATAATTTTATGAAACTTCACGATTTAAGTGTGTCTAAGCTTTCTTGGCTTCTCCGGATCCTCGGTCCCTAGTTTTTAGTATACCAGACTTCCTCCATGACCTAAAGACTTCTGTCTTGCTCACGCTGATACAAAACGCCAAGACTGATAGCCCAACGTTCCCTGTAGGGATTCCATTCTTACCTGCTTCAATGTAGATTTCCTTTTTTCACAGCTTCCAACATAACTAGTGTACATTCTCGGCGTCGGCGTCGGTCTCGGTCTCTGGCCGGAATACGGCACCGGAGTTAGTGTTACACTAATTCCGATTGCATTTTTTATATATGTGACAGTCCCGGTCAAACTCTGAACCAAATTATCCAGAATGAAAGAGGAAAATTCCAACCATGCGTCAGGGTCGGATACTCCGTCGTCGTTGCCCAGCGATGGAAAACCCACTGGGGTAGATCTGGAACAGGGAGAGCATCCGGAGGTGAAAAATGACCGACCAGATAATGATCCATATTTGGTACGTCTCTTTATCCTGACTTTATGGATCCTATCAGTAACAATAGAGCAGGTAACATGGAGCGGTCCCAACGACCCCGAAGACCCCAAGAACTGGTCTTATAGGAAGAAATGGGCCGCCATAATCACCGTCTCTTGTTTCACGTTTATCTCGCCTGTGAGCTCGTCTATGGTAGCGCCGGCACTGTCGACTATTGCGGCAGAGTTCAATGTAGATGATGAGGTTGTCTCGCAATTGATGCTGTCCATTTTCATCCTGGCGTATGCTATCGGGCCGTTGATTATGGGCCCGCTGTCGGAGATCTATGGACGGGTCATTGTGCTGCAGTTGGCGAATCTGTTCTATTTGGTGTTCAACATTGCTTGTGGGGTTTCGCAAACCAAGGTGCAGATGATTGTGTGTCGGTTCTTTTCAGGTTTGGGAGGAAGTGCGCCGCTTGCTGTAAGTTATCTGCATCCATGCTATCCATCAGAACTAATGACGTCTAGGTCGGCGCAGGCCTTCTATCTGATTGCTTCAGAGCCGAAGAACGCGGCAAAGGTATTGCAATATACAGCCTCGCCCCCCTCCTAGGCCCAGCCGTAGGCCCAATCATCGGCGGCTTCATCACCGAAAACACAACCTGGCGCTGGGTCTTCTACGCAACCTCTATCGCCGACGGCGTCATCCAAGTCGCAGGCCTCTACTTCCTGCGCGAATCCTACGGTCCCAAAATTCTGCACCAACGCGCAAAGCGCCTCCGCAAAGAAACAGGCGACAACGCCTACCAGACCGAATCCGAGCGCCAGAACAAAAGCCTCCCCCAACTCCTGCGCGTCTCCCTCGTCCGTCCATTCCGTATGCTCCTCACCCAGCCTATAGTTCAGGTCATCGCTGTCTATATGGCCTACGTTTACGGCCTCATGTACCTGGTGCTATCAACGTTTCCATCCCTCTGGACAAGCCCGGACTACTACAACGAGTCCATAGGAATCGGCGGTCTAAACTACATCTCCCTAGGCCTAGGCTTCGTAATCGGCTCCCAATCCTGCGCGCGCGCAAACGACCGCATCTACCGCCGCCTCAAAACCCACAACAACAACACCGGCAAGCCCGAATTCCGCGTCCCCCTCCTCTACATCAGCTCCTTCCTAATCCCAACCGGCCTGTTCATCTACGGCTGGACAGCGCAGAACCACACACACTGGATCGCGCCAAATATTGGCGCATGCCTGTTTTCTATAGGAAACATCATTTCCTTCCAATGCATGCAGACGTTCATGGTCGATTCGTATACGCGGTATGCGGCGAGTGCGTTGGGGGCGGCGTCATTTTTGAGGTCGATCTGTGGGTTTGTGTTTCCGTTGTTTGCACCGTATATGTATCAGGCGTTGGAGTATGGGTGGGGGAATAGTTTATTGGCGTTTGTGGCGATTGGGTTGGGGGTGCCGGCGCCGGTATTTTTGTGGTTTTATGGGGAGAAGTTGAGGATGATGAGTCCGTATGCTGCTGGGTAGTTCTCTCTTATTTATATGTGAAACCTGGCTGTGATACATAGATTACTTTATAATAAACAAAAATAGATAGTTACAGGAGTATGTTCTTACAATCCATCTCTGACTTAGGGCAATACTCCACACCCTAATCTTGTCCACTAGTCACATCAGCCCCCAGCAACCTCAACAGCCCTCCCTAAATCCCTCAAAAACAACCAGTACCCCTTCCCCTTCCACCCCCTCTCCCTCCAATCATTAGCAGATTTCGGAAAATACTCAAGAATATCATACAAAGTCGTATCATGCGCCGCAATCACAAAAACCCTCGGATCGGAATCGAACTTCTGCACAGCTTCAACTGTTGCCCGCGCCGCGTTAAGATCCACGGCCATAGTTTCTCCAGATTTAGTCTCGGATATGGTGTGGAAGGGGACTTTGTTGGGATCGTTGGGGACTTGGTCATAGTGTTTATGGTAGTGATCGGGGATTTTGGAGCGGTCGTTGAGAGGGTGGACTGTGTGGAATGTTGAGCAGGGACAGCTGAATCCTGGTAATTTCAGGGAGGATGGGAGAGAAGCACTATTGCCATCGTGAGGCCGTAACTCAGATACGTGGTGGAATGAATCGCCCGCGAAATAGATGAAGCTGTCTTCGGTTGTGCGCGCTAGGGCATTCACATGGCCTATTGCATGTCCTGGTGCGGAGAGGAGATAGAAGCTCCCATCTCCGAAGTAATCTATGGCTTTGAGTGTGCCGATTTCAAGGCCTCGAGTGCTGAAGTCTAGTTCCTGCACTTCGCGGCCTTCGAACTCACGAGACAGAACCGGAGAGGCCTGGTTTACTGGGTAACCGGGAAAGTAAGACGTTTTGACCCCCGGCCCGACAAGGAGGGATGTCGATGCTGGGAACAGAGAAGGACGACCAACATGGTCGAAATGCGCATGACTTTCCAAGCCCCGTTAGCAATACCTCCCCAGCACACCCCCGAAAGACAACATACCTCCAAACAACAGCCTCCACACTCCCCAACTCCACACCCCCCTCAACCAAAATCTCCGAAACATTCTTCTCAATATTCACATATCCCCCAAAATTCTTAATAATCCTGTTTGTACTTGGAGGAAAATCCCTCTCCGGATCTTTGGGACTACCGAGGTCAAACACGATTCTGCGCTCTTTGCCCGTGGCGGGGTCTTTGTGCGTGACCAGGAATGCATAGCCTATTAGTTGGAAGGTTTCGAAGCCCGCGATGGGAGGGCCCATTAAGGGGGCTGTTGGGAATTGGGCGTCGAGGGTTGTGTCGATTATGGAGACTTGGACTTTGGTGGGGGAGGGGGGGATATTTATTGTAGAAGTGTTTGGGGAAGCCATTTTGGTGGATGTAGATGTTGGTTGTATGGACAGGTTGAATTGGGGTTTTGGGTTTGGCAAGGCGTTCTGGCTTTTTATGTTCGTTCCTAAGTGCCCCTCATCTGTGCAAATATCTCCGTGGATTTTCGTGATTGACATATGTATATTAAACGGTTATCTGATGTTCGTGCCCCCGTTGTGATATATCTCAACTATATCTGGGATGATATAGATTTAATGCATCGATATTATATTTATTTGCTAGTATATAACTACTTTATTGATCAGAACCCTCTCAGCAATGAGATGCATTTCCCACAACATGGTCGTATTATGCCCTATAAAACCAACATATCGACTGCAAAATCCTCTTCACTTGAACCGGCAGGCCGATGAGAGAGATCATTTCCAGTCACAAAAACCGGTTGACCAGCTGGTTCCTGTGAGATGAAAACTCGCTGAATGGCTTCAGCCACTGTTTCTTACTTCGTCCGGGGGAATGCTGGCCACATAGCCATCGGTAATATGTGGCTCCACGCCACCATCTGGCAAACGCGCGTTTTGTCTTGTCAGGCAAGTCTCACTTCTCGACCTGATATGCCTCCTAGTTTGACGGACGGCAATCGTTTTGATGGTTTATATATATCTTCCACCATCGAGCGGTTGGCTGGCAAAGGCTTGGGGCGGTACGACTGGTCGGCCTTCTTCCTGCGGCCATTGGACTCTTTCTCAGCCTGCCCAGTCATGTGGAGTTGGAGGTCAAGGCCATTCATGAGGACGAATTTGCGCACAAACATATCATGTAATGCCTCGTGCACTTTTTCATGCGCTTCGGTCGTCATCCTGATGAGGAGTAAACTGAGCGCTGGGATATAATCAGTATATGAATTGTAGAACCGCTTGTTTGACGAATATGTAAAGTCCTTCAGAAAGATTTGCTCGTTGGTGTCAAAAAATATAATGTACTGGCTTATATTGCCAGTTTTATCTCTTTCGAGCGCATGGTATTCACTGTTAAGGACCTCGCAGAAGCCCTTTTGGCCGGGATACTGATATTCACTGGTGGTGGGACTAACGCAGAATAGGCCACTCTGTCTAGCTGCTTTCACTGTAATCGTGTGGGATGAATTGTTCGAGGTGAATTTCAGTGTCTGATGCACAATGCTAAGGTTAGTGAGTGACTTCATCATTGCTCCGTACCTTACCTTGAGTTATTAGGGTTATGCACTACAGCATTGGGCCAAAATGACTTGAAGAATGGCATAGGTATGTTATATTACTGGGGTTAAGATTACAGCTTCTCTAGTAATTTCAGTATATAACTTTTCTAGGTAGCTGCCACTAAGTCATCAGAAACCTGATAAAATACATACAAATTACCAGACGATCAGATATACCGGAACATGTTGTTCCTAACACTCCGTTTCATGGTATTTGGCTGCCCATCCTCGTACTCAATTCCAGATGCTCCACCTTCACCGGACATTCGCTCGAGTTTCTCGCGAAGTTCCTCATCGGATTGACCGACGGACTTGGCTTTTGTTTGCTGCTGTTGCTGGGACCGTTGTGCATCGGCCGAGTCAGACGTTGAACTCTCGGACATGTGCTTGTTTAACAGTTCATTTTGATCTTCTGTTCCTAGTTAGCATTGCTCACTGTACTATGTCAATAACTGAGCATACCTTTCTTAATGCTGTCTGATAATGTTTGCGTTGTCGATGAAAATGGCCGGGCAGTGTTCTTCGGTACACATTTTGATGCGCCTCGCACCAAGGACAATAATTGCGTATTCAATCTCATATTGACCAACATATCTCGAGTGTTGTTCGATCAAATCCAGAATCGCCGTGGCGTGAATTAACTGATGTCACTTCCTGCCTCAGGAACAAGATCACGTGAAGCAGGGTCACGTGTGATCACCGCCGGGGTCCATTTCTCCAAAGGCAAGTGCTCCATCATCCTAACACCTCCCCACCATCGCGGTCTTGTCCATCAGCACCGTCACCATGAGCGCGCCGGCGTACTATGAGCTCTACCGTGGGAGCAGGTATGTCGCACATCCGATGCGAAAGCGATAACTACCCCTATGTTTGGATGCGCAAGGCTGACTCAGATCCCCCGTTAGCATTGGTTTGTCTCTCACCGATACGCTCGACGACCTGATCAACGAAGGCCGGATCGAACCCCAGCTTGCGATGAAGATTTTGTCGACGTTCGATCGTGTTATCACCGAGGTGCTGGCGGATAAGGTTCAGGTTAAACTGTCTTTCAAGGTGCGCTTAGCTCAAAGGGGGGGGGGGGGGGGGTGGTCTGCAGGAATGATCAGGGTAGGAACAAAGGCTGACATGTTTGACGGCAATAGGGACACCTGGATACCTACCGATTCTGCGACGAAGTCTGGACATTCCTTATCAAGGACGTCAACTTCAAACTGGACAACCAGAGCACTGTCTTTGCGGATAAGGTGAAGATCGTCAGCTGCAATAGCAAGAGGCCTGGAGAGGTTTAAACTGCGTCGGAAGCAGACTGATACCGTGGCGTTTTTCGGGCTTTTCTTATTATTTGTTATTGTCTTTGAGGCTATGGGTCGCTTGGGACAGATTGATTAGCATAAGGATTTCGTTGGCGTTTTGATATAGCGTTGTTTTGCTTTGTTTTATTGTATTTCTAGTCTTTGGGAAAAACCAGATACCCAGATATTATCTGAAGCAGACTGCAATAAAGATGATTTATAGCGACTCTATAACTACTCTGTAGAACATTCTCATAACACTTCCTGATTGAGTCATGCGGAGCGGAACGTCATCCGCGGTCCGATTTGATCTTCAACCGCCGCGACGTGACATTCAACACTGCAGAGTACTGCTGTAGAAGTCACGATGCCACGGACTTTGCCGTGGATAACTAGCGACAGTGGAAATGGAGGAACGAGAGACGCCAAACGAGCGATAAAGCTGCAACCAGATTCCGACTCCGACTTGGATCGCACGCCAAAAGCCACTAAAAGGGCTGCTAAGAAGGATATCTTTCGGTCTTGTGAGTACCGGTCACTCCCTTCTGGATATGCGATAACCTGTTTACTGACGCGCTTCCTCAGCTAGTCCTCCCGCACAGCCCATCCGACAATGTCCATCCGAAGAGTGAGCAGCAATGACCAGAACCCGTTTACGACGATCCTTTCTAATAGTGACAACAGATACCTAATCGAAGGCTTCGACAACGACGACCTCTACATGATGGTCGAAGACGAATTCTACGCCGTCGCGCAATCCTTCACCAAACACCTCCACTTCGCAGAATACGTCCGACAAGCCAAAGAAGCCAAATCGCAGAACGCATCTAGAATCCAGGACCTCGCGCGCCCCACGGACGGAGTCACCCCGATGAGCGAAGAAACAAAGAAGAAGAAAGGGGCAGAAAGCCTAGCTGAGAGACAGAAGAAGGGTCTGGGGATGTTGGAGAATAATGAGAGGTCGCGGGAGGGTAAAGAGGAGGATGACGATGATGTGTTTCAGGATGGTTCTTGGGCGGGGACTTCGTTGTATGATCTTATGATGAGTCCGAGGAGGTCACGGACTTTGGTGGGCGCGCAGAGGATTAAGTCGTCTACGAGGGCGGCTGCTGGGTTTGTGCAGTCGTCGCAGAACTCGAGTGCTGGCGGGATAGCTGTTCCTGGCCTGTCATCGTCGCCGCTGGGTCGCACGGAACAGGAGCTTCGGGGTTCTATTCAAGAAACGGCGTCTGAAGATGACGATCTGGAAGTACAACCGACTACGGCATTCAAGCGAAGAATCGAGGATATCAGAACACCAAAGACCGGGAAATCAGAGGAATCCATTACACCAACACCAGCACGTTCTATATCACATGCACCGAATAATACCATCAAGAAGCCAAAGCCAGAAATGAAACCAATACCAACACCGACACCGTCTATCAACACCGCTGGAAACAAAACAAAACCGTCACCATCACCGTTTAAGCCCAAACCAAGGAGAAGAATGCTTTTTGATGATTTCGACGAGCTTCCAGAGCCCGCATCCAATATTTCCATGCAAGAACAGAAAAGAAAATCGTCGTCGTCGATAGAAAAGAGTGCAAGTGGACGTGAGGAGAGCAAGAAAAAGTCGCGGCTGAATGAAGTGCCAATGTTCGTGCTATGAGCTGCTGCGGAGCGAAGGTCGCAGACCTTCTGCTCATGTTTACTGTAATTCGTCGACCGCGTGGGACATCGATTAGAGGTCGTCATTCGATCGAGAGAGCCGGCCGCTCATCCGCCGAACGTGGTGCCTGAACTTCTCTCGTGCGGATGGAAGGTCGATAGTCTTCATCGCACTGTCATTGTCCGAGCCAAGACTGTGCGATGTCAGCGTGCTGCGACAATGTCAGATCCATGATTCCTATAAAACTATTGTTGAGAACTTACTCATCATCCGAGAAGAAGACCGGCGTCTTCTCTTTGCGAAAGTTTGTTGGGTGTCCCTGCGATTCATTAGCTACGGTCTTTGAGTTGACTCGAGGTGAGCGACGTACAATTTCCAATCCTTTCGGTGCTTGCTTGCGCTGGAATGGGGACTTGAGGCAACGGCCGATTTGTCGGAAACACTCCATGTTATGGATGTCGTGAAATCGGCGGTGTTAAAGATCGTAGATAATAATGAGTCGTGCAAGCCGGTATTTATCAAAACAACCAGGCGAAATCAGATCAAAGCACAGCTGAAGAGAACGTCTTTATGGGTATGATAGCTCTGAAACGACGGATATACCAAACGAAGGACAATAGGCTCAAACACCTCTAAAAAAGGAACGCAGCAAAAAGAAAGAATATCGAATGTTCTATAACTCAGTCAGGAGAAATACACAAACACAGACCGACCTGAGGCCTGGCAATAGGTACCTATATACTACCAGTCAGCCAGCCAGCCGCCGCCATCCACGATGGGCAAATGACGATCTATGCACGCGCGCGCGTACCATATACAGATACAGAACATTCGCCGGCCAGGCTAACCCAGCACTGATCAATTACAGGCCCCTGACAATCCGTCACCAGCCTCGTATCGCCTGTCTTGTCCTGTCAACCCGCTTGATCTTCGTGTCGGAACGCACGTACTGTATTTGCTGGCGCGTCGGTAACACATTCCTTCTAGCCCTTGACACCTTCCCCTGGCGGCAGCACGGCCACTAGGCAAATGAAAGAAGCAGATCCCTTAAAAAAAGAATTCAGGGTCTCTTTTTTCTTTGTCTTTTTCTTTTTTTTTTTTTTTTTTTTTTTTGGTTTTTTTTTTTATCGCGTCCTTTTCTTTGTTCTCTCGCGCCAGTTCTCCACAGGGGGTGTCGGTGTCGAAAGGTTGTCGCGGGCTTGATATTGGCAGCCTCTCCTGCACATGCAGCCGCGCATACCTTTCAAAGAATCCAGACTACCCTCCGTACTCCATACCTGCACTGGTGGCACGGAGTACGGCAGTACAGTACAGGGATACTATGTATATTGCGTCGACGGACTCCTGTGGGTACAGAATACGCGCTACTCTATACTAATTCGGAGAATGAAACCGTTTCTTTTTCTGCAGTAGCGGTTGAACAACAAACGGAGGTGCATCATTAATTAATATTTTCTTTTTATGGAATAGGTCGCTTTTCTTGGAATAGTGACAATAGCGCCTCGTCTCGGGGCGACTTGCATAGGAGTGCAGCATATACAGTCATCTACCAAGACAATATCCCCCTATACGGAGTTGAAAAAGTATCCAGAACACTTCCGTATTAAAAAATGTCTTGCAATGGAATTCGATGATCTGTCTCCATTACTCACCTCTGCACAAGTCCCCTATCACTCCTTGCAGCACAATTATGTCACCTCAGACAGTGCAACAAAGACGCATTCCACAGCCTACCTGAAGAGAAATAATCTCCTAGGCACTACGAAAAGGGTAAACGGTGTCATTATGTTAAGTCCGAGTTTTACGGCGTACTCCGTACTCTGTACGGAGCTCTATCTCTACAGAGTACATTTAAACTGTTGTGTAACTTTCTTTGTACAACACTGCGCATCCGTTTAATCCCGTCCCCCTTAATGCTGCAGGGATCTCTGTCACAGCTTTAGGGATTTGAAGAGATCTCTCGGATACCCCGGACTCAACTGTCTAGAGGGCTGGCATGGAATGGTCGATCACACTTAACCTCAAATTAACTGTCAGTGCAAAGTATGGTCCGGGATGCGAGAGGTCCGCATTCCGAGGTTAATAGTTTAATTTTAAGAAAGAGGAATTGCTATCGATACCATACTGGACAAGGGAGGTAAGAGGTAAGTAATGATCGGTATGCGTCAGATATGTATCTGAGCATTCTTAGTACTGTATTGAAGCTCGCGTCTTGTTCGCGAGGATAGTGGTCGTGGAGAATGTTGATGTATTTCTGTCTCTGGTGACTTCTGATAATCAGTTGATGATCAGCTGATTTAATTTAATCAAGCAAGTCTCTGCATGCACTGAGCTTATTATAAGCCCGGGGATTGAAGATAAGAAATGCATTGCTTTGCACAAACTTCCACGATTGAACCATTGGGAGAGATTCTGTTCCCACTAGTACTAAATTATACCTGCGATCGCAACTAGCGAGACAAGTTAGTGCTTATGGTATCTGTCCCTGAGATCCCCAAGGGTTCGGCCCCACCAACGTCAGCTTCGATATAGTTTCTCTTATCCTCCTTCACTTCGTTCTCAATCTCGCGTGCTCCATCCGCTTTCTCACTCTTCAATTGCCCATGAAAAGCCGCAGTATACTCATCTGGATCCCATGCCTCCTCGGGACTCTCAGCATCCCCAAAGAACCGCGGGTCAATCTTCAACCAGTAAATAGCATCAAAAGCAAAACTATGCAGCACAGAATACACGATCCAGAAATCTCCACTCTCCCAGCTCTCCTGCATACTCTCGTTGAGAAGGACATTATTTGGTGTATCAGATGCTAGGGCTTCGAGATATGAAAAATTTGTGTTAAATGTAGCGTTTGCATCAGAAAGTTTTGATCGCGGCAAACACCCTCGTCGCATAAGATCATTCATATTCATCGACAAAGGCCGGCGTATCACGTCCCGGGTAAAATCATCGATCTGGCTAAGCGATCCTATCCGGGGCAACGAGGGAATGGAAAGCTAAAGCAGAATACCCGCCATCTGCCCATACAGTATCCCAAGCCTGTCCTGGTCGATATTCGGGTCCAAGATTCCGCGTTCCTCTTTCAGACACCCCGATATGTTGAGAGCATCGTACATTTTCGTCTCGTGCTCGATATAATCCACCATAATGAATGGGCTCAGTTCAAGGGGACTCCCCTTCTTCGTACCAGAATGGAGGATAAATGGAACAGGAATGGACGTCTGATCCATGAGAAACCGCATCACGGCAACTTCATTCACGACTTTCTCCTCGGGGCAAAAAACAGCACCGGGTTGCGAGAAGCGTACAACAGTAGCACCGTTTCGGTACTTCATCCGTAGAGAGATGTTGTAAGAGACCTTTTTTTTTTTTTTTTTTTTTTTTTTTTTTGAGTATGACGAATTCGGTGGTATTGTCTCTGTTGTGTTTGAGGATGAAGTCTGCGACCGGTCTTAGGATGTCGAGGTCGAGGAATTGAAGGAGCCAGTTGTCGGGTGTTTCTTCGGCTTGTTCCCAGGATATATCGTCGGGGTGCATTTGTAGGTGCATGTTTGCGTTGCAATCCGGATGAATAATGTGCAAAAGATTACAGTGGGATAGAGGAACGCCTAAGTTGCTTTTTATGGCAAGGCGTATTTGTGTAGTTGGGAAGAGGGAGGCGGGAAAAACAGAGGATGCTTCCTAGTGCGCCTCCTCGATGATAGGTCAGACCCCCCCCCCCTCCCCTAATATAGTGCTGTCAAGCTTGATAGTTTAGTTTTCATCGTTGTTTCCATTGCTTTGTCCATTGCTGTTTTCTGGTCTTGTTTTCATGGTGTCTATGCTCCTTTGAAGCTCCATGGCAATCAACGGTCCGACTCAATGAGGTATCATTTTTAAGGAATCGTGTAGTAGCTTCGCCGAAAAGTAAACGGGATTGTACAGGACTCCGCGCTAATCCCCTCCCTCTCTAATCAATTGACTTATTCAAGGATGAGCCTTGATATGGTGACTCTTCAACTTGACAAACTGCTCGAATCCGAAGCGACTCAACGTAACGCCCCGTCCGGAGTTCTTCCAGCCCGTCCAAGCGAGATCCTATACATGCCATGTTAGCTTTTACTTCAATTTACTCGGTCAGAGAGAACTGTGAGGAAATGCTTACCGGACTAGGATAATCCGACCGATTAATATAAACCGTCCCGGCTTCAACCCGATCAACCAACTTCTCAGCGCCCTCAATATCCCTACTCCAGATACTAGCCGTAAGACCGAACTCGCTATCATTCATATACCGGATGGCCTCGTCATCATCCTCAACTTTCATAATAGGGATAACAGGACCAAAGGTCTCCTGCGTCATAACATCCATGCCATGGTTGACGCCAGTCAACAGCGTAGGCTTGACATAGTTACCCTCCGCGGGTGTATTCTCGAAAGTCGCATTAGCAGGTGTCTCGTCCTTAGCACCCTTGGAAACTGCATCCACGATATGCGCGAGAATAGTCTCCTTCGCGCGCTTGGAGATAACAGGACCAACATGTGTCTTGGTATCGAACGGGTCTCCGACAACATAATTGCCCAGAACCTTCTTAACCTCCCCCACAAACGGCTCATAGATATTCTTATGCACATACACCCGCTCGATAGCACAGCAGCTCTGCCCACTGTTAAAAACAGCCCCGTCGACAATCTGCTCCGCCGCCCACGGGATATCCACATCATTACGCACATAAGCAGGATCCTTCCCACCAAGCTCCAGCCCAACATTAACAATCCGATCAACAGCAGCCTTCTGCACAGCAAGACCACCAGTCACGGAACCAGTAAAGCAAATATGATCCACCTTTGGTGACTGAATCAACCCCTCCAACAACGAAGGCTCGCCGCAGTGCACAAACTGAATCACATTCTTCGGAAGACCAGCCTCCTCGAACGCAGACGCAATCTGCTCCACGATGGTCGGTGTCTGCGGCGACGGCTTAAGAATCACGGCATTTCCAGCCAGAATCGCAGGGATCAGACTGTTAACTAGGATCAACCAGGGGTAGTTCCAGGCGAAGATGATAAACGCAACCCCGACAGGTTGGCGCTTGATGAAGCGTCTGAAGCCTGTCTCTTCTTCGCCGGGGACGACTTCGTTTAGGACGGTGTTGCTGACGCGGTTGAGGAAGTGGCTGCGCTTGATGGCTGTTGCGATTTCGACCGGGGAGAAGCCAATTGGGCGGCCCATTTGTTCGGTTAGTTCGTGGGCGAGAACGTCTTTCCTCTTTTCGAGGATGTCCATGGCGCGGGTCACAAGTTCCTGGCGCTGGGCGAGGGTGGTCGACTGCGAGAATGTCCAGAAGGCCTCCTGGGCGTTGTCGGCCACTCGCTTCAGGTCATCGGCCGTGACGCCGGCGCGAGTGACGACCGGCTGGTTCGTAGAGGGAGAGATGGTCGTAACTGTAGACATTGTGGCTATTCTGGTGATCCAATTCTGAGAGATATGTCCAGGTGTGAGAGGAGGGGGCGGAAGATAACTAGATAGCCCTCCCGCGGAGCTTCCCCGCTGTGGCGAGGTAGTGGCGGTGGCCGATTGAAAAGGCTTGATAAGGATCTGCTAGATAAGGTACAATGCTAAAAGATACAATTCCGGTTCGGAATTCATGATACGGAACGATAGTCTAGTAAAACAAAGCTTCAATACAATACAGGATTCTTAGATATCGCGCACCAAACGTGCCCCTACCCAGGCATAGGGGTAGTTATGCTGGTACCAATTCACACTGCAGCCAGTTAGTGACCTGCCAGACCTTCAAACACCAGGTGACTTACAAAGTTGTCCTTCCTGCAACTCGGGGGTGAGTAGCCCAAGAGCCACCCTGGATGACATTGTGCTTTCCGTCGAAGAAATCCGCTGCTCAAGTTAGCTCACTCGAACCTATATCCACGAGATCAAGCACTTACAAGTATATCCCGGGTAGATGTCCATCGACTTGAACCCGTCATGCGGGGCAAGCGGTGTGCTGGTCCACTCCCAGACACCTCCCATTTCAGACTGGCCGGCAAGCTTGTTACCGTTCTGAACGACGGGCGTCGGATGCCAGTGCTTGAACCCAACGTTGCAACCGTCGAGATCAACATAGACTGACTGAGAGCTCTTGCTATAGCCGTTTCCATTTGCGACGCCATTCGCTCCGTTGCTGTGGCCATTTGTCACATTGTGTTCATTTGTCACATTGTGTTGCCTTTCTTTCTTTAACTGAGCCGCGTAGCTGTAGATACTCCTAGCCTCCTCGAAAGTCGGGATCCTGCAACCCGTCCACTCAGCATACTTAGAAAGCTCACAGTATGAAGCGATCACCGGCCAGTCCTGAGCAAGCTCCAGAGGCACAGAGCCATAGACAGTGCGCACGGCAAAGTTGGACATGAAATCCTTCGTGGCAGCGACGCTATGTCCGTCGACTGCTTCAGGTATGGGGTAATCCCCATTTCCATGCGTCAGGAGCCAAGATGCTGGCACCTCACGGAGTCTGTTGGCTTGCAGGTATTTGGCATATTCGCCATTTGTCACAGGGCGGGCCTGTGCTTCGAATGTATGTACTGTTACAATCCGGGAGGGCTTCTCATTGTCCCATCCGAAAGAGGTCCGGGGTACTGCGCTCTCATCAGAGTCGTCCAGGCCAATGGTCAAAGTCTGTTCCGGGACAGTGAACCATTTGTTCGGCTTTGCTTCGTTTCTGGCATCGCGGAACATCTTCTCAAAGTCCGGCTGGCCGGCAGCGGGAGGGGGGAGCGTTCTTTCGCTCTGAAGAAGCATATAAAGGAAGGTTTCAAGGTGCATGATCTCATGCTCAAAGCCAATCCAGAGAGCCTCAGCAAGGCATCTGTTGTAGGCCAGATCCTCCTGCCCCAAAACCGATTTCACGCGACTCCTGACCCTCTCTTGGTAATCCAGAATTTCGCCCAGAGGGGGCCATTCGTCTGGGATTTCGCTGTGAGAATGGCATTGCTCAGGGTCTTCCACATCGGGGTCGATGCCGCGCTCAAAGACCAACTGATAGTTCTTCGGTTCGGTAGGTTTGCTTCGCAGCGCTCGAGTCAAATGGATATCTACGTGAGTTAATTATTACCCTCCCCAGTTTTTCTGCATACAGAAGCCACTTACCCGAAAAGGTGGGAATGTGTCCCAGATAGAAGATTAACGCATTCCGCAGCTTAATAGGCTTGGATAAGAGGTCCTCGCGAGGGATCATGGACTTTGTTGCAGTATCCCACGCAGTCCATAATGATTGGTAGTCGCTTAAACTCGGAATTGCGTGTGCAGCATACTCAGAAGACCGTGTTGGCAAGTCAAGCGCCGCGGACGAAAGTACGTGAATATCTGTCAACGAATCATAAGAGTCAGCATAACCATGCATGAATCTCATTGGGCAATGCATAAGAGATAATTTATGCCAGACATTCTTGCAGATAACCTGCAGGGCCACGCGCACCCCGCTGCGGGGTTCTGACGGCTGATGAACTTACGGTAGTCATCTGATTTATTCGTCAGTTCTGAATCTTGGATCAGACCAGCAGCTCTCCATAATTGATCTCGCTCCTCAGGGCCATATTTGGTCGCTTCTTCAAAGACAAGTTTTTCGCCTTTGAGCAGCGTAACTCCATTGATGGTGACATCCTGGGTAGGGGAGTAGAAAGCCTGGTGTTGTCCTGTGACAGCATCAAAATGGGTCACGATCTCCCACTCAGACGGCTTGAACGCTTCATATCCCAGCACTTCGTTCGCATGTGCCAGACCGTTTTCATAGAATCGACGAGTGACACCCTCCGAGTCATTATAAGCTTTGTACACTTTGTTCGGGTCCTTGCAGCCATCCAGGCCGATAATCATCACGTCAGATGGCGTCATGAGCTTAGCGAAATGTCCTAGAAATTCGGCCGCTTCTATACGACTGAAGTTCCCAATGGACGAACCCATTGACATAACCGCTGTTGGCCGCTTTCGATTCTCGGGGGCGCTTAGCCAAGTAACAGCATCGTCGTAGGTGCCATGCAGACCGTGTAATCCCACATGTTCGTATTCTTCGGTCGACACTTCGGCAAAGGTACGTTGGAGTTCGGACAAGGACAGATCAAGCGCGAAGTAGTCAACATGCTTGCCCGCGCGCTCAAACTCTTTGAGCAGGATCTCAATCTTCCGGAGATTCCTATAACTGTTATTCCGCCTGGTCTCTCCCGAGCCATTGGTAGAAGATAACTTACCCACTGCCCAACTCCAGCAATTGCGCATCATTCGGAATCCTCTCAACGAGCCTTCGAGCATTGTTGGTCAAGACCTCAATCTCCGCATTGGTCAAGTAGTACTCGTCCAAGTAGGTAATGCGCTCAAACAACTTGAGCCCTTCGGCGTCGTAAAGCAGCATGGTGGGCATTGACCGAGGTGTACCCTCGGGAGGGTCGATGCTCTTGTGAATATCATTTGCCAGAGAAAAGCTGACGTTGCTCTGGCGGATATCGACAATAGGGACATCCGTTGTTAAGCGCAGTGACGGTGACATTTTCCAGTGCGTGTGTCAACTAGCAATGAAAAGAAAACAGAGGAATTAGACTTCACAACAGAATTATATATGCAATTGGAGGATATGCCACTCTTTATACAACACACAGGATACAGGACAGGTGGTCAATCGAAAAACTCGAGTTCAACCCTTTCATTAAAACAAGCGGGGGTACAGAAAATCATGCAGCCGATACACAGGCAGCTCCAATCAACAGCAGGAATAGATCCACACGGAGTAAAGAAGGAGCCAGAAAGAAGAGAGTTAGATATTGAAGAGGGGGAAAGAAAAGTAGAGGAAAAGAATTCCGTACAGGGAAGGAACCAGTTCCGGACATAGCCAGCCAATTCCGAATGCAAACATCATGACAAATTTGGACCTTGGGTTGCAACGAGAACTTGTTCTACAAACATCCGGTCCGTTCCTGAAATCTGAACCGTCAGCTGCGTCAATACAATTGCTCCATAAATTTTTCAGCTGCGACATAAAAGAATGCTACCCTGTCTGATATCAGATTGGTAGTTGCCGATGCACAGCGGCCGGTGAAGCGTCCATCCCCAACCGATACAGGCATTTAGACCAGTAAGAGCCGGTGGAACACGACTTGCCATTGTTTGCAGCCCTCAATAGACTTTGCAGTGCTCCGCGGGATGGCGTTGATGGTGAGCTGAATGTGCAGACTAGCAGAAGCCAATGACGTTGGGGTTGCGTTGGTTGCGTTGTGTTTGCACTGTTTGGCTATGGGGCATTTGTCTGGTTTGACAGCTTTGCTTCCCATATTGCCGCGTTTGTCTTGTTTGTTAGTTTGTTCTGTTTGCGATCCATGGGTGGTTTAATTTAGGTCAAGTCTGTATCTCGGTTGGAAAACACTAAAAGTACCGGGTTCTCACCAATTGGCCGGATGGTGTAGTTGGTTATCACGTATCGTTAACAGTTCTACAGCTGATTCCGATAAGGTCCTGGGATCGAGCCCCAGTCTGGTCATTTCTTTTTGCTTTTTTGTTTGTATCATTATTTTATTTTTTTTTTTTTTTTTTGTCCCCCTCCTCGTTTTATACTCCGGTTTCTTGTTACTGGCCTACATCCACACCAACCTAGCAACCCCCATCCCTCCCAAACTCATCAACCCAGCCATCAACACGTTGACCCCATTGTTATCCAACCAATCCCTTCCGTTCTCCACGCGACGACTCTCATGCTCCTTATCGTGCTCCCGACCCGGCGATACTCCAACCGATGACTGCGTAGCCCGGCTGCCCCTCAGTGCTGCGGTGTTGATAACGGTTTCTGTCTGGCGCAGACGTAGGTCCTCGGATGAACCCTGTAGACCGGAGGACGCTTCGCTGGTGCCGCCTGGTAGGGATGAGGAGGGATGGACGAGAACCTATACGTTCTCATTAACTTTGCTCAAGGGAGATAAATGGGGAATAGGAAAGGGTACCTTCTTCCCACCAGTCCCCTCAACAACCTTGCCCGTCCTCTTATCAACAACACTAGCCTGCAATAATCCTCCCAAAACACTATCAAGAACACTCCCCAGCCCGCCCCAGCCGGTCACAGCCAGAACCCACACCAGCCGCTCCTTCAGATAAAGTCCATCATCACTGCCGGGCAAACGAAACGGCAATAACACCGCAGAAGTAACAGCCACCGTAAATGCCCCTAAAACACCAGCCTGCAGCCCCTTCGCTGTTACGCCGCCGTTTGTCCCCGGTGGTACGACGCGGAGGGAAAGGGAGGTAATCAGGCGCGGGGGAGATTTGGAGAGAATTCCTAGTTCGGAGGAGTAGGTGTCTGCTGCGACGGCGGCGTAGTTGCTATCGTATCATCATAGTCGTTAGTTTTCACATCATTGATATGCGGACGAGGGAGAGAACGCACGCGACAATCCCAACAACCACCACATCCGCCAAAGGCGTCACCCGTCCAAAACTAAACCCATCAAACCCCTCCCCAGAACTCTTAAGCATCCAAGTATGCCACAAAATCAAAACCGTCGCGACAATCGAGTTCGCCAGGACCTGTATGTGATTCCGTTGACCATCGCCGCCCCCGCTCCCGGTCGCGGAGAGTGTTTTGCTGGCTTTGATGTCATGCTTCACCTACTCCCATTAACTCTTCTTTTCAGATAACGTAGTAGAAACGAGTATCTGTACCTTTGTAGCCTTAGTCCCTCCTATATAAAACACCACGAGCAGGAAAAACGGCGCAGACCAGGGATGGACGGCGTGGGCGACAGCTGTCAGCGCGGCGGTGATAAGGCCCAAGGGTGTGAGAGACTTGCGGGACCAGGCGCGGTGGACGAGGAGGGAGATGGCTGGGATGGCGAGGATGGGTTTCATGTTGTATTTCTGGTGTTATATGCTAGTGGTGTTCAGATTGCCCCGGGGGCAGAGAGCTGTAGGAGGTTGAGAAAAGGTGGTGAGATGAGATCAGATGAGATTAAGTTATCTGGGATCTGTACATGTCGTACAGCACATACATAGTAGTACAACACACCAAGACATATCTATGTTTGTATTCATCTATTCATAACTATATACAGGGGTATCATTCGTAACTCATAACTGATGAACGTGGTAATAATTCATCATCTCGCTGCTTTCCAGCAACGAAAAAGACTCAAACCGCAATCCTCTTTCCACAACCGGCTTTCCCATCCTCGACAGCGAATCCGTCGCATTCGACACCTGCTTATATCCATCCCATAATGCGCGCCAGTAGCACGCCTCAGCTGCCGGTGTCAGGTATCGCTCCCGGAACGTGCGCACGTTGTTATCGGCGATGTGCTCAGCAGCCCCGGGGTTCTGGAGTAGGTTGTTCATTTTGCTGGGAAGATCGGAAAAATCGCGCTCGACTTCGACGTAGTTTTGTTGTGGTCCAGACGAGACCAGGAGGTAGTGGTAGTGTTGGATGAATTGGAGTTTATGCGCGAGCACGACGGAGCGACAGGCTTGTCGGTATTTGAGCGAGCCTGAATAGGAGCGACCTGTTTGAATCAGCCTCTATCCTAGAATATGACCCAGAGAAAAACTTACCTTCAGCATGCGCAATAAACTTATACCGACAATGATCCTCCAGCGACATGCAATTCTCCTTATTGCTCCAGTCCAACGCCTTGACATCGCTCCAAGTCTCATTCCGCGCCGTATCGAGTAACGCCCGTCTCAACTTCGGCGCAAAACTCAACTTGCCCCGCCACACCAGCTTCTTCTCTTTATCTTCAAAGCCCAGCTGAGATTCCATATCTCGCACCCGATCAACGGCCTGCGAATACGGCCCAATATGCTGCTTCCAGTGCTCCCAGGCCCAGAAACCGAAATCAGGCATTAACCACGCGGATTGTTCAGAGGCTTTTCGCGCAAGCACCCAGATTGGATGGCTGCCACCGTAGACATCGTCAACGCGATCTTCGACCGAGAAAATGAACTCGATTGTATCGGTTGCGCGTTCCGGACTGGCTGTTAACGCGCGGTGCATTGACGACAGCGCCGCTAAAATCTTGCGACGGTGGTCCTCATTCTTGGCCCGCGCAGCCACAATATACAACTCTCCATGTTGGATAATCGCGCGTGCCATCCCCGGCTCCAGTGAAACAGCATCCAAATCCTCCTTCGTAATCCCTCCCTGTGCGCGCCAGTAATCTCCAGCACGGACGATATCCTGAAACAAACCCGGGAAAGCAATGTGGCACTGTTCCCGCCCCAGACCCACGTTGCGATCGTCGCGGCCATACTCGAATCTCCACGTCAACAAGGTAGACTGCTGCTGCTGTTGGTGCTCGTTTTCAACAGGGGTCGGGGCCGAAGACGCCAGACAGGTTAGACAGTCGGCGCATTGGAACGTCGTCGAGGTTTGGCAGTTACAGTGGCCGGCGGGAATCATCTGGGTGATTAAGGGGTGTACATTGTCGCGATCTGAGTTCATGCCGAACCACATGGTGAACATGACGATGCCCCAGAAGCACATCGTGGAGGTCCAAAGCATGCGTTGTAATGACCATGGGTGGCGGGTTGGGTGGCCCGAATCGAAGAGCCGATAGTGTTTCATTGTATACACAAGTATGATGCTCTTGGATAAGAAGGAAAAAAATAAAACATAAATTAATTCAAAAAAAAAAGACAGTTGAAAGAAAAGCCAAAACAATCGCGGGGACCCCGTCTTCAAGTAGATATAAATACACGCATACCTATCTACATGGTGGTTTGGCTGTGTGTCGATGTTTACTCTTTCGAGTATATAGACACAAGGCTGAGCCGAGCCGCACTGCCAATTAGGGAAGGTGCCTTGCCCCGGCAACTCGACGATCGGGTCAGTGACTGTCGGGTGTCGTAATGCCCTTCTTCTATTCTTATTCTCATGTGGCTCGATCTTCCACGGTTCGCTTGACTCAAAAGTGCAGTGGTGGTTTAGGGGATTCTTGGCAATGCGCTTCAATTTGCGTACACCTGGCGAAGACTTTTTGGGCGAACTTGGCGCTTTGCTAAGTTTTTGGGCGAAAATCCTCTACGGACGGCGTCATATAGCATCGCCATAGTGTGAATCTTGTATTCTCGCTATTCTACCGCAAAAGGGTAATATTAGCGAGCAAGGCTGAATGAACTTGTTTACTCCGTATTATGTATATAATATTGGACGTGGTGCCCGCGCTTTGACGCCACCATTCCTGCACCATTCCTGCTCAACACACTGATCTACATGTGTGACGCGCGAAGGAACTGGAGATATCTGCTCGATTTGTGACGTTTCCTGTGGTCCGTGTATATTCAATCTGCAATGTCTGCTTATGGAAAGAGGACTAGCATAAATACTCCTATTTCTCCTATAGCAGACCTTCGAACACCGGCTGACTCGACTAATCCCACAGGCGCATCTGCGTGGGCCAAATCCAAGCTGCTAACCTCTAATATCGCTCCAAAGTTAAGCAAATCCGATCCAAAAACTTTTGTATGGCAGCAGATGGGTTCAGATACGTGCTCTCCCGGAAAACGACAAAAAAAAATTCGATTATCGTCCACAAAAAACCCTTGGGGCCGGCAACGAAGGGCAATCTCCTCTACCATGAATAGCATTCGACACTTGTCAGCGATGCGAAAAAACCCCATCGGAATTTCGAAGACAATTTGTTTTGGATATTTACCATTGGTCTTCTCTGTCAACCATTCGCTCTTCAAGACCTTGATAGCAACCCGTAGAGCGTCAGTCCAAGTCAAATGAGAAGAGTCGTTGTCGTACCCTTTCAACAGGTCCTGGATTGCCGGGACAATGCTTTCATCTTCGAGCTCGAGCAGTTTTCTCGAAATTTGTTGAGCAGCAGCAGCCAATCTTCGTACCTCTTCCAGCATCTTCTGCTCCAGAGCAACCTCCAATGCCAAAACCAGAGGTTTTGCCATGACTCCAGCGCGAGCCCAGTTTCTTTTCTTTTCTTTTTTTTTTTTTTGTTGCTCGCTTGGTACTCTCGATATCCCTCGATTAGATCGACAATCTCGCGGTCCATGTTCCGGTTGATTAGATTGTCAAAGACAGGGACAAAGGTCTGCGTGAATATAGCCATGAGTTCAGGCTTGTTCAATGTCACTGCAGCGATGAATGAATTGTTTGGCCTTATCTTCCCGGCTTTCGTTTAACCATGCTCTTGACCTCAGTATGCACCTGATTGGTAATTGGTCAGTGGCGAATGTCATAGAGCATCACAATGCCCAACATATCGCCGAAGAAAAATCCATAGGCGATTGCAATTCAGAGATGAAATGCACTACTATTTTCATCCACTTCGCAAAACCGCCACAAACCCGCCGCTACAGCAGCGTCTCTCACACTTCCCAATTCCTCGTCCTTAACAGCGCGGTTGATCTCCGCATACCTCACCTCTTCTCTCTCCCCATCCTGCGTATTCTTCAAAACTCGCCTCTTCTTCCCCACATGCGCATCCGGATGATATTGCTCCATGATATGCACGTATAGATCTTTGGACACATTCTCCGCCAGCCAGCGCATGATTTCCCGTCCCTCGTCTTCCTTCCCGGGCATGACGAGATGTCGCAGCAGAACACCCTTCTTCGCGATGCCGTCTGATGTAAATGACAAATCGCCTACCTGGTTGTGCATGGCCTTGACGCTCTCCATTGCGGTCGCGGTGTAATCATCGGCTTTCAGTAATCGTTTCGATGTGCTATTCTTCCAGACCTTGAAATCAGGTAGATAGATATCGACAAGGCCGTCTAGTAGCTCTAGAGATTCGAGCGAGTCAAACGACGAGCTGTTGTATATAATCGGGACCTTGAGGCCCATATCGCGCGCGGCGAGAATCGAGAGCGCCACCTGAGGGACGACATGCTCCGGCGTGACAAGATTGATATTATGCACGTTCCCTATCATTTGAAGCTTCATATACCACTCCGCAAGTTCTTCCGGCGTAAGATCGAATCCTTTCCGTTGATGTGCGATGTCCTGACAAACATCCCGTCAGTATGCGCCAACCTACCAAACCACAAACCACACAAGAAGTGAGGCATACATGATTCTGACAAAAAACACACCGCAAATTACACCCCGAGAAAAACACCGATCCACTCCCATGATATCCCTGAATACACGGCTCCTCCCCCCGATGCGGCGCAATCACATTGACCTTGGCCGTTTCCGCCCCGATCAAACACACTCCTGTCGTCTCATATCGGTTCACGCCGCACTTTCGCGGACAGAGATTGCATTCGCGGAGGTGTGCATATGCCCGCGACCGTTTCTTTGATGCGTCGACGGATGTTAGGAGTTGGTAGCGGGGGATGTAGTCGTCGAGGAGGAAGGCGGGGGGGATGCCGACGAAGCGCTTTGGGATTATAGGGGATAGAGGGTGTGGGCGGATAGGGCGGGTGCGAGAGAGGAGTTGGAATGGTCTGCTTATGGTGTTCATGTTGGGGATTGGTGTGAAGCCATCGCTATTGCGAGTTTGAAGAGTAAAGGGTTGTTGAAGTATGAAGCCGGAGTAAAGGAAGCTTATCGCCGAGACGCTGTCGTCATACATATTAGCAAACAGGGTCCCATGCATAGTTAGTTACTGTAGTTAGTTAGCACAATGTGTATATAAACCTATGCACTGCAGGCTATATGCACTTAGCACGTTTGCTGCCACTACAGTAGTAATTCCACGAGAAAACATATTAAGGAGCCGATTGACTAGACTTGAGGTTGCCAGATAGTGCCTGTGATGGATAGGTAGTATGAAGAAGACAAGATTGTTATTGTGGGCGAAGAGAAAAAAATGCCAGTGGTGGGAAACAAATTTACAGCTAGTTCCTTTGTTTATTTTATTTTATTTTTATTTTTATTTTTTATTTTTTATTTTTTTTATTTATTTTTTTTTTTTTTTTTCTCTTGAGCTGCGCAGCAATTGGCTGGTGGATACAGAAAAGCAACGCATTCACTGAATAACTAGTTCCTTGGGGCATTTACTTACATGAGCAGGTTACTCTTGAGGTGAGCTCAAAACCCACCACAAGAGCTAGCGTCGTTTATGAAAAGGAAAAAAAATTAAAAAAATTAAATATATATATATATAGTGCTACTGCAAAAAGTAGTTGGCGTAGTTGCAAGTATAAGTTGACTCGTGGTTGTTGACGCTCTAAACTTGACAGCAAATATCAACAGTGAGACTCAAGGCCAGTGGCATAAATTCATTCATTCTTGGGGCAACATTAGACCATATCTGAGGCACTAAGCCCAAATGAACGCCTCAATCTCACCATCCTGCGTAGTACCCTCTCCATTAATCATCTCCCCATTCCCCTCCCTATACCTCCACCTCTTCCCCATAACCTGCTTAAACGTATCAACATCCATATCCTCCCTCATAACCATATCCGAGAACATTCTAACAGGCAACACACCCTCCAACGGCTTCAACGGCACAACCAGATCCGGCGCAACAAACAAAACAGCACTTAGTCTCCGCACACCAAGAACACGACGGACGCGGTGTCTAGCTGTGGAGATACGGCCACCGCTCGGGACGACGGCACACCAGTCTGTCAGGATTACGGTTGCGTCACCGGGGATTGGAGTCCAGGTACCGGGTGCGTTTGCGCCTTCGAGCTCGAGACCGGAGGTTCCGTCTTGGAAGATGATGGTGAAGGTACCGTAGTCCGTGTGCGAACCGCATCCGTTGTCAGAGTGCGGTGCCGCAGTTTCGGGGTTATAATCGCACAGTCTGAAGTTCATAGTCCAGTTCTTATGGGCCTTTCTCAAATCCGTGCCCGCAAGGACACTAAGCGAGTCCAGCACGTTGGGGACGTAGTTCTTGCTAAAACGGTGTTGAAGAACTCAAACACCTCGTTCAGACCATGGTCCGCCAACGACCGCTACAGGGGCACTGGGATCAGCGCGTTGCGCTTCGGCGAAAGGTCAATGGTGAACTTCTGGTCTGAGGTGGTTTGTGCATGGCGCTGGTCTTGAGGATGCCGCGGAGGGGGTATTTTGCGTTGAGCGCAGCGGCATCGTGTTGGTGGGCGTATAGGTAATCGAAAAGAGCGTGAATCGAGGCGAATGGCGCCTTAACGCCCAGATCGACAGAGGCAACGGTGGAATTGGGGCCCAGGAGGCGGATGGTGGGGGAGGCCGGGGCAGTCACGTTGGGGAGTGCGGCTGCGGTTGGGAAGGCCTCGATGGGGCTCGCGGTTGGTGTTCGCGGTAGCCATGATGCTTGATATGTGTTCAGTTCAGTAGGTTGTAAGAAAGATGAGGGGGTTAACGTGAGGGACGCTGACGTCTTTATATATCCCTTTCGGGCAGTGTGGGGCATGGATATGCAAGTATGCCCTGACTTGCAGAGGTTGACTGGTGTATAACGCTTGATGATATCCTGATAGATGTCGGTTTGAAAAGAACAAATTGATGGATAAAAAAAAATAAAAATAAAAAAAAATAAAAAATAAAAAAAAATAAAAAATAAAAATAATGTGCGAGTTATGCTCATGAAATTGCATTATGTTCTGGTGATGCAGTAGCCAACAAAGAATAAAGTCATAGTTACCCCTGGAACTCAGGTACATATATGTAACAGGTATATTTATATATATACAGGAGATGTTTCAATACAAGCCATAGTACAGTAAAGTACAAATATAAAGCACGTCTCCAAACTCCCATTCAACAAACTCATTTCCTAAATCAGTGGTATCACATCGCAGTATCTAGAAAAGCAAGAAAAGAAGAAAGAGAAAACACAAAATTGAAGCAGAGATGGAGATACTCCATATTACAACGCAAGCCCCCCACCATCCCCAGACCAACGATAAAGCGACAAAACATCCCGCCTCCGTTGCTGCTGCTCACCAAAATCCTCGGGTACCCGACCCCGAACCTGTGCGAGAGCCGAGCGCATCACCTTACGGAAGTTTCTCTGCAAGGCATTAGCAAGACATGCAATAGCAATATAACCAAAGGAAGGGGACTAGCCTGATACTCCGTATTCAACGTCACAACACAAGCCTCATGCGCGCGGACAATAATCTCACAAGCCCGTACAACACTAGCGCTAGCATCACCTTGCAATTTATCTGCCGTCAAAAGCAACAAAAAGCTACCCTGTAACAGATAGATTCCGAAGAAGAACGGCATAAAGCTCAGATCCGGGTCATATTCGAGGATATCTGCCACAGCCTCTGCGCCGCTGACGGCATGGCCTAGGGCGGAGATAAATGAATCGGATGAAATCCAGAGGTCATTGTCATCGAGTAAGTTGACAGGGTCCCATTTTCCTGTTAACAGGATGTGAAGGACGTGCATGATATGAGTGCCATAGGCGACAACTGTCTTCGTGTGCACGATGGACTCGCTAACTCGAGTTCCGACGGCGCTGCTACTCGAGCGGCCGGATGGGCTGACGTGGTCAAGGTGTGTGCCGTCAACTGCCGTGGGCTCTGATTCTGTCCCTAGGACTAGGTTGCTGGTGTAGCGCGCTTCGAATTCCTTTAAACTCCGGTTATATCCGTCAAGCTGGCGGGTAATCTCTAGCATCTGCGCGTTGCATTCGTTGCTGTTGCGGAACGTTGGTCCAAATCGCGGATGGTTTCTTGCATGCTGTAAGTCGACTATCTCACCCAAAATGGTCATCAAGGGCAGAAAATAGCCAAACATGCTGTGACCTGTGCACTCCAACGGCGGCCCTGGTGTACGGTAAGCATCATTGGTGAAATCTCCCGCCTGCCAGAGATCATCGTTCATCGGCTGGAGTAGCCTTGAACATTCCGTGTCGAGCAGAGTCAACGGACGATTATAGCAGAGTGCCAAATGACGATCAGTCGCATACAGCAACCACCAAATCCGCCGACGCTCTTCTCGCTCTTCTTTCGTAATTTCTACTCCATTTCCCATAGGTGTAACCAAAGGCTGCTGCTGCTGAGCATTTTCCGCCATATCACCATCTCGCCCCTCTCCATTCTGCCGTGAATTGGGACCATTAGGTGGCAACTCACGACCGAGTCTCAGTTCTCGCGCCAAAGCCCAAGCTGCAGTCCACCATCGCATACTAGCTGCTTTGTACTCACTCGCAGAAACAACGGTGGCTAGATGTACATACGTCGCAACATCATCCACGGCCCCTGTTGCACTGCTCTGCGCACCCAATTGATCCATTGAGACTCCAAACCCGCCTAGAGCGACGCCGTTGATAACCATGTTGGCAGCATAATTGGGAGACGTCTCTCCCGCAGCAGGACCGTGTATTAAAGGTCGTAGCAAACCAACGGTCAGTTCAAGCAGCTTCTGACAGATCCTCCCTCGTGCTGACGGGGGTGATGTCAAGAATGCGGCGTCGCTCGTCTGTGCAGCTACCCAGAGCATACTAGCCAAGAGTGCAGGGCTACACACTCGTGGCTTTGTTGGATGGAGGAACGATTGTTTGCGAAAGACATATCCGACCACATATGGCGATTGGGGCGAGATATGAGAGGAGGAAGAACTGGTGAAATAGACATCCATAAGGTCGCAAGCTAGCGACTGGGGTATTATAGATGCGATGTGAGGCAACACTGGTTGTAGCACAGGGTATCGTAATGAACTAGGGAACGGATGCATGCTGAACGATGGGAAATTGGCAGGAGACGGAGGAGGAAGAGGCAGCCATCCAGGTGACGGTGCAGGAGAAAGCCCCATAAACGGAGCTGAAGGGTTCTCTGCTGAGCCAGCGAGACGAAAATGATTCAAAGATGATGGATTCTGTTCTTGCGGGTTCATCAGCGGGTATGCACTTTCTGGATAACTGAAGCCATTCGGTGGCAGCATGTTTGTCGACGGCGAGCGGGAATTCGTATTCGACGGATGAAGCATCTGCAATGGTCTGAGATCAGAGACAGACATAGGCCGGTTCGAATCGTTCAAAGTGCCCTGTAACCCATCCACAGCAGTACCCAAGTGTGTTTGCTGGGCCTGGGCCGGGGCACCTTGCTGAACGGGGTTCGAATTCTGTATCCCAACCATGCCTGGCATCTCCGAAGATTGTAAATGCGATTGCGCCGGCACATTGGCGTTCCGAGCAGCATCAAACGTCGTAGTCTCTCGCGACGAAAACCCATCCTGAGAATTCTGTTCTCTCGCCACAACACCATTATTCACTCTATCTGTATCCGTATCACGATCCGACGATGGATTCGCAGCTCCCACGGTGGCCACAGCCGCAGCAACAGCAAGATCTTTCTTAGACGCCTTCCCACGTTTCTTGCGCGCTCGAGCATACTCGCACGCAAAGCCAAATTCTGCACCATTAGCCCAATCCTCCACTTCACCCCTACTGGGAAGGGAAGAAAAACTTACCAACGCAATGTGCACACGGATTCTTCCCATCACACTTCGTCCTCAATTGATTACACTGATCGCACGCCCTGCTAATCCTCCTCCGAACAGGAGCCGAGGCTGACTCCATAGACGGCCTTTTCCGATTCACGCCTTCCTCGAAAGAATCCTGCTGCGACAATTCCCCAACACCAGATGCGCCATTGATGCCGTTCTCGTTATTCCCGGAAAGCGACGGGTTCCGGGGGGGTTTCCCGAGCGCATACTCCGAGCTCTCGGCGAGGATGTCCAGGCCGGAAGGTGGCGCGGGGGCATGATTGAATTGGTGGAATGAGGCAGTCGACATTGTCACACAGGGGGGAAGAGGTCATGCTGGTCGTACTGGGTTTAGGGGAGGAAGAGCGCGCGCTGCGGCGCAAGTGGTGCGACGGGTGGACGGAAGTCAGGTCGAGGGTTGAGGGAGGAAAGCAACGAGCATCGTAGGAATGGGCTGCTCGTGTATAAAGAGAGAAGAAAGAGAGAGTACAGAGTAAATAAAGATATTCAAAAACGAACGTACGATTGAACGAGTGGAGTTCAGGAGAAAAAGAAAAAGACCCCGAACGAAAGAGTGAAATGTGGAGAGAAAAAGGCGGGGAAATTAGATCGAGATATCTCCGAGATGTCCGTAGGGCAGAATGCATACATACTACATATCACATCTGTACGGTTATTATACTGTTTGTTTCAGTAGATATGGTATTGGGCTTTCCTGTATATAGACCCAGCAATTTGAAGACTTGTGCGCGATTATACCTCAAAAATAGTAATATATGTGATAGATATCAAACATTCGAAACTAGGATATTGTTCAATACCATAAAAAACAGATCCCAGCAATAGGACAGCTACAATCCCCTCCTCCCGTCCTTTCAAATCCAGTCAGAAAAAAGAAAAACGCGCAGAACACCACCCACCGAAACGAAAGACATCAAACTGGTCCAATAAACACGCCGCACACCGAAAAGAAGCAAAGAAACGAGAAAATAGTCGCTGATGGTATGTTATTATCAACAAGGACGCGGTCCACGCCATATTCACGAGACAACAGGCAACCCGTGTGTTGGCTCTGTCTTGGTGACATCGGGGTCGTGCTGACCCTCATCGCCACGGAGACGTTTGTTCTGGAACTGGCTGCTGGCCAAGTAATTCGGGTCCTCGTTCGGGTGTTTCCGCATTCCCAGACCGGCAACCGCTATCCGGTTCAGCGAGTTCATATCGTCGTTCGATGCGGCCGCGTTTTGGTGAGGCTGGGGCTGCTGCTGAGGGTTCCCTGTAGGAGCAGGACCGGCAGAGTTCGGGTTGGATACAGCCGGTGGTATCTGCATTTCCGTCCGGGGCTGGCTCAGATCAATGTTTCCTGGAAGTTCGGGCACTTCACCCTGGGTGTCGAGTAACCGCGATTGCAAGTTGATGATGTATTCTCTGAGCTGGTAGTTCTCAGTCTGTAGATTTTTAATCCCGTCGGACATGTTTTCAAAGTCCTTCACCTGGTCCTCCAATTTGCGGATGTAGGTTTCTTTTCGTTGACGGAATGCTCTCTGAAGACACACACACACACAATATCAGCAAGAGGACCAAGAACGCCAATGCAAATACATCTCCCATACCTGCGCAGCACGGTTCTGAGCAGCCCGCTTGGAAGTCGACAATGGCCGCTTGCTAAAGCTCTTGGGAGACTCGGGGCCGGACGGATCCTGCTGGGGAGGTGTCTGAGGGGGAGGACCGGCGAGCATCGAAGCACCGGAGATAGCCGGGTCAATGTTGTTCTGGTCGCGGGGGCTAGCATTCGGCTGCATATGCGGAGGTTGCGCAGGTGGAGGTTGCGGCGGACGGGCCTGGGGATGGGACAGGTGCTGCTGGGCCGCTAGAAGCTGATCATGGAGCACTATCGCGATGAGGTTAGTTCTGCAAAGACATCCGGGCACTGGCTGGTTGGTATATATCGGATGGAACGCGTTGTCTCTTTTACGAACAATCAGCAAAGCGCGACTCACCCTGATCCGCATGGTCCTACAATGAAGTCAGCATCGCCTCTATGGTCAGGTGGCAGTGGCAGTGGTGAAGAACCCTCGCGCGACACCGCCATCGAGTTGCGCAGTAAGCATCAACGCGTAGATATCGATGGCGGGGCCACGGTCGCAGAGGGAATCTCTTGTACGGGGAAGAAGAAGAGGGTGACGATGACAAACAGCTTACCTGAGCAGAGGTTTGCATGCTTGGATGCGGTGCTGGGGCTAGTGCGGGCTGCATAGTAGCAGTAGGAGTGATCGCAGTGCTATTAAAGAAGGCCAATTCGACGACGACAGCGACCGGCAAGAGCCAGTTGAAATCCTGGATTGAATAACACAAAAACGCGTGCGAGAAACAGTATAAACAGTATAATATCGCGAGATACTCCGCTGTAGATGACGATGAGGTAAGCCTATACAGCCAGAAGAGAGTGAGTAGTAATGGATTAGGTCAGGCAAGGCTGGGGAGGATTAGTTAAAATATGACTGTACAGGGAGAGAGGGAAGGAGAGGAGAGTGGCGGCAAGCGAAGTCTTGGCGTGACATTCCATAGTGTCATATTTGTGCATCGCTTAGTCATCTACATAACTGGACTGTAGTGTGCTACTTGTACAGGTGGTGCATAATCCTCCCAGAATTCTTCCATATGCCTGGCTTCCGCTGCTTCCGAATAGTACAAAATGTCACTCTACAGTTACAGAGGCAGGAAGGCAGGGGTAACATCGCAGTTCTCACTGTAATCCTGGCATGCCGGTTTCGGAGATTCGGAATACCAATGCACGCTAACCATATCAGGGAATGTCTCTGTTCACTGCTATATACGAGTACGACGAAACGACACGCTCACTCTAATAATACACAGAATAGTCTCTAATAACAGCAAACCAGCTCACTGCTGCTTCTTACCTTCCTTTCCAACTTGCGCCTGGATAATGCTCTGACCAACCCGCGCAGACTCCAACCATCCCTTCTGCCGTCTCCAGAACCGATCAGCCGGATCCGTCTCATGCAGACTCGACCTCCGAGCATCATCTTCCAACGTCTTGACGCTGATTTCATCAAGCTCAGAGCCCCGGATGTCCTTCTCATCATCGGGCTCATCGCCCATCACGTCAGTACGCAGCGTCGACTCCAGGTAGCGCTTGCGCATGAGGTAATGGTTCGTGCGGTCCTGGCGGGAGTTGGGCAGTTCTAGTTTATCCATGGCCGCGCGAACAGCATACCGCACGATGAGGTAGAGATGTTCGGAGAAGAAGATGGTCAACAAAAGCGCCCAGACCTTGATGATAGATGGTTCGCCGTTCGGACCTGGGTGGCCGTTGCTGAACATGTAGATGAGGGCGGAGCTCGTGATGCTGCCCACCCAGGACAAGAAACCCAGGCTCTCAAGCCAGGGACCGATGGTGTCCGCGCGCAATGGCACAGGCCGGCGACATTCCATGCAGATCTTGAAGAAATCCGAACGGAGCTCAACCCAGTTGTTGGCCAGGAAGGAGACAGGAACAAGTGGCCAGACGGGGGAGAAGAGAGCTAGATAGCCAAACTGGATGCACATTTCACGCAAGTCATCGGTGACGTCGTAGTCCGAGAGTTCGGCTTCATTGCGGGCTCGGGTGAGGAACTTGACCTCGTCCACGGGGTCATCGAAAGAGACGGATTGGTCATTCTCGCTTTCAGAGTCGCTTCCGATAGCGTCAATCTTGCCCTGCTTCTTCTGATATTCCTTGTACTTGCGCAAAAGGTTCTGCTTGAGGTACGGGACGATCGTCTCCATGGCAAAGCCCACAATCTGCGCAGTAACGGTGAAATAGATCACTTGTTTACGTAGACGGTCGGGATCAATGCTGAAATTGGCAGTACGAGCCGTCGTTGCGTGTTCCTTGGACACGAATGGTCGCACCGTGACTTGGAAGATATCTAGATAGGGGACAATGAGGCTGGCGAATGGCACGTAGACGAATGCCGTCAGGAAAACGGGAAGGTAAGACGTGATGAAGTTGATGACGAATATCTTTTGTGTTAGCGCGATATCATATGCATCCTTGGTCTCGAAGTTTTCGTAGTCATTAAGCTTGGTAGCGACGGCCGTCAGAACAGCGCTCATGGTTGGCACGAGCGAAGAAAGCAGAATCGTGGGAATGAAAACCTAACAATTAGTCTGCTGTAGCATGATAAAAGGATAGCTGACTTACCAGGTATGTTTTAAGAGGCCCGTTATACACCTCCGAGATAAATATTTCAATCGCAAAGCACGTAGCGATAATCACTCCCAGAGCGACAGTGGACAACAAAGCGAACGGGATCTGGAGCAACTGGCGATACATCCGCTTCTGAGCAGGGAACACGCCCCGAACCTCACCAGTGCCCTCATCTCGAACTTCCTTTTCAGCAATAAACTCTCGTCTCTTGGTCCGCACGACAGAAACGCCTTTAGTCTGCCAGCGGCAACTCAGGTCGACTTCCTGACGCTTCCAATATTCAATGAAAATGATACACCACAGGGAGTTGACGACAGTGTAGATAATCGAGAAAGATCCGAGCAGCAACCAGCAGGAGAAGCCGAACAGGGCCGGAAACACCAAGAATCGAAAGTACGATTGCAGAAACGCAAAATAGAGAGCCACCTGCAGTACCAGTCAGTTTACCTTGCATCACCCCGCATTGCACTGCATTTCATTGCAGCGTAGAGTTAATCACACATACACTTTCACCAAATTGACCTCGAATCTGATCTAGGTCCTCCGGAGACAAGAACGTCTTCCTGCTCCACTCCCTCATACACCGATTATTGGTCTGTTCGTCGTGCAACGAGAAAATCGCATCGATGTTCTTCCATTCACCATAGCCTGGAGAGATTCCCGCTCCACCTTCTTCCTTCGGCACTGTGATCATATGGTAAATTACGCGTAGGCGCTCGGCTTCAGTCTGGGCTTCTGCGGTGGACGCTGATTCGGGTTCGGTATTACGGACGCCATGGAGCCAGTCGCGGACACTATATCAAGTCAGCCCCCATTATCTGCTAATATATATTTGAAAAATACTCACCGAGAATGATAAACCCCACGCTTGATACTCTTCTTCGTCGCCCGCACAAACACCAACAACGTCGATTCGTCCCCCTGACGCACCTCGGTCTGCAATCCTATTTCAACCAGGGTATGCAGCAGCAATTCCAACTGCTTTCCTGATTCGGAGGCATCTGTAATCGTCAATATCTGTCGTACCTTGTGATCCGACCGACCATCTTCGAAAATCTGGAAATCTTACCATCACCCCCAAATCGATAACGGATGACGTAGTCCACATCATTGTTGTGGTGCAAGACGTGGTCTGCGGAAGCAGTTGCCATTATTTCAAACACCGTCCACGCTTCAAATACTATAAGAATAAAAAACGATGCGGCTGTCTAGGAACCGCCGCCAAAAAGAGAAATCATGGGATGGATGAAGTCGGTCACGGGCAAGCTTTGGCCAGGCGCTGAGCAATGGAGAAGACGTCATCAGGAGAAAGCTTGGCGGGGGTTGTGCCCTGGTTCTAAACTCGATAAGGTAGGATCTGCCACTAGTCCCGATAGATCGAGATCGTGTCAGATTCGCATTGCTAAGTATGTATACAGATGACAGTTGAAACAGTGGATATGGACTCGGATATAGATAGATACAGTCAATTCTCTACATTAACACCAATATCCCCCGCCAACCGACCCAGCCCCTCCCCCTCAAGCATCATCTTCACCCACTCCTCCCTCCCCTCCGCTCCAACCCTCTCATAAAACCGAATACTCATCTCATTCTCCCTCAGCACACTCCACTCCACCCTCTCCCCTCCAATCTCAACAACTTTGTTCGCCAAATACTTCAACAACTTAAACCCATACCCGCCACCCCGGACACTAGACTGCACGTACAGCTGCTCGAGGTGGATCCCCGGTGCGGCGCGCCAGGACGAGTAGTTGTAGTAGAAGAGGACCATGCCGACAGGGGCTGGGGAGGGGTTTCCGGGGGTTTCTGGGGGTGTTATGAGGGCTGTGTAAGCGCCGCCGGGTTTGGGGGGTTCGTTGGGGAAGGAGAGGGTTTCAAGAGGGAGTCGAGGGTTGCGGTGACTTTGTAAAGGGAGGATTGGTGGGAGGCTAGGTCGAGGATGAATTGGTGGATTGTAGGGACGTCTGACGAGTATCCTATGAGTATGTTTGTCCATCGGTGTATTTGATGTGATGCACTCACTTTCTGGCGTGGCCAGGCGAATGTCTGGTTGATCAGGCATGGTTGAAAATGTTATACATATACCGTCAGGCTTGATATTTCTCGTGAGACTATCGAGCGATGTACATCTATTTCAAAGAACTTCCTACAGAATCTGTTACGCCGGTTCCGAGACACGATGAACCACTGATATAACCAAGAACGCTTCCATGGGCACGGTAAAATATACAGAAGGGCAGCACAGCATTAAAGTTACATGACATCAATAACCATAAACAGCTCATTTGGACGAAATCGCGGACATCCATCGTTGCTCATCAGTCCTGTTATAGTTAGCTTCCACTGTTTCTAATCTACTGTAGTTGCATTAAATGGGAGACTCACCGATCGAAATGGAGCAGCATCGCCAGAACCGGGATCAATTGTTTCTGGTAATTCTTATCCCTTTGCTCCAAGAACTGCAGAAGCACGTTCTTCAAATAGATGTAGTCGATATTCGGACCAGGAGTCTCAGTCCTCCGAACAGACGGGCTACGATCACTAGAGACAGGCGTCGCAGACGGCCTTCTTGAACCCGAGTCCATTGAAGATCGCGACGACCGCGGCCCTTGTCCCAGACGCGCCTCGTCTACAAGAGCCCGGTTGGATTTACGTAGCTTTTCCAGCCGGCTGTTCGTCTCCTCGACTGACCGACGCAGTTCAGCTTTCTCCTTCTCCAAATCGCGGACCTGCTTCTCGCTCTCGTCGAGGGAATCGCGCAGGCGTGTCATGGCCTGACGCATCTCGTTCAATTCACTTGTCGATCGTTCCCATTGGCCTTCGAGTTCATCACGACGACGTCTGTAGTCTTTCTGGGAGTGCTCCAGTTCTTCCTTGTCGTTTTCGGCAGTGCGCAGGGACTTTTCGGCTTCGCGGACCTTGCCCTTGAGATCTTCTAGTTCTCGGGCCCGGCGGCGACCTTGTGTGCTTGCATCCTCCTCAGCGCGGTCTCGCTCCTCAATGGCTGCTTCCATTCGCTCCTTGAAGTCGCGGACCTTGCCCTCGGCGCGGCTTTCAATATCGTTCAGCAAGCGGCGCATCGTCTCGCCTTCGCGGGTGCGCTCGCTCAGGAGTCGGTGAGCATCAGCTAATTCTTCTTCCAGGCTTTCGCAGCGCTCCCGGGCCTCCTTCATCTGCATGCCCATTTCCGCACCTTGGTCGCGCATGCTGTTCATCAGACTTTGGGCGCTGGATTGTTGGGCGGTCTTCAGTTCGATCTCCTCCTTCAGACTGTTGAGTTCTTTGCCCAGTTGGGCGGCTTGACCCTCGACGTCTCGGAGCTTGGTTCGGGCTGATTTTAGTTGATCTTGGGCCTTGGAGAGCTCTGCTGACATCTTCTCCCGCGTCTCAAACGCTTCCTGCTTCTTGCTTTCGGAGTACCTCAAGTCTGACTGAGCAACCGACAATCCCTCTTCGGCCTTCAAACGACTATCAGTCTCCTGTCGGATCTTTTGATTAAGCGTCTTAATCTCAGAATCTCTGTCGGATATCGTCGACTTGAGGTTCTTCACATCCGCACGCAAACCATCATGCTTGCTTTCCAGAGACTTCAAGTCAGCCGATTTGCGCGAAAGAGTATCCTGCGTAGACTTGAGTTCAGATGACTCGGATCGCAAGTTCCTCAATTCCGGTTGCAGTTTTTGAAGAGTTTCCCGTAAGTCTGTCATATCCTTGAATCGGGTAGCAGCCAACTGCTGTGCCGCAGAGAGGTCAATTTCGAGCGTTGCAGATCTCGATTTCAAGGTCTCGAATTCTTCCTTCAGGCCCTTGTGCGCCTTCTCAGAGTCTGCTGATTGGGAGGCAGTGCTTGTGCGCACTTCAGCCAGCTCCTTCTCCAGCTTAGAAATAGTCCCCTCCAATGCTGTCTTCTCTGCTGAAAGCTCCTTAATCTTATCTTTTGATTCAACGTGCTCCTGGCCGATGTTGAGCAGATCGTCGCGTAGTGATTCGATCTCCTCTTTCAGGTCTTCCTCACCCTTGAGCTTGTTGCTGAGACGATCGATGGCCGCTTCCTTTTCTCCCAGTTCACGCGTGAGAGATTCGATCCTCGCCTCCAGTTCGTTGAGCTTCTTAGAGGTTTCGCCAGAGTCGGATTTGGATGATTTGGTCTCCTCGGGCGCTGGAGCCGCGGCGGCTGGTGCTGGTTTAGGTTCCTCTCCGGCTTTACCGCCCTTCTTCTTCTTTTTGTTGTTCTTCTTCTTTCCACCACCGGTGCTGGGGGCAGACGCAGCTGATTGGGTAGCCTGGGTCTCTGGCCCTGGGGCCTCTGGGGCGGTTTCAGGTTCCGGTGCCAAGCTCTTTCGGAGTTCCTCAAAGTCCGCCTCTTGACCCTTCGAGATCTTGTCCTTGGTCGACTGCCATTTGGCGTTGTCCGTCAAGTTACCATCAAGGAAGCTAATGAGATTTTGGAGCTTGTTCAACTCTTCCGTCTTCTCACTGGTGTCGGTCTTGAGACTCGAAACGGAAGCTTCGGTTTCCTTGAGCTGGGATTGAAGCTTGTCCACCAGACCTTGCAAGACACCCAGTCGCTTCTCATGACCCTGCTTTTCCTTCTTGGCTTCCTCAAGCTTGGAGTTGAGTTCTTTCGACTGTTCATCGTTGCCCTCGGACGTGGAGGCTTGCGTACGAAGCTTCTCTATTTCCTCCGTCTTCTGGGTCAAGTCGGTCTTGAGTTTTTCGACTTCGGCGTTGGCCTTCTTCATCGCAGTCTCCGAGCTTGCAAGTTTATCCTTCAGGGCGTCAATTTCCTCCTTTTTGGACTTCTTGAGTTCTTCAACCTCGGTATCCTGCTTGTCCTTGGCCTCGCGCAATTCTCCCAAATCGCGAGTCGCAGTTTCCAAGTTCTGTACCATGCCTTCGGTAGACTCGCGCGCAATAGAAAGGTCACGTTTGAGGTTCTCCGTCTGCGATTTGAGTGTTTCAACCTCCTCCTGTTTCTCCTTCAGCTCGGACTCGATGCGTGGAATTTCGTTATCGAAGGAAAAGAATTCTTCGGTCTCGCCCTCTTTCGTAGCATCCGCATCTTTCGTAGAATCGCCATTCTCTCCTTCCTTCGACGGTGCGTTTTCGTTCTTAGTAGATTTCTGAGCTTCCTCCAATTTCTTCTTGAAGTCGTCTCTCTCTGTCGTGATTCGCTTGAGCTCCTCCGTAACCATATCTCCCTTCAAAGAAATCTGATTCAAGTACTCCGTGAAGGGTTTCGGCTCGCTGATGGACGTTAACGGGGTATTCTCTCGTAAGGCTGCTTCAAACGGCTCGATCGAAAGGACTCGTGAATGCGCGGTTCGGTAGGCTTTCAGAAGTTCTACATGCGTCGCATATCATTAGCCTCATTCCCCTATCCCCATCACCATGCAATTATCCGGTCCATACCGTGATACCGCGTCTCCATCTTATCCAACCTCCTCAACTTCGCCCTAACCTCAGGCGGCAATTCCGACGTCGCCTGATTCTGTCCCGTCCCCTTCTCACCAGCACCAGCCTCCTTCCCACCCGACTCTACAGCCGCCTGTTTCTCCCCATCATTCTCATCCACAGCCCCGTCGCCCCCTGTCGCAGGCTCCTGTTGCGGCGTCCCCGATCTAGACGGTGTATCATCATCGCCGATAGCAAAATCCGCCTCGAATTCTTTCGGGTCGGGCCCGCGGACGGGCGTCGCGGTGTTGCGGCGTGGGCGCGCAGGTCGTCGGCCGGGGCCTTGGGGGAGACGGGCGGAGTTGGAGCGGGAGAGGGCTTCTTGGTTAGATTTTTGACGGGCTTGTTCTTCTGCGATACGCGAGTCGATCGCGTCGCGGAGGCGCTGTATTTCATGGGATAATTGTGGTTAGATGGTGTGTTCATGCGGGTTGTATGGCCGTCCGGGGTTGAACTGGCCAACTGTACTGTCCAACAACGTACCTGGAACATGACCGTGGCAGGTCTGTGGGCTTGGGCCACAGGAGCAGTGTATTAAAGAGAGACTGATATAAGAGTAAAATGCAAGAAAAGAAAAAGAGCGAAAAGGAGGTGGTAGAGAGGGAAAGAGGGTGTTGGATGGAGCGCCGCAACGGAGATGTTGTTCCGTCTTGGGATACTCGGCGGCTGCCTGTCGATGAGCGCGGACCAGCCTCTTTCCGTGTAGCGCTGATTATAATCAAGGGTGGTATTTATATTCTTGCTTTTACAGCTTAGTTCGCTGGCTTGTTTATCTAGGAGTGGTGATTGACATGCTGGTTCTCGGGTTCAGTGACATATACGAAGTAACCAGGCGGAAAATATACATAGAGTAGGGCACAGACAGCATCGAGCAGACAAAGACAGAGGACAAAAAGAGAGAAGGCGAATCAGACCCGTACAAGGTGACATTGAGCACGCTTAGTTAAGGTAATAATTCAAGTCACCATAGCCACCTTTCGAATCTACAATAACGTCTCTTCCCAATACAGACTTGGAGAATGAGAGGCTTCGTCTGAATCTTCTATCAGTTGATCCAAATTCTTCGAAGGCAGTCGCGAAATTTAGCATTATATAGACATGATATTACATAGTAAAGAGATTGAGTATAAGTTGTCATCAATTGTGTGTATTCGTCGTCACTAAATCCCAGAAACCCCCACTCCAGCAGCAGCATATTAAAATGTTGTGGCTCGGTATTATTATACACGAAAGTAAATGAAGGAAAATAGAAATGTTCATATGCATCCACTTTTTGGCTTTCTGTCGTTCCCCTTTCCCATATGTTACTCCTTGTTTAGGGTTTCAACCAACTATGCAAGCCGTTAAGTCATGTGTGCTCCGAAGGACTGTACTCCGCATGCGTGATTCTTTCGCCAGCAGACCGATGCATCCCTTGTTTTAGCGCTATCCCGGATCACGGATGCGGATTGTTCTTCTCATATCCCTTGTTGTCGTCTAGTTGAATAATCATAGCAGACTCACCACGCAGTGTGGCCACCGTCGATGAGCATCGTGCTTCCAGTCATGAAGCTACTCGCATCACTTAGAGTGAAGAGTGCAGCACCCCGGAATTCCTCTGGTGTAGCTAGCCGCCCAAGCATGTTCTCAGCTTCCCAAACAGCTCGCGCAGCGGGGTTCTGTTGGAAGACCTGCTCAACCATGGGGGTGACAATGTGTCCGGGGCACAGACTGTTCACGCGAATACCGTGACGTCCCCATTCCATAGCCAGGGAACGGGAGAGTTGGATGACAGCGGCCTTGGAGGAGTTGTATACGGGAGATGTCATGCCCTTGTTGGCGATGAGACCGCTCATGCTAGCAATGAGCAGGATCGAGCCCTTTTGTTGGTAGTTGAACATCTGGCGCGCAGCGGCGGTGGCGGAGTTGAAAACGCCGTTGTAGTTGATCTGCATGACTTCGTTCAGGGCTGTTTGCGAGTGCTCCAGAGCACTCTGTAGGTAGTTGATTCCGGCGGCAGCAATCAGACCGTCCAGCCGCTGGTTGTTGCCGGCAATCTCGGAGAAGACGTTGTTGACTTCCGCATCGTTGCGGACATCGAGACGGCGGTATTCTAGCAGGCCACCAAATTCCCGTTCTCCATGCTCCTTAGCGGCCATGAACTCGGGATCCGGGCTCTCGAGACGGTCCAAGCAGTAGACTGGATTCAAGGAAACCTCAGTTAGCCTTTCTGTCTTGCGTCTTCGAAGCTATGAACGAGATAGTAAGTACCTTTTGCGCCAGCCTCCAAAAGCGCTTCAGCCATTGCGAGACCAAGACCTCTGGCACCACCAGTGATAGCATACACCCGGTCCTGTAGGTCGAATTCTTTGAATCGGTTGCCATTCTTGGATCCTCTCACTGAAGCCAATTTGGTCTGGATTGGACTGTAGGGACCAGGGCCAGTGGAGTGTAGCCGGGTAGAAAGAGAGTAAGAGATGGCAACAGAAGGAAGCTTCGACCGTGCTGGGGCCAGCACACGGGAGAGTGCGAAGGACATGGTTATGGGAAGGGGGGTATAGAAGAGAGGATACTAGGATAAGGAGTGAAGTATGGGGCGACAGAAAGTAGAAAGAAAAGAAGTAAAGAGAAGAATATCAGAAGCCTGGATAAAGAATGATGGCTCTTACCATCCGCATCGGGGGGGAACCTGGGGTTTATAGATCCGGGGCAGGGCAAGGTGTAGGACTGACCCAGACGAATTCAGCGTGCCCCAGAAAGAACCGATAAGCCAGGGTTAAAATCAGAAAATAAAAAATAAAAATAAAAAATAAAAATAAAGCGTCCGCGTGATGTCTTAAAAGGGTCTAGAGCTGTTCTCACAATGACTTCAAGCACCACTTCATCTCCAGCATCCACGGAACAAACATCGTGTGCGGGCAGACAGATTCGCAACAAACCGAAAAGGTATGCGCGTTTGGAGGCATCGTGAGATGTTCCGGGTTCCAATTTTACTTTTTTCGTTCCTCTGTCGCCGAAGACGGTAAGAACGAAAGGGTCACTTGACCGAGAGATGGCGGCCGATCCTTGGTCGATGGATTATGGAATGGTCCACACTGGGGAAAACGGGATTCCCGAGTATGGGGGATCCGGCAGCTTCGCCAACTGTCCAGAGTACAGAGCGGGTACCGCAAAAGTCGGACAGATTTGAATCTCTTGGTCAGGTGCTCATCGATCCGGCCGGCGGTCTGGCAAGATTGGCATGTCGGATATTTCTTTTCTTTATCCAAGACCCCAGCGATGCACATACCCACTTGGTGTCGAATCGAGACTCTATGCAGTATGCATGTGTACGGTAGGGGGCCCGAGGGGTTGTTCTCTGTTATTGTCGCAGTTAACTCTGTCCGCGAGAACCCCAGAGTAGACCGTGGGGAGCTTCCCCGGTTTTTGCTCCGTGTCTTCCACCGGAAAGGCCTTCCCTGCCAATGACAGCTTCGGCATCGCGGTCATGGTGTAATCTGAAGGGATACTATTTTTGACGCGGAGCAGACCAGAGCCTGGGAACCCGTCAAATAGAACCCAAGCTCAGTGTATGTAACTCTTCCGTTCCCGGACTCCGTATTGTACTCCTTACTCCTCCCCCACGCTCCCACATTCATATTCCTCCAATACCCCATGTTCTCCGGAATAGTACAAATTAGGACGGTCATGTGTCCATCTGAAAACAAATGTCGGTGGGCTTGCACAAACCCGTCCATCAAAAAAGAAAAGTGGGAGGGAAATAGCGAGGTTGCCACAGGGAGTCTCGCATTTCCGAAAAGCGACATCCCGAGCGGATGTTGGTGGAGTATCGTGGCCGGAGCATTCCAAGCGTGTCGCAGAATGGAGACATATGAACGTGATTGTAGAGACAGTAGTTTTTGTCATCCTTGCACCAATGGTAGCAAGAAGTCAGTCAGCTGTTCTCAGACAGACATTAACCAACTATCCCAGCCACGTTGGAGATCTAATAACCGTGTGCTAGACTTTCTTCTGTCTTGCCGGTTTCTCGGGTTTCCTTTTTGGGACATACACGAAGTAACCTTGTTTGTTTTATTTTTATTTTCTTCTGCAGGAGGAGGGATCATGTGCAGTCCTTTGCTTTTTTCGAACGCCCTTCTGGAAGGTCAGTTGAGCATAAAAGATTTCTTAGCGGTATGCAGGAGTTGAAGTGGTGATGCTTGGGACTTATGCGAGACGAGTTGGCAGGTCATGTGCTTTCCCTCCTCTTCCTTTCCCTTGTCCATCCCATCTACCTATCTACCCTCTCCTCCTATTTGCTGCTACCTGTGAGCTTTCAATTCTTCTGTTTATGTTTGCTACGAGTCGGCAAGCTTTCAATCCATATCCAAATGGGTACTGGCATATGAAAAGCATTGTGATTCGAAAATCAACTGGTAATCAAGCCGAGCCTAGCTCTAGGCAAAAAATAAGAACACAGGACGGGCGTGCAAGTCCTTCGTGTCCTACAAAAGATAGCTATTGACTTAGGCTCAAGACCTGCAGAATAGCTGCAGAGACAGGGAAGCGCAGCACAATCCATGGAACGTGCTGAGATGATCAGGTATCTTGCAGATGCCTTGACTAGACATACAATTTATTTTGAAAGTAAACATTACATGATATTCATAACCCGTGGTGTATCCGGTTTCGTGGATTTCATGAAAGAGGCCCTCGAATAACAAAGAGGGCAGTGCAATGAGCAAAAAGCCGCCAGACTCAAGTTCTTTTGCAGTATCAAGCTCCGTCGTCATTGACATTGCCAAAATCCAGCTTCATCAGCAACTGATCCACGCCAGCTGCTTTGCGCGGTACATAATGGTTGGCATTCGGCAACTCCGTACTCCCAAGGCCATTGTTAGCATTCAGCGTCAACGACCAGTTCTGATTGGGATTTCTCGCGAGGTCGAACATCCGTCGTCCCTCTCCAGACCGGCTGTCGTCAATATCTCTTAACCGCGCTACAACGTTCTGGATTCCCGCTTTGACTTCTTTCTGTGTGCCATTAAGTTCCCGTAGGACTTCGCGCTCTTCGCTGGCGTAGTCTGCCATGCCGTCGACGACACCTTCGTCAGTTTCCAAATCCATGTTGCGCTGGATACTTTCCAGTCGGACTACAAGGGCGAGGAAGCGGTCAACGATCGTGAGAAGAGAACGAAGAGCAGTTGTGAATGGTATATCGGTCAGGAACAATGACTGAACGAGAGAGTAAAGATGTCGACGGTGTGCAACTGTCAAGGTTTCTGGATCGTGGGCGGGTGTATCATATTGTGTGGACTGACTTGAATCATCCACGGAAGCCGTATGCGTACGTGTGAAGCTGGTCACTTCCTTTTGCTTCGACGATGATGCCGTACCCGGTCTGGAACTTGCCCTTGACCCCGCGTGAGAAGGACCTCCCTCAATCCATTCACGGAAATGCTGCCAGGAACAATTGACCACTTCTCCTTGGAAGAAGCTCCCGATCTCGGACAGTACATAAAGGGCCGCACTGGTCGTGGCCCAAACCGGTCTCATTTGAACTATTCGCGCGTTGTCTCGGTCTCTACCCCTCTTCAGTCGGTTTTGACCGGCACGGGTACTACTTCGGGGAGGCCCCCACGGGGACGGATGGCTTCTTCGGAGGGATGTGTGTTTCCAAAGATCACTGAGGCGTAATTGGGCGCGGCGTATCCCAAGAAGGTAGGAGTGGATTTTTGAATAGACGGAAATGTCGGTTGTCGATAGGAACAGATCCATTGGTGGCCGTACTTGGATGGATAGGAATGTGGGGGTAGGGAAAAGCAGGTCAGAGAAGGAGACACTTGAGATCTCATCAGCAAGGCCATGTCCAGCTGTGTCCTGTGAGTGACCGGTCTTCTTCTGATCGTCAATAGATAATTGCAATAGGTCTCGGGCAAGATCAAGTTCATCATCACCCGAATCTTCCGCGTTTTGTAAAGCGTAAAGCTCTGTCCACGCCTTGGCAAGAGTGTTCGCCAAATCTCCTGGCTTGAGCCCAACTAGTCCTCCAAGCGCTTTCCCTCTCCGATGCCGCTCACTTGTGCGAGCGTCTGCAAGCGCCACGAGAGCAGTTACAAACTCGCCGCGTTGTAACAGCATAAAATTATGAAGGACAGATAGCATCTCGAGGATTTTTGGTAGCGGAAGTAGCTTGGAAAGTGTACTCTGCGATAATGCCAGTCGTATAGCATTTACGGCGTTGGATAGCTTCGAACTCGACATGGGCGACTCTAACGCCGCAAGACTCTCGATGTGCTTCGCATGCAGAGTAACGGGAGATGTTAGTAGGCTTGTAGACGTGCCCGTTGAAGACGCTTTGCGCTTCGCCCTGATATGATTCAAAGACTTTCCAATAAACAAGATGGATGATGCTGTGCTGGCAGAGACAAATTTCGGTAGTCGGTCCGTATGCATTGCGAATTGCGTTACGCCAGAATCATCACCTTCGCTGGCGTCATCCTCCTGAATGAAAAAGTCGTCCTTGCCAAATGTCGGCAGAGTCCCATGCAATAGCCACATCGACAACTGCCTCATCCATGCCCTTTCTGCTGCCGTAACCAATTGCAACGCCATCTCTTCCAAGTCAGCATACCCAGTTTGTGATTCCGCTCGAAGGTGATCGATCAGCGCAGCGCCTGTGCAGCCTCGATAGGATTTCTTGTGCTCCGGATAGATGAATCGAGCTACCTCCCATAGCCATTCTAGTCGTCGAGTCCATGGAGCAAATTCGCCCACAATTGTCGATAACGGCACGATACCATATCCACCGACATATCCGCTATCCTCCACCAAAACCGCCTTCTCCACCTCGAGTATTTTCTTTTGAAGTCCACCCAGATGTTCCGTAACGATCGCGGTCGACACGGCTCGACAGATGACAGATGGGTGAGACGATGAGATTATCGAAGTATGGTTTCGCAGTCGGGCATGCAATCGGCTCAGTCGCGCGAGGGATGCGAGGAGGGCTTTCTCGGGAGGTGCCAGGAGCGGAAAAGCATCTTGAGCGACGGTATCCTCCTCACCCTGGAGGGCGAAGAGGGGCGACGGCTGGCCGGAGAGGGAGAGGAGGATCTCGTGGAGCATTCTATGTCCGATTCCCTATCGATTGGTTCCTGTGTTAAATGTCTGGTGCGGTGTACAAACCGGCGACGCAGGACCTACTCCAGTGATAGATTGTTATCTGCTTTTGACTTTCGACGTTGCCAGTACAATAATCCACGACCCAGAAGCTCGTATCGGCACATATAAAAGAGCAGGTCGAATACCTGCGTCACGGTTGCCGTTGTAGTTATCGCGTTGTAATGGGCGTGTCGGAGATGCGGCGGAGGTCGAGTTGAAGAAGTAACGGCGAATTCCTCTTCACAGTAACAGCACAAACAAGTGGCCAGTTTCCAATGCGGTTCTCATAGTGACATTCCACCTCCCACGCCGTCAGCAATCGAGCATATCGTATATAGTACGTATAGTAGCAAAAGGTCAGTCTTCTTAAGGCTATCGTGGGGCAATTGCCAATCAGCACGTGCCTCGAGCTGAGTCAGCACGTAGCAACCGGTCCCTCTCTTACGTCGCTGTTCTCTTCTCTCGCTCTCCATCGCTTTCTCTCTTCCTTTTGTCATTTTGCCATTTCTTGTTGTCTTTGCTTTCACGCTCTCCCACTGTTACATCTTGTATAGTATCTTCACTGATCTCGAGTACGCTATAAGGTCGTACCGTTGACCGCTCTTACCCCTCTTCGTTCCTGTGCTTCGAATAGCTCCCCCGGGAAGCTACAACTAGATATACACCCCTCTTTCATAACGCCAGTTGGAAAGTCTTGCTTGGAGGCGAGGCTTTCAACCGGAAAAGTCGTTCACCATTCCTTCCAGTATCCCTGTTCGTGAAGCTTCGCAGCTGGGAAAGCGAAGAGCATCGGGCGACGACACAACAGCTACACCAGAGACGAAAAAAATCATGACAGTATGCTGAGTGGTCTAGTTGGTATCAGACGGACTAGGGCTGACGATGTGGTAGGACGCTAAGATGCAGGTGGACAACCCACAGGAAACTGTGGAGGCGATCAAGCACGGGGAGATCGACGAGTCTCTTTACAGTCGGCAACTGTAAGTGTCTCTGGAAGTTCCATTCGCGGTGGAAACGAGATACTGATCAGGTTCTTACTTGTAGGTACGTGCTTGGTCATGAAGCTATGAAGCGTATGGGCTCTTCGAACGTCCTCATTGTCGGATTGAAGGGTCTGGGTGTTGAGATCGGTAAGTCGTCATACTAGCAAAATTAAGATGAGTATACCTTCCTAACCGTTTAAAATCCAGCCAAGAACATTGCTCTCGCTGGTGTCAAGTCCCTTACCGTCTACGACCCCGCTCCCGTTGCCATCTCGGACCTCTCCTCCCAGTTCTTCCTGCAGCCCCAAGATGTCGGCAAGCCGCGCGCCGAAGCGACTGCTCCCAGAGTAGCGGAATTGAACTCTTACGTCCCCGTCACGGTTCACGAAGGCGGAAAGCTCTCAGACAACCTCGAACAACTCAAGCGTTACCAAGCGGTGGTTCTCACTTTGACTCCTCTGAAGGAGCAGCTTGCGATTGCCGACTTTTGCCACAAGAACGGTATCTACCTTACGATCGCAGACACATTCGGTCTCTTTGGATATCTTTTCAACGATTTCGGAAAGAACTTCACTGTCGGCGATCCCACCGGTGAAGAACCCGTGGGCGGAATTGTGGCGGACATTGCTGAGGATGGTCTGGTGTCGGCATTGGATGAGAGCAGACACGGTCTTGAAGATGGAGACTTCGTCACGTTTACCGAAGTCAAGGGCTTGGAGGGCTTAAACAGCTCTGATCCTCGGAAGGTGACCGTCAAGGGCCCCTACACGTTCAGCATTGGTGATGTTTCGGGCCTTGGCTCGTACCAGGGCGGCGGTATCTTTACGCAAGTCAAAATGCCCAGATTTGTCGACTTTGAGCCGCTTGATCAGCAAATCAAGAAGCCGGAACTCATGGTTTCCGACTTCGCCAAATTCGATCGACCACAGCAGCTGCACATTGGTATCCAAGCCCTGCATAAGTTCGCAGAGAGCCATGATGGCCAGCTTCCTCAACCTCACAACGAGAGTGACGCTCAGGAAGTTATCAAGATCGCAAATGATCTCGCACCAAGCCAGGAGGACAAGGTGGAATTGGATGAAAAGGTTATCAAAGAACTGGCCTATCAAGCCCGTGGTGACCTGAACCCCTTGGCTGCGCTGTTTGGAGGTCTTGTTGCTCAGGAAATCCTCAAAGCTGTGTCAGGCAAATTCAACCCAGTTAGCCAATGGCTCTACTTTGACTCTTTGGAGTCGCTCCCCGCGTCTACTACTCGATCCGAAGAGAGCTGCAAACCACTTGGAACCCGCTATGATGGGCAGATCGCCGTTTTTGGAAAGGAATTTCAGGAAAAGATTGCCAATGCCAAGCAGTTCCTTGTTGGCGCGGGAGCCATCGGGTGCGAAACTTTGAAGAATTGGGCCATGCAGGGTCTGGGAACTGGTCCCAACGGCAAGGTCTTTGTTACTGATATGGACCAAATCGAGAAGAGCAACCTCAACCGGCAATTCCTTTTCCGTACCAAGGACGTCGGAAGATTGAAGAGTGAATGCGCTTCTGCTGCCGTTCAGACCATGAACCCTGAGCTGGAAGGGAAGATTGTTACACTCCGGGACCGTGTTGGGCCGGACACCGAACACATCTTCAACGAAGAATTCTGGGAGGGCCTCGATGGCATTACCAATGCTCTGGACAACGTCGACGCAAGAACCTACGTTGACCGTCGCTGCGTCTTCTTCCGGAAACCCCTACTCGAGAGTGGAACCCTCGGCACCAAGGGCAACACTCAGGTTGTCCTTCCCCGGATCACCGAGTCTTACTCGAGCTCCCAGGACCCTCCGGAGAAGACCTTCCCCATGTGTACTTTGAAGAGTTTCCCCAACCGGATCGAGCACACTATTGCCTGGTCTCGGGATCTTTTCCAGACTTACTTCGTCGGGCCACCGGAGGCTGTCAACCTCTATCTGTCTCAGCCCAACTACATCGAGCAGACGCTCAAGCAGGCTGGTAATGAGAAGCAGACGCTTGAAAACCTCCGTGATTTCCTGGTTACCGACAAGCCATTGACCTTTGATGACTGCATTATTTGGGCTCGCCACCAGTTCGAGGCTCAATACAACAACGCGATTCAGCAATTGTTGCACAACTTCCCCAAAGACTCGAAGACGTCTACCGGCCAGCCTTTCTGGTCTGGGCCTAAGCGTGCGCCGGCGCCACTGAAGTTCGACAGCACGAACCCCACCCATTTCAGCTTCGTCGTTGCGGCCGCGAACCTTCACGCCTTCAACTACGGCATCAAGAATCCGGGTGCGGACAAGGGATACTACCGCAAGATTGTGGATAACATGATCATCCCCGAATTCACACCTAGCTCCAGCGTCAAGATTCAGGCTGACGAGAATGATCCCGATCCGAATGCTCAGCCCGCTGGACCCAGCGATGACAATGACGACATCCAGAAACTCGTCGGCTCTCTTCCATCACCCAAGTCGCTTGCCGGTTTCCGTCTCACCCCGGTGGAATTCGAGAAGGACGATGACACTAACCACCACATCGACTTCATTACGGCGGCTAGCAACCTCCGTGCGGATAACTACGAAATCCCTCAGGCGGACCGACACAAGACCAAGTTCATCGCGGGTAAGATTATTCCTGCTATTGCGACGGCCACTGCGCTCGTTACTGGATTGGTCTCCCTGGAGAACTACAAGATCATCGATGGCAAGGACGATATTGAGCAGTACAAGAACGGTTTCGTGAACATTGCTCTTCCTTTCCTTGGCTTCAGTGAGCCCATCGGCAGTCCCAAGGGCAAGTACATGGGTAAGAAGGGCGAAGTGTCCATTGACCAGATCTGGGATCGCTTTGAGGTCGACGATATTCCGTTGCAGGACTTCCTCAACTACTTCTCTGATCTGGGCTTGGAGGTGAGCATGGTTAGCTCGGGTGTCAGCTTGCTCTACGCCAGCTTCTACCCTCCGTCGAAATTGAAGGACCGTCTTCCTTTGCCGTATGTATCCCCTTCTTTCTTCCACTGATTTTGACTCCGGCTAACATTAATTTCCATAGGATGAGCAAGCTGGTAGAGACCATCAGCAAGAAGCCCGTCCCTGAGCACCAGAAGAATGTCATCTTCGAGGTGACGGCTGAGGATCAGAATGATGAGGATGTTGAGATTCCGTATGTGATGGTGAAGCTGAGGAAGTAAAACGAACGCGCTACAGTTGAACGCGTATTAATGTAACGGGTCTCCGACTTTCTATGAGTTTTGTCATGTTTTTATAAGCACATAGCAATTATATTTGAAGTTCCTGATAAATCCAATACTCCATAGTTATCAGTGGAGACCCTGCTTTGTCAGGGTTATGCGATCTCTCCGTAATCAACGTCATCGCCTTCCCCGCCGCATTGATTTCAATCCTCAATCCCCGGCCAGATTGATTACGAATCCCTAGCCTTTTCTCCTTTCTCATGTTCTCTGCACTTCTTCGAACCCAGCAGGTTTCTCGTCATATCACAAATCCCCGGGTTGTCTCTGCAGGGTTCCTTGCGCTATCTCCGAATCGCTCCGTCACCCCTCAGTTCATTTCACCAACACGCAGCATGGCTGTAAGTTCCTATACTTTGCGGAAATCCAATTCAAATCAATTTCCTACGCTAAACTTTTTAATTGCATTGTATAGACTGGAACTTCCGGCAAGATCACAGACTGGGTAAACCCCAACGACAAGTCCGGCGAATTCAAGCGCCAGCAGTCCGTGTTCCGAAACTGGATCTCCAGAGAATCCGGCGCGGAATTCCCTCCTGAGAAGGGCCGCTACCATCTCTATGTCTCTTATGCTTGTCCTTGGGGTATGCGATCCTGCTTTCGGACGAGAGGATGAGTGCAATTGCTAACGTGCCGCAGCGCACCGGACATTGATCACAAGAAAGCTCAAGGGTCTCGAGGACTTTATCTCGTTTACCTCTGTGCATTGGCATCTGGGGGAGAAGGGCTGGCGCTTCGTAACTTCCGATGAAAAATTGCCTGGAGCGAACACCACCCCGGACCCATTGCACGGCGATGTCTCGCACCTCCGCGACCTCTACTTCGCGCAGGACCCGGAATACGCGGGCCGATTCACAGTCCCCGTACTCTATGACAAGAAGGCCAAGAAGATCGTGAGCAACGAGGTATGTTTCTCCACACAAAACCATCATGCCCAGATAACTAATCGCAACAGAGCTCTGAAATCATCCGTATGCTCTACTACGAATTCGACGACCTCCTCCCCACCCAATACAAATCTCTCGACCTCTACCCCATCCCCATGCGCCCTCAAATCGAATCCACAAACGAATGGACCTACAACGATGTCAACAACGGCGTCTACAAATCCGGCTTCGCAACAACCCAGGAAGCCTACGAGCGCGCCGTAACAACCCTCTTCTCCTCCCTCGACAAAATCGAATCCCACCTCTCATCCTCGCTCACCCCCGAAAAGCCCTTCTATTTCGGCTCCAATGTCACAGAGGCGGATATCAGGTTGTTTACGACGATTATTCGGTTTGACCCTGTGTATGTGCAGCATTTTAAATGTAATATCCGGGACATTCGCTCGGGGTATCCGGCTATTCATCGCTGGGTGAGGGGGTTGTATTGGGATGTGCCGGCGTTCCGGGAGACGACGGACTTTGAGCATATCAAGTTTCATTATACAAAGAGTCATAAGCAGATTAATCAGTTTAGTATTACGCCTGTTGGGCCGGTGCCGGATATTTTGCCCAAGGATGAGGAGGTTAGGGCGGTTGCTGCGAAGTAATTAGGATTAGGATTAGGATGAGTTGTCTATATTTGGGAATATTGTGCTCGAACTAATCGATTGTTTTTGAATTTCTATTTACATAGCTCTATCAGGGTGAATGCTGCTGCACAGCAGTCCTGGATAAGTACAATACATACATCTCAAACAAAGACAGATCAACCATCCTCCTGAAGTTTTACAAGAAAAAATTAGAAACAAATACCAAAAACATGAAGATGTCAAAAGTATAAACAAGAGGGCAAAAGAAACTCCGCAGCATGCATGCATTCATTCCCACACGACGCCTCGCCATGCTAGTGTGGTGGTCAGCGTTTTGACCTTTTTTCAAGATGCTTTCGAGGAATCGGTCGGGTTGGGGTTGATATATTATAAATTTCAAGATGAATGCCCATGGCTTGGTGGTGGTGATGCGGAGCTCGCGGGATGTCGAACGCAAACAGAAGGAGAAACAGGTCGTGGATCGTCAGTTGTTGCCAAATGGGCTTTATGGGTATCTTGACGAGAATATTCAAGGTTCAGAACAAGTATGAAATAGAAGAAAAAAAGAAAGAAGATAAAGCAAAAAAAAAAAAAAAACTCCGGTTCTGTGCAAGAATAATGTAGAAGCAGAATTCTCTATCAGTGACACAATGACTGACCAGTTCCTTTCAAGAAACTGAAGCCTGAGAGCTGGTTATCACTTCAAGCCGAGGAATCTCTTCGAGTTTTCGTATACAACGTAGCTGATCGAAACCGCTGGTACAACCTTCAAAAGGTTGGGGGTAATTCCCTTGTAGAGCCCTCGTGGACCTTCTGTTTGAATCGTTTTGCGAGCGACATCGCCAATGCTATCATATGTAACAGGATGCAGGATTGTTCCCTGGGCTTGTAGTCTCGTACGGAGAACATTGAGTGGATAGACGACGGATGCACCAAATGCTCCACTGAATGCGCCAATGGCTCCTGTCATGAAGTTATTCAGAGGAACATCGTCCTCGTGGCAATGATTAAGACGGGCTTTTCGGGCGACTAGGCCCCGTTTTAGGTATTCGAATGTGGTCAAGTCGATCGCGGCGTAGGGGAACATGCCCACAAGGCCGAGAGGCAGTCCGCGGAAGAATCCGAGTATGCCGTTTTTACTAATCACTTTTCTTGCCGTCGCTGCTATTAAGCGGTTCCCTTTCGGACCACCTTCGACCGTTTCGCATTGCATTCGACTGTAGAAACAATCAGCTATGGCATTCGGCAAGTGATTTGCGAAGGTTGGATAGAACTTACAACTTTAATGTGTCAAGAGGGTAGACGAAGCATCTACAAGCTATTAGACCATGATGCAATTGCCAGTATAGCGCGAACTTACTGAGCGACCATTCCACCACACCCTCCTGACAAGAATTGCGATACCGGCATGAGCTTCTTAGGGTCATTGTGACCTTCAAGTCGAGCAAATGCGCGTTTTGCGGACTGTTATATGTTAGTGTACCGTGTCCAGAGGATGTTTATTCTTTGGATGGCAATCAGACCTCATAGGCCCCAAACTTGATAGCCGATTCGGGCATGACCTTGGCCACGTTCAACCCGTTTCCTACCCATCATCAGCACGTTCATCCAACCCGACCGGTTGTCACGCATTGAAACTAACCTGCGAACAAACTCCGGATTCCACCTGCACGCCACAGCTCCTTCATCGCATCAACGAGCGTCTTTGATGCACTGCCCGCCGCTTGCAGTGGAGCACCCTCTTTCGCCGCACGCACAGCCGTTGATTTCACGCCCGTCTGAGCAATAAGATAGACTTTGAGTCGGTCCAAAGGCGCGGTGGCTGTTCTCGACACGACGCCTGCGATTCCGCCCGCAACGAAGTAACCTAATTGAGGAGTGTTTTCGGTCAACTTCCGTTCATAATATCGAAAGGACATCCACATGGCGACACTCCTGGGTATGGGCAGCCATTCCAGCTCGAACTCATTGTCTAGAGGAACAGAGACATCTTTCAATGCGACCGTTGACTTTGAGATCTCGCCAGATTCCGCGTGGGCTATTGGGATGAGGGCTGCCAAAGCGTGCAGAGGAAAGATATTGTACAAAAGGTTCTTGATGGCCAAAAGATAACGTCTAGGAAACAAGTGGTCTGTACCTAAACCCTGCAGATCATTGATGTTGACATCTCCTTCCGGGTTTAGATTTCCCGTGGCCGTATAGTATGAGAGGATAGCGCGCAGGTCGGGGGACGAGTGGGAGGGCATAAAGAGAAGGAAATCCCTAGAGTTCCCGTCAATCGTTTTTAGCCATTGTCGAGCAATCATTTGAGAGCGACCAGTAACTACCCACCTCCATTCCTCATAAGTTATAACACCATCTTTGTTCTTATCCACATCCCAGAAGAACTCGTTCAATTTGACGCTCGAGACGGTCACCCCGGACTTGGAAAAGGCAGCCTTGAGATCGGCTTTATCGATTTTGCCGTTGTTATTGCGATCGATGCTCTGGAAAAGTTTCCATAGTCCGCTCTCCGTATGGTCGACAAAGGCCCGAAATTCTGAGGAAGATTAGGTGGATAAGGAAAAACTGGCGGGAGGGCCAGTTACGCTCGGAAGGCGACAAAGAACAACGTGGTGACCTTACCAGAGAAGTCAATGTGTCCATCCCCGTTGGTATCGACCGCCACTAGAATACTCCGTAACATATCATCCGCATTTTTTAGTGCTGAAGGAAGAGAACCGCCGAGTCAGTCAGCCTGGCAACGGAGATCGGAAATCATGACGGCGAAGCTCACGGTGATCGATCTTCTTCAGCCCCCTTTTCAACCCATTGAGATCAATAAGCCCTTCTTTCCGGGCGCCTAAAGTCTCCCACAGCTTATCAACTCTCTGATCACGGTCATTTTTCGATTCGTTGGGTGTCATATTCGATGATGAAGCTTTTCCGATGTTTGCTTATCACACGCCCGTCATTATTTTTCTCGGAAGGATCACGGTTTCACGATCGGAGAGGATGTCCCTGTCGCAGCAGGGGAGAGCCGGGAGCGGTGTGGTAATGAACTGTGCATCGAATCCGAATCGCTGAAGTCGACAAGAAGGGAGGATCTGCTTATCCCAACTGCACCCCGGAAGTTTCCCTGAGAAATCAAGCCGCGATGATTTGCTTTGCGCTTGACGACATGGCCGGATAAACTGTAGTCGCCGGGCCGGCGGCACGGGAACTGGAGGGCCCAGCCCTACTATTCCCGATCGGGCAGGTCTCGAGAGCCGCCCGATCACCGCTCTCTGGCGTACATGTGGCTGTCTGGCGGTAAACACACGTCTATGAAAGAATATCTTGATTGAAGCAGCCCTGGAGGCTTTTGTAGTGTTGGACTGGGTAATTTGAGTATTGGTGTTTCTACTATTGTCATGCCATGAAACTGACGGAGAATGTCTAGACCGCTTATTCCGTGATTCTCCGGAGTATACCTCCTTAACATGAATAGGTCAATACTTCCTATCTGAGACTGTTTAAAGAGATACACGGTCTCTGCTACCATAATGGCTGCCAACTATTGGGCGTCGACCCAGCGTCGACACTGGCTATTCACCCGGGAGAAGTTGGCAGAAGTGCGCGACAAACAACGAGAAAAAGACATGGTTGTGCATACGCAGTTTCCTTTGCCGGATCAAAGGATGCTTAATATTTATTTTAGTCAACGTGAGTTTCGCAAAAATGATACCAGGTCTCTGATTGAAACTAATGCTCGATAGAACTCACGAAGCTTGGGAAGAAGACGTCAACCAGACAGCAAGCCCTAGCCACGGCCCAGATCTACATCAAACGATTCTATACGAAGAATGAAATACGACATACAAACCCTTATCTTGTGCTTTCGACTGCATTTTACCTAGCCTGTAAAATGGAGGAGTGCCCCCAACACATTCGGCTTGTGGTTGGTGAGGCTCGAAGTCTCTGGCCAGGTATGTTATTCCCATGCTGCCATTGTTTACATACAAGCAGAAGTCACTAACTGTTAATAGATTTCATCGCCCCAGATGTCTCCAAAGTAGGAGAATGCGAATTCTTCTTGATATCCGAGATGAGCTCACAGATGATCGTGCATCATCCATACCGAACCCTCACCGAACTCCAACAAGAACTAGCTCTCACCTCAGACGAAGTCGCCCTCGCATGGTCTGTAATCAACGACCACTATCTCACTGACCTCCCATTACTCCACGCGCCTCACGTCATCGCAGTAATGGCTATCATCGTTGCTGTCGTGTTCAAACCCAGTCAAGCCGGTTTCCACGGCTCTGCAGCACCGGCTTTATCCGGAGCTATGAGGGATGGTGGTATGAATATGCTCACAGCACTAGGTGATAAGAGTGGCGGTGGTCCTCCGCCCCGAATTCAGAAGCTTATCGGATGGCTTGCTGAAAGCGAAGTTGATATTCATGCTGTTGTTGAGTGTACGCAGGAGCTGGTGTCTCTTTATGAGGTTTGGGAGCAATATAGTGAGAAGAACTGCAAGGAGCTTCTTTCAAGGATGGTCAAAACGCAGCACCTGGATAAGTGAAGCATGAGCAGGTTGGTGATTATGGATCAAGGATTGAATAGCCAGATTCGATTCCTGGCCTAATTTGTGTCTCGAACAGTCACTTTCTTCTCTTTCATTTCGAGCGGCCTAGTTCATCAATTCAGGCTATATTAATGATCAAGTCATGTTATGGAGTACCGTCCACGAATATCCTAATTCATCAGCTCCAATCTTCATGAAGGATGATTTCTCTCATCCTATCTAACATTATACGGGACCAGACAATCATAATCATCTAAATAAGTTTTCCGCAGGGAATTGGAAGCCTCACAAGGCCCTGAGATAACTATACTATTCCCCAAATGGAAAATGGTATTGTGGGGCACGTTTTGCAAGGATAAGGTTTAGCGTTATCAATTACCCCACATGTGTAACCCGTTTGAGTAACATGCATTTCTTTCACGGTTCCCAGCCATCAGAATAGTAGTAACCATCTGTACGACTCAAGATGCTTTATGGATTCAATATTACCGCCCGTTCCGAGAGGAAAAAAAAAAAAAAAAAAATGGTCCGTAGGGCTGTGGTGAAACGTATATTTTTGGGGTATCAAACAAAGTTCAAGTTCATGCGCTGGCAATACAATTCGTTGGCAGTCAAGCGGATTGCCGTCCTATACGTTGGCTGAGTGTGTTGTATCTTCCTCCTCAAATTCGAATATTGAAGTAAATGTGTTATTCTAGTTACACTGAACTGAACACGACATATAGTCTGTTTGCGAACATGTCCACATAAATCGAGCCACGTACTACTTGCATGTAGTAAGTACTATGTATAGCATTCAAACCTCTTGGTTCACTCGAATAAAGACAACATCAAGTCGAGACCCTTTGATTATCCACAACCCCACTAGCTTTCCCCAGTCAGCATCGCCAGCGTCGAAGCCCCGGGCTTTACTGCACTGCACCGAATTCCATCAAAGGGCGAATCGAATTTTCTTGGTTATTTTGTGGAGAATCGGCGATTGTCATAAAAATAGAATGTTTGGTTTGCTGAATATGTTGGTCCATTGAGGATAGATGCAGAAAGGACTTGCATTGACGCTATCTTGAAGCTGTCCGATCTTGGAGTTTCTTTATTGGCAGTATGAGAGATGATTCCTGCAGTAGACGTGCAGGAAGTGGCTTCCAACAGGCTGATGGGTTCTTAGTTCCTATTGGCATTGGCTTCAGCGCCGTAGCGCTGCGGTCTTTCTACTTGGGCCTGACGCAGGACAGAAAGGAAGGACTTGGATAATTTTACTCAGTGACTAGAATATTGGCTGCAATTGAGGGGAAGTAGTCCCGTTTTGGAAATGGACTGACGCGGCTCTACACATGAAAGCGGCAATATGGACAGAAACACTGATGCATAAAGTGTATAAAAAAAAAAAAAAAAAGAAAAAAAAAAAAGAAAAGAAAAGAAAACAAAAAAGAAAGAAAAAAAGAAATGTTTTCTATATGGTATTTTGTTTCTAGTATGGAGTATGGAATAGAGAAATAAAATGCGTTGCGGTTTATGTTGAACCGAACACGACGCTCCGGTTATACATAGCCAACCGCCCCCTGAGTACGAATACGAATACATAATCAGAGCGTTTCCTGAAACACTAAACCCTTACGCCTAGACCAACGGAGTTTGCATCTGTGTAGTGCTTGACTATTGAGATTCGGATGTATGCGTCTTCACAGACAGACATATACTTGAGACGGGTATTGCAGAATCCGATACGTGTGGCGGAGTTGTGATTGGATTGGTCTAGCGCTTATGCACGTATCTAATGTCAAGGTCCCTGATGATAGTACATAATCGAATACGGGATACCCCTTATCGGATGTCATCCTTAACGAGGGGTCAGCGGCGTGTCCGTAATATCACAAATACAGAAGAGATCGATAGCGGACGAATAGATCTTCCTACCCCTATCACGGGACAACGATTGAGTTCGACTAATCCGGCAATCTTCGAACATCAAAAGAGCGGTGACATGAGCGGATGGCATGCGCAGGACACACCAGGAACAACTTGTCGAAAACGCCACCGTTGTGTGACCATGAATCATGGGGGCCATGTGTGCCCCATACAGACGCCAGAGGATTTGAAGAAGGATTGTGCATGAGGCGATGTTTTGGTAACCGGGCCTCCGGACCAATCAGGGTCCACGGAGATCTTCAGACGGAATCGACTCCATTTCTGCATTCCAGCCTTTCCAGGCTCATTCCATATTGCAAATAGTACTCTGTACTCCAGAGTAGTAACAACGGGGTTGCCCAAGGTGCCACCTCGCCTACAGACTATGTACTCCGGAGTACTCGTGGTTGATGTCTCCTCCTGTTTCATCTGTTGATCATAATGTCTGGGGAAATGGTTCAACGCCCGGGCACATTGTGACCCAAGCAACTCCTTGACTGCATCTGTAGAGCACTCCGGGAAGACCGGCCCTCCGTTGACGCAGAGAAATGTCCGAATTCGGATCAAAGCAGCACGCACCTGAACAGCGTCGGTTCCTGATTCGACAGGGTGTAAGATGCCTGACAATCTCGCCACACTACTTTTGGGAAGGAGGCGCTGCAAGGCGTGCAGAGATCTGCTGATCCAAGCGTCGTCATTGGCCGTGGAGAGCAGGGCCAAGTGGCACGATGATTTGGAACGAGTCCGACGGGGTGTACTAGCCACTTGCGTACTATCTAGTCTGCCCTGCCACTTTTTACTGCCCTCCTGCATAGTGTACAGTGGACAGGGCATACGTGGAAGCATGCCGGTTCTCGGAATAATGCGACATGCCAGGTCAACACCACTACCCTACATAGTACACTGTACAAGGACTTTGTACTCCGTACAGAGAACGGAGTGTAGATAGGATTGTTGAAGACATGTCTCCCGTAATAAGGCTCATATTGCAGTCGTATTATCATCTCCACAGTCAATCCAGACTAGTAATGCTAGTGCATAGTACGGGGGAGTACGGAGAGTATCGTCATTTCAGGGGGCGAGGCACCTGCCAGACTAGTCAACGGCCGTAAATAACACCCTGCATGACAATACCATACGTGGATGCTGACGCTAGCGGGCATCGACCGACAGCGACTAGTCCTCGATTAGAAAAGTCTTGCCTCCATAAACGTCATTAATTACCACTAAGGTAGCCGCCATATCTCCACTTTGCATCAGTCGGTTTCCCTATTGGTAGCCCGATGATGAACTTGCCACTAAGGCAGCCGCTTCCTAAATCGTGATTGGCTGCTAGCTGGCTCCTAAAACTGGTTGAATACCTTAGCGCAAAAAACACAACAAACAAAAGTGGAGATTGAATGACAATACCATACCCGCTTTTAAGGAGACATCAGAATGGAAGACAGGCAGAAGAGACAGGAAGGTGACGGTAAGGTATGGTAACGTGCTGGTCATATTCCTTGCTGGGATCCACCGACGACTCCGCCCCAGCCGAAAAGAATAACAACATTACCGGCAGCCCCTCTTGCTCTGTTCTTTTGCTTTTCGCTTCTTTTCTGTTGGTCCCGCCATTTTCTTCTTAATTCGTACGATCTCCATCCCACAACGCTGTCCTTCGTCTCTCCCTCTTTCTTCTCATTTCTTGCTCTTTTCACTCCTCGAATTCCATCCTTTCCATCCTTCGCTTATCCATCTCCTTTTGTTCTAATTCTTCTTTTTCTCGAACGCTTTCTCCCTTTTCTTCTTCTTGCAAATATCTTTCCGTATATTCAAACGTTGTTGTTCTTCTTCTTCTCCCCCGGTACTTCGCATTCAACGCTCTACCACTTCTACACATCTTCAATATGTCGACCTTCTTCTACGGCCAACAGCACCAGCACCCTCACGTCGCTCACATGCAAAATAACCACCACGGAGGCCGCTCCCGGAGAGGACCCAAGATGGCCGCCCAGAACACCCAGCAGCGCCAGTTCCGCGGAGTCAAGAGCATGAGAGAACTGGCTGAGGCTCCCGCAGTGTCTGCCTTCCGGGCCAGATTCGAAGCTGGGCGGTCTTTTGATTTGGATGACGATTTGGAGTTTTGCCCGGGTCTCCTGACCGAGGACGATGTATGTGCTTCACCGCTCGGGATTACCACCCCCGTACATTCTAGTAGAAGAATGGCCTTTTTATCCCTTTTAAGGGAATATAAACGAAGGGAATTAGTGAAACAGATCATTGACATTTGTTTTGCAGCTGCATTCCATCCACTCCGCCTCTTCCGATCGCTCGTCGCTGTCTAGCGGCTCTCCCGACACCTCTCCCCTCCAACACCAGATCCAGCCTGTCCAGCAGCAGGTCACTCCTTCCATCTCCTTGTCTCCTGCTTCCGCCAACTCCTACGTCCACTCGGGTGTTACTGGTAACCCCGCTCAGATGAACTTCCAGCAGCCATCTTCCGCCAGGACCCGCAAGGTTATCCCGATCGTCAATCCTGCCACCGGAATGACCTTGACTAGCCCTCCCACCTCCATCTCTCCATCCATGATGCACAACCAGCGTCGGTGGTGAGATCGTCCTAGGTACTAGCGTCAAGCCGGCTTCTAGTTGGGGACATATCCTGCCCTTGTCTCGCCTCCTGCATCATCGGGTTTCTATCAACCACGGGTCTTGTTTTTTTCGCTTTATTGATTTTCTTTCAGTCGACATAAATGTCTCACTATACCACGACTTGACCGACAGATTACTTTCGCCCTCGTTTTTCACGAAAAAGATAAAGCAGTGTTTCATTGTATATACAACCTTCTATTCCGGATGACGACCTCTTTCTTCGCATTAGATTATCTGCGATATCTCGGCTTTCTGCGAGCGACGGCGCCTGCGACTTTCGATTTTGCTGCATTACTCAAACTCAGTGATACCTTTTTTTTTTTTTTTCTTTTTTTCTCGGTTGGCAACCTTTGTTTTTCTTTTTCGTCTTTTTTTTTTTTTTTTGACCTGGAGGATTACCGCGATGATGCTTGGAGCATGTGAAAGTGCTGGGCGCATATACCCTTGGCTTGGAGTTGTCTTGTGCTCTCTGGCTGGCCACCATTTTACGATTCTTTGCTAAATATTCTTTGGATCTTGGGTTATTTTACTTGGGCGGAGTGGATTTTGTTTTTGCATTGGGAGATATCTAGAAAGGCGGAAACGATATACGTCTGCATTGCTTTGGGATGTGTTGACCTTTTTGACTTTGCTATTCTTGCTTTTGCTTTGCATACCTTTTTTATTTGATTTGTTTGTTTTCATGTATATGGATTGGAGATGGGTGACTACGATTGCTCATTACTTTTCCTGCCACCGGTTCCGTGGCAGATGGGTCTGGTTTGTTGTGAGAAAATCCCGGTTGGATGCGGAGTTGATTGATGTCTTTTGGGGGTCGCTCGTTAATCGCGAGTTTCGACCATTTGCACTAAAATTGTGTTGTTTCAATTTGATGTGTCGTTGGTCGACCATCTCTTTCGATTCGTCTTCCGCGTTGACTCGCTTGGATTCTTCATGGTATATTTTTGTGTCTTTTTATATTTTATATTTTTTCTTCTGGGAACTCCCGAGGAGTACGATGCAGTGTATGATTCTTTTATATTATTTCGGGGAAATCTGTCATTCTCATTGCATCTCTTTTGTCTATATTGCTTTTTATCTGAAATATGAATACATAGTCGTCCACTGAAATGATGGCATACTAAGCGGAATTACTTTGATCCGGTCGGCGTACATTGCCCTCGTCTTTGTTTTGTCCCTCTCGTCGACCATCATCCTGTTTTCTCTTCATCATCCCACTATCTATTGACACTTCTCCGCTATTCCGAGGACTGACATACAATCGACAACAAATCAGTTCCGTCAACAAAGCTTTGCGCTCGAAATAGTCCGTCCACATCTCGTTGCTTATCCGTCAATGGAAAACTAATTCTACAATTGCGTTAGAGCTTGTATTAGAGTTTCTTATTCTAGCTATAACACAACCTTCCCCTGTCAGAGTTCTACCTCCTTGTCTTTCCTGGCTCCTACTTGTCTATTTATTGGTAGTGCTGGCAGGGGCGCATACGACTGGCTTGACATCGCCGTCGGACTCCAAGGGCATATCGGAGCTCGATGGAAAGAAAAGGGGTCCCATTCATGGAAATACAGAGTCAGTGATGCCAGGTCTGGCTGTTTGATGGCTTATGTTGATATGGATCTGACAGTAGAGAAGTTCCAATTTCGGACATTGACCGGTTGGTATTCTAAAGGAGTTAAACCCTAAAAAGTGACTGGTTCCCTGACAAGCGGATGACATATGTATCAGTTTGTTGATTAGTTTATTATCCGGGTCTCTCATTTAACTACAACAGATTCAGCTTCACCTTGCATTATAGATCATTGGAACCAATGGCTCTCTCCGCAGACTTCTCTCATTTGACAAGTACATTGTACAGGTTACTCGCGTGCACTTTCCTGTCCCACAAGACGGTCCGCTCCCACTACTTGCTTCATGTCGGAATAGTTGCAGTGGCTATTATTCTCTGGGTCAAACGCCCGGGACAGGGAGTCCCGATTGTGGGAGGCGAGGATCCAGCCGCCATCAAGCAAAGCCGAATTCGATCCATACACGATGGCATGAGTATGCTTCAAGAAGGCTACCAAAACGTGTTTCGCATCGGCTGAGATAAAGGCTGTTATTGCCTATATAACATGGAACTATGACTTTCGATTTCCAGAAGACCGACATGAGCGGCCCCCAAGTTTGCTTTTTGAGATACAGAATCTGCCCAATCCGACAGGGAGAGTTATGTTCAAACGCCGAACCTAGAGGATGGCCTTGAGCAACATCTACCACTGAGCATATGATTCAATCAATCGTTTATTATCTGTCTACAATTAGATATAAAGCCGCGTATCGCCCCCGTTGTCCGATTCCTTCATCGGGTCGCCGCTGTTCCTCACGCACATCCAAACATCAGGAGCTGCCGCCTGTTCTTCAAGCATGGGCAGAACAGCAAGTCAAATCCGGCAGATGATGCTGTGTTTCAAGCCTGAAGCGATGAGCACCATGCTGCATGATGCCGCGCATGAGGTCTCGCCGCAGCGACTGTGGCAGGCGTTTTTGGGCACGCAGCATACATTGGTAACGTCTTGGTTATGGTTTCATGTGTATCAGGTAGACTTTGTGGGCTCTGAGCAACAGCCATGATATGTGCACGCGGTTATGCCCAAGATGAATGGTTGTCTTCAGGTGATGGATTCGGGGGTGGATTATGGGGGCATCGATGTCGCTTTGTATCTGGATGCAGAGGCGATGGGAAGGTTTTTGTTGGATAAGCAGTTACATATTTGATCAGATTAAACACAACTATTGGCTGTGTTCTACCTTTTTGTCTTGTCTCTTGCTCGTATGCTCGTTCCTCCCCAGGAGTTCGCTTTATACGATTTGACTTTCATCCACAAATATGGCAGCAGACGCAATCATGCTACACTCCACTATCAAACAGCGAGATTCAGGCATAATGCAAGCACAGTACCATGACAAACTAACTAGTTAGTTATCACATGACATGACATAAGCACCATGCCTGCTTCGCGTGTCGCGAAGTATTATTGCAGTCTCCACGATAATACATACCTTTGGGCTATATGCACTTCTCTCCACTACGATTTCTTATCTACATAATGGAAGCTTCGTTTTCAAGCCTAAACTGTCATTCATCGCGACTGACACCCGAATGAACTCAGTTGTCAGCGTTGATAAAGCAACTCATCCGTATCGCCCTTGAAAATGTCGGATACTGATCCTTATAGGAAAATCGTGGAAGAGCATGAGTCTAAGCTAAAACAAATCGAAGAGGAACGCAGAAACGCCGAAGAAGGACGGTGAATTGCTGAGGAGAGACGAAGGGATGCTGAGAAGTAGTCGAGACAGACGACATTTGCCGAATTCATCGAATACTGCCACCTTTACTTTTCAAAGCCTATTCAGTTTCAGAGGAATCCGACCCTTGCTACCCAAGGACCCTTGACAAATCCAGCAAACCGCTTTCATCCGACCTACCTTCGCCAGTGGATTGATTTTCCCCGTCTTCAGCAGGAAGTGTACAGCAATGTGTGTTCGCTGTTTCATAGTCATCAAGGATCCCCTTTCGCGCCGTTCACTTCCCGCATAAAATTAAGAGACCTGGGGCGTGGTTTTTGTCGCCGCATCTTAGCCAGTGAGAGCGATGTTCAAATCCTTGGACGTATGACCATCGAGAACGATGTCAGGCACATCCTCGCCGGGCTACAGTCTATTCCAGGATCATCGAACATCTCTCCAAACAATGTCAGGATATCATTCGAAAATCATTCAAGTGTTTTGAGTGAAACTCTCGATGCCCAAGGAGGAACGACACGGTCCAAAACAATGCCATGTTGCGTTCATCGTGAAGTGAACGGCAGAAACGAGCTGCTCACGATTATAGAATATAAACCGCCACACAAATTGTCTCCCGAGCATTTACGCGCTGGTCTTCTTCTGATGAACCTGGTAACGGAAATCGTTCAGAGCCCAGGAGTACCAGTCAGCCATGGGGAAAGATTTTAATATGTCGCAGATATGAAGGTCGCAGCTGTTGTAATGTAAGCGTTTGATGTTATGATCAAAGACGGCGTCGCATATGCTTGTGTGATGACTGGGGTTGGACAGGTGCTTCTTCCATGTAGCAAAGGACGATCCTGAGACTCTATACTACTTCTTGGTAGAACCTAATTTAGACGTTGAGGCGATAAAAGCGACGCATGGGGATGATGTCTGGTCATCTGGACGACCCCGATCTTCCTGGACCACTACATTCGTCCCCGATTCCTTATCTAGATGGCCACAACAGAATTGAACGGCGGGCCCGGTGTCCACCTCAGGAAACACGGGAAGAGTTGGATTACTGTACGCAAAGCTGTCTCCTGGGTTTACATACCAAAGGCGAACTAGACTCCCAATGCCCAAATATCGACCGCCATCGCCTCTCACAGCCCACAAACCGATACTTAATCGACCAATCCGACCTGGTACGTCTTCTGAAACAGCAACTAGACGCCCGCCCAGATTACTACTGCGAACCACATAGTCCCCCAAGCAGTAAAGGAGTCCCTCTAAAAATCACCCTAATACCACACGGCTACACATTTATCGGCAAAGGAACAACTGCCACCCTATGGCTCGAAATACGCCGCGAAGCCGACGTCTACCAAGTCTTACGCGCATGTCAAGGCTCCGCAGTCCCCGTATTCCTCGGCACCCTCGATCTACACAAAACATTCCTCATGCACCCAAGTACATGCATTAGGCATATGCTGCTGTTATCGTATGCGGGTGATCGGTCGATCTCACATTTTATTTTATTTTTTTTATTTTATTTTTTAATTCTGATAAAGTGTTAGTACAGAGTAGAAGAAGAGAAACAGTCGGCACGGGAGATTCGGAAGCATGGGGTGCGGTATCGGAAGCTGCTGTTTGGGCCGTCTAATAATTTGGAATTCGAGGTTGGGGCGCGTTCAGATTGTTGGGTTGCATCGATCGCAATTGGTTATTCCGAAACTGGGCTCGGGGGGTTCTGGGGGGTTGAGGAAGCGGTCGCTGGGGTAGGGGGTTCGCGTGAGAAAAGGGTTCGTGGTGTTTGAGGAGGGGAGGAGAATTCTCGAGAAGCCCACTCTATATTGGTCTTTATTTGTATATCCATGCGTTTGAACTTGGTCACAGTGAGGGGTAGAAGCTGTATGTACAGTCGTTCTCGCTTATGTGCACATCTTATAGCGGAGTTATTGATGGGGTATCATGGGACTAGAGGTTAGTCTACGTGATTGCTAACTACTGGTACCATTCATCTCTACGGAGTACATAGATGAGTAACATCTAGATTTAGCTAGCGTGGCAAGTTGCAGTTTGCGGGGTTCAGGTCGTATATCACTCCTAAGGGCCTTTTCAAAAAGAGGACATTCGCACCGGGGAGCCTTCCTATTGGCACATCATTATCAGAGGGATTGAAAAAAAAAAAAAAAAAAAAAAAAAAAATCCGGGGAAGTTCTACGATCTGATAAGGTTATATGTGGGGCTGCGGATAGACTAACCATGTTTTAGCGTCTGCGCTAGTCCAAGTTTATTTCTTATCTACTCTGTAGCACTAACCACGCAAAACCCCCAGAAATCTCCTCTTCACCTCCGCTTTCAACGCTTGGTGTTCCGAATCTGTCCGTGCCACTGCATCCTGATTCTCCATTGCCCGCCTCACGAGATACTGCAAACATTCTCCCAGACTTCCCCACGTCAAGCACTTGTAGACTCCCGGGGACATATTGTTGTGGCCCTTGACTTGCAAGAGACCGTAGCTTACACCATCGGCCATTCCCATTAACTGTCCGTACTCCACATTGACGGTGGGGAGTTGCGCGATCATCCGAGTCTGGTGCAGGTGATGAGCGGCCATGACACTTTTATAGTTGTGAGATGCCAGGAAAAGGTCCGTAGGCGGGAACGCCTTTGCGTTCTCCCCACCGAAGCCCATAAACCGTCTGGACAGCACACTCTGCACGATAGTATCATACGCCGTATCAGTCTCCTCTTTAGTATCATGGATCAAATTCCTCGGGTCCGAGCCCATGTATGCCCCGCGAACCAATTTCAAACCGAGAATGAACCCTTCGCTCCCGGCTGCCTGCATGTGTGTCGCGATAACGTCTGGTGTAGCTTTCAGGTAGGCCTGGTAGGTATTGTACACGACTGTTCTGCCGTCTCGGTTGTACTTGCGCATCAGGTCGAGGGTCCATGAGTAGATTCCGTCGAGGAAGGCGCGTTGTTCAGCATCCATTAGGATCCGGGCATTCTTTTGTACGACGCGGCGGCAGATTTCGTCGAGGGCTTCGAGCATTTGAGGTGGTGGGGGTGTGTTGGTGGTTAAGGCTTGGTTGACTTGGGGGCCGGCTCCAGTCAATCTACTATTGTTAGCGAGACAGCAAAGTAGTGAGGGGAGGGTGAGCTCACTTGAGTGCCAGGTAGTCACCTTCGTCAATCATGTCTATTGTTCTTAGTACGCCGTCTGTCCAAGCCTGGATCATTTCGTCCCTTTCCAATGCTTCCACTTTTTCATTGCTCTCTTCCTTTTGTTTTGCTATGCGGTCATCCCGGGTAGTCTCCCGGGCATATGTCAAGATAACACCCCGTAGTCCTGTATCTTTGAGCTGCCGTATAGTATCTCTCACTTGACCTTCCACCTCACCCGCACAAAAATGGTCATACAAAGTTCTCTTCAGAAAACCATGGATGAACGGGTTTCTATCCACATTGAACAAAGGACCTTTTGCTTTCGTAAGTAACATTAGAATCGACAAAGACGGGACGCGGAGGATCCAATTGGAGGATATTGTGGTGACCAGAAGTGAGCGTAGTAGCACGTTGGTCGGAATGATAGAGTGAGCAGGCGGCTTGGTCTTGTGGTCGATTGCTGAGGGCTTGGATGTCTTGTGCGGGAGACCTGCTCCTGGGATCAAGGTGGAGGCAGTCGAACCTCGACGGACTTGGAACTTTGACAAATGGTTTCTGATTGCTGTGAAGGCAGCGGCGATTTTGTTTCTGAGCATGTTGTCGTGTTGTTGAATGGACAATGGATGGAATCAAGATGTCCAGGTGAGGGGGGCTCTTTTCAATGTATAGTTCCCATACATGCTGCGGGGTACATTAAGACTAGACTAGGCGACAAGGCGTTGCATTGTAGCACTAGGGTACGCGATAACAGTGATCATCACATTAACCCTGGTGCATCAGGGATGGAGTCCGACTCCAGTTGTGCTTCGGATTCGCTCCCGAGGAAAAGTTCGCTCTCTGGCGGACTCTGAGGGGCTCGCTACTCCATAGTGTCACTGATAACGGCTTCCTTTGGTAGTGGGACCTGTTCCGATGCGGAAGCTTATGCCGAGTTTAGGGTCATCTGGGGATGGAATTGATATCCTGATAAGGAAAGTGATGGGAGTACGAGAACATCTTGATGTCAGATTCCATCTGTATCTAATCTAGACAGAGAAAGCTAGACAGAAAGTAAGGCTGGAGTAAGATAGATCAGTGTAAAGTACCTCCGTATAGATCAAGATACCTGATTCGGTTAGCGCAACCCCGCACATGACCACGATAAGTCAAGGAATTCCACAGCAACGCTGTTCACATTTCCGTTACATCCACGGCAACATCAATCGCTATCAGATAATATCAATCATTTACCATGAAACTGCGCAGTCGAACTGGTTGCTTGGCCTGCAAGAGTACGTCCAATCCACGATACCAATAGTTTATTCTAACAGATGACAGGTAGAAAGCGTCGATGCGATGGTACAGCTGTCCCTGGCTAGTGTCGGCTATACTGAACCAAGCTGACCACTTGAACTAGAGGAGCGGCCATCTTGCAGGAACTGTCTGGTGCGAGGGGTCGTGTGTCCGTATCTCACTGAGCCGTCGCAGTCGACCTCGTTGCGATTCAAGATTAGCCGATGTATGTATGTTTTATGTTTGCTTGGTTTGTATTAGCAGCTGATGTGTTCTAGGCGATGTTCGGTGGAAGTCGCGTCGAGGAGATCTGCTATGGCACTTTTTAAGTGTTTCTTCTCGGGATATGAGCTTGTTTTCTACCGAGCATGTGTCATCAAAGGATAGGTCTGAGGTCGACAACGTCTCGCAAGACTTTATTGGCTCTCTCAGGCCTGGGCTTTCGATAAGTCCGTTGGGAGGATGCGGCATCCTTGAGAAACAACTCTTTCAATATTGTACGGTGGTCCAATGAGAGATAGGAAAACCAACTAACTGGATGCAGATCTAGAAGTTATTTGCAAGGTTCGAGTCTTCCAAGATGACCAAAGCAACCATTTTCGATCTCTGGTTATCCCATTTTGCTACGGACAACGGCCGCTATTATACGCTGTCCTTTCCCTAAGCGCCAATGACCGTCGCGCAGAGACATACCTCGATTACGAGAAGGTCTCGTTATCGTACAAATCGCAAGCCCTCTGCTTACTTCGCGAGTCATTGACCGATATGCATTATGCCAACGAGACCCTCATAACATGTGTTATTCTGTGCTCTCTAGAAATTGCTTCAGGCTGTCGACCAGACTGGGTTCAACATGCACAAGGCGCCTTTGCTATCATCGATAGTTTCGCCAACCTCCTTGACCCACAGATACTCTTCTTCGTGTATAGCTACTTCCGTTTTCGTACCGTTTTCTTCTTGACAACGAGTTCTCGCGAGCAGGTTGATGATAGCTCAGACAGCATTTCAACTCTACAATGTCCTTCAGAAATAGGACTAGACGTTGACCTTGGCTCGGATATCCGGGACAAAATCCAACCTCATATGGGCTGCTCCCTCAGTCTACTTGATATCATAGCAAAGATGACCCGCCTGGTTCAACGGAAACGGCATCTACGCCAGAGTGGTCGCAGTTCGTTGACCTGCGAGGAGGACTTGCGATGCCAGGCTATGTCCATCCGCAGCCAACTGGACTCGCTGACTGAGGAGAATCCTTCTGCTAGTGATTACCTAGCAACATGTGCTGAATGTTTCCGCATGGCAGCGGATCTGTTTCTACAACTGGCGTGTGATATCCCGCCATGCCAGCCGGCGCTGCAAGAGCAACTTGGCCGCTTGTTAAATCGAATTGGGCAGGTGATCCATGAGGGTCAAGAGAGACAGCTGTTTCCCATGTGGCCGCTTTTCCTCGCTGGATGTCTGTCGAATACGGATGAGGATCGTTTACAGGTGCTGGACTACTTTTCTGTTCTTTTGCACCAATGGCCTATCAGTAACATCCCCATGGTACGTGAAGCTACAGAGACGATTTGGAAGTCGCGAGATTTGAATGTGGAAGAGGACCAGAGCAAGAATGGCTTTGATTGGCAGATAATAATCGAACAGATGAACTGGAAACTAGCATTATCATGAATCAAACAAACAATCTCTCAAACTAAACTAAGCCTGGACGCATCACAACTTAGACAACTTCTTAATATCCGCAAACTCCCTCGTTTCCCCAAGCCGCCAACTAACATCCCCCTTCCCATCATCCTGCCCCTTCCCCTCCTTCCACTGCCACCTAGCAACCCCCTGCCCCCCCTCCTCCACCAACCCCTTCACCCACCCCCCCGCAATCGGCAACATCTTAAACAAATGCCCCGAATCCCCCGACAACATCACAACAGACCCCTCCATCCCAGGCACATAATCAACCACAAACTCCGAATCCCTCGTATCCGCAAACCAGCACAACTTCTTCCCCACAAGCTCCCTCCCCTCAAACCCCGGCAACGCCTCCCTCAACAACCGCCGAATCCGCCCCTCATCCTCAACCGGCAAAACATCGCTCTCCGCAAGTGTCTTGGGCGGCAATGATCGTCCAGATACGGGATCGGTGTTGACATACCCCCCGCCCATGGGGCAGATCTTAAGCCAGTTGGTGACTGGGTCCGGTTCGAAGAAAAAGCCCAGGTCGCGGGCATAGGTTACGGGAATGTTGCGCAGGGCGGAGGTTTCGTCGTCGGTTAGGTGGATGTGTGCTAGGGACCAGGATTTCGCGACGATTTGGGATGCTGCGGTGGGGATGAGGGTTGCTGCTGCGGCGCCGGTGGCGACGATTGTGAGGGTTGTTGGGATTGTGGTGCCGGAGTGGGTGCGGAGGGCTGTTATCTTTTTGCTGTTGGGGGAGTGGATTAGTTCGGTTATCCAGCCGCGGTCCTTGCCGAGGATGAATTTGACGCCGTTGGCTGCGGCAGCCTTATATACCGCGAGCAAAGCATTAGATGCATGGGCATAGCCCGCTTGGCGGTTGAAGTAGCCTTTCCAGCCGGGGAATTGGCCGTCGTATTGCCAGGCTATGTTGCGGATGTCCTCGCGGGTAGTAATATCCTGGATCTGGCCCTTGTATTTGGGATGGTCGCGGACTGTCGCGAGGAAGCGCGTTAGAGTATCGACTGCTTTCTGGGGAGCGGAGCCGGAGACTAGGTGTAGGAATCCGGTTTGGTGGTAGTGGGGTGCGTAGAGGGGGGTTTTCCACGCTTCGATTGCTTTCTGCGCAGTGTTAGCATTTCTGTGTGCATTTAATTAATTAAGGGAAGGGGGCGTACAATCGTCAACTCAGTATACCACGGATCCTCATACTCAGCCCTCACGATCTTATTAAGATCAAAACCGGCCGACGAGCGAGGCGGGATCTGGTCATCTTTTTCAAAAACAGTGATATTCGTATATCCATCACTGGCAAGTTGAAGGGCAGTGGAGAGGCCGAAGACGCCTGCGCCAATGATGGCGATGGGAGCGGATTTAGAAATGGGCATTGCGACTGTATGTCAAAATAAATTGAATGAATTGTTGGCTCTGTGTTTGATGGGGGAGGGATTGGTCTTTATATGTACGTTTAGCTAGATCACACTATATACAAAAGGTTAGCTCGGTTCCAATATCCGGGTGGTGATACCCATGGCGCAAGTTGCGGTGGGAGGATAGTCTATGCGACGCATTCCATGATGCGGGGGTGCAACGTTGTCTATGCAGAGGATTGGTTTAATTAGCGGGATGGGCAATTTGTGGTTAGATTATGCGATGGGATAGCTATTGGCTGGTTATAGCATATATTTTTTTTTTTTTACCCGATATAGATATAATGAAGCTATACAATAAAACGACTGACAATTGCATTGCTAATGTTTGCTTCTATGTACACCTTATTGTTCATCCTACGCTAGCTAATTACTCATTGCTAGGGTATTTGTATCCATCCAGCGGGAAAAATTCCTCCTTAATCGTCCGAGGACTTGCGAATCGCAAGAGCGCATTCGGGCTACCGGCCTTGTCATTTGTTCCACTGGCACGGCTTCCACCAAACGTTTGCTGTCCGATAAGTGCGGCTGTCGTTTTGCAGTCTACAAATGTTAGAAGGAGATAGTCCAAAGAAGAGGGGAAAGATAAACTCACTGATATAGAAGTTTCCTGCCGAATACCGCAGTGTATCCTCAGCCTCTCGGACGGCTTTCCGATCCGCCGCAAAGACAGCACCCGTTAGGGCAAATCCGCCGCCGCTTTTGTCAATCTTTTGCAGGATGGACGACCACTGGCTATCCGGGTAGACGTATACTGACAAGACTGGTCCGAAAACCTCTGTGTTGAACAGTTCGTGGTCGATGTCGTTAGCCCGGTAAACAGTCGGGTGCACGTAGAAGCCCGTCGAGTCATCGTAAGTTCCACCTGTGATCAACTCCAACGACGAATCCTTGTTGCTAGCATCGATAACGCCCTTGATCCTCTCAAAGGAGCCCCGGTGGATGACAGGTCCCATAAATGCATCCAAGTCCTTGTCGGGAGATCCAATGGTGATAGTCTTCGTTTCCTCCTTGAGCTTGGACAGGAACTCCTGAGCCCGCGACCCAGGCAGATACAATCGCGATGTAGCTGAGCACTTCTGTCCTTGGTACTCAAATGCACCTCTAATGGTATGGTAGACAGCGCTGTCGACATCTGCCGTCGGATGGACGAGGTGGAAGTTCTTACCGCTAGTTTCGCCAACCAGGCGAGGGTAGTCGCGGTAAACCTTCTTGCCGATATTCTGACCGACCTGGCTGTACAGCGAGCGAAAGACATCTGAGGAACCTGTGAAGTTCAAGCCCGCGAATTCGCGGTGGGAGAGTACTGTGTTTGTGATTTGTTCGGCGTCGCCGGTGACGAATTGGATCACGTTGGGAGGCAGGCCAGCTTCGAGGAGGATCTTGTAGACCAGGGTGCTGGCGTAGACGTTGGACGGGGAAGGCTTCCAGACCACGACATTGCCCATAAGTGCGGGGGCGGAGACTAGGTTGCCTCCAATGGCTGTGAAGTTGAATGGCGAGATGGCGTAGACGAATCCTTCGAGGGGTCGGTAGTCCACTCGTCTAGAAGAATTAGCCTTGTAGTCACTAAAGGCAATGGTTTAAAGGAACATACGTCCACATCCCCTCACTTCCACGATCCGGCTGCTTCTCCAACAATTCAGCAGCCAAATTGCAGTTCAAACGGAAGAAATCCGCCAATTCAGCCGCAGCATCAATCTCCCCCTGCCAGACATTCTTTCCCTGTCCCAGCATCGTCGCAGCGATAAGGTCATACCGGTACTTGCCAGTCACAAGCTCCGCAGCTCGCTGAAAGATAGCAACTCGATCGACGAAAGGCGTATTTTCCCATTCCTTCTTAGCACCCAGCGCTGATTCAATCGATGCATTGACTTGCTCCGAAGTCGCAAGCGGATAGTTGGTGAATGTGGTAGCGTGCTCGGATGGAATTGGCTGTCCGATGGTATTTGAAGCGGATTGCGCTTTGCCGTTGACGAAGAATGGGCTTTCGAGGGGTAGTTGAGACTTGAGGGTTTTCAGGGATTTTTCCAGTTGTGCTCTTTCGGGTGATCCTTTGATAAAATCAAACTGTGCTGGTTAACTCTCCTCCTCTCTGGCCTTATTATTGTACTCACGTTTGGTTCGTTTCTGGCCGCTGGTAGTCGAAAAGGCACGGTTGCGATACTTCGTGCTTGGATTGAGGGTAGGCGCAATGTGCGCGCAATTGGCAACTTAGTAGGGATTCTGGGCAACATTATCGGGTATACCGTGAGCTACTTGAATGTAAAAATAAAGAAAGACAATTTGATACATTTAAATCGCAGCAGCAGCTCTAATATAACAAACCATGCAATCGCATAAACTAACCATGGCTGATCAGATCCGCTAGATAAGATACATGTGGGGTATTCGGGTGGTCTAACCGAGAATCCACCAACAGCATTGTTGCGGATGGCTTTCCGTCACGGATGACCTTCCGCAATAGAATCCTCTACATTGTTCCTTCAATGCCACAAGTCATAACTTCTCCTCACTGAGTGCTTTCTAGTCAACGCTCCCACCTCCCAGCAGAGATCTGTCCGAACCCCAGGTGTTACAAAGAGGGGAAGCGTTCGGGGATCAATGTAACATTGGAATCAAGATTCGGCCGCATCTTCAGCATAGATCTAGTCTAGTGGAAGCCCATGGAGCACGATAAGACGTTCATACTTCTTGAGCTGCCAGATACAACATGCGCGATCATATCATAAAGCTGCAGGCACAAAAAGTCGACCCGAAATAACGGAGCATAAAAGGGACATAACTTCTGTAGACAGACCGTTCACATAAAACGATAACGGCGGTTACTTTACATGGCTGTTCTCCGTTATGATATTGGTTCTCATTCCCAGCATACTCACACGGGCTCGATTCGAAAAACCATCAAGAAAGTAGCAGCCATGTAATTTCGCTATTTTCTTGAATGTTGGTCTATTGTAGAAACACAACAATATTCTGTGTCCCAGGCGGATTAAGGCTTGATAGTATGAAGCCAACCGTCGAGTGTCTTGTAAACCCAAGTCTCTTGTAGAACTTTGGAGATATCTGGCTGTCAACAACAAGACACAGGCTGTGGTGCTCGGAAAGCGCAAGGGTTTGTCTTCAATGCATCTGTAGGAGGTATGATAATCCTCTTAATTTTCCCAGTGCGATAACATCCATGGATTTCAATTGTTGAAGACATGTCCAATCGGCGATGTAGCAGCAAGGATCCTCCACCCTATGGAAAGTATGGAAGCTAAAGAGAAAGCCCAAGGTGCAGCATCTAGCATGATGAGCCGCTTCTAGATGCAAAGCACTTGTAGATACAGCTACACTAATGGTATAATATATAATATTCGTGAATGTATTTTCACAACACATGGCGGATGTGGAGCCCACGCTCATACCTCAAGATATGAACACTTAGCCTACAGAACGTCATGATAAGCCCCATATAAATATAACAGGCCAAGTCAATCGTGAAACGACAATCTAATCCATTCACTTCGTCTATGTTCTCCCTGTCCATCTCCCCCACTGTTATTCTCGGCCATGGACTGATGATGTCATGCTTCTGGGCGGCCTCAACCTCCAGCAGAATAATAAGCCGCAACTCACTTACCCTCAAGGAATACCAGGGGTAACCTAGATATAATTGAAGCCTTGTTTAACAAAGCTTTAGCTATAATAACCGAAAAAGAAGAAAATCGCATATAAATAGACGTTCAATGGCGAAGAACTCCGTCTGCCCGGCGCCGGTTGAGTATGTCTGACGTCATGCTTTACACCACGGCGATGATTCGTAATAATCGACTTTCTCCTGGTTAGCCTTGGATCTTTTCTACTTTAAATTGACTCTTCGCAGAGACTCATGTGCATACGAAACTATACTATTTGGTATGTCAAGCCCAGTCCATCCGATCTATACGAAGCCGGAACTGACCAGACCCTCGCCACGCAGATCTAAACGTTTTACTACATTCCAACAACCACAATGTCTTTCCTCGCCTCTACTCGCGCAACTCTCGGTCCCCGTCTCACTTTCCGTCCTACTCCCGCATCCCTTTCTGCCCTCCACACCTCTCCGGTAAGGTTTTCGTTGAAGGAGTCGGATACCAGTGAGTCGAACACCTGACGCCATTGCACAGCAAGAAAGGAAGAAGTAGATGCTAACAACAAGTACTAGACCGCGATGATCTGAGCAACGTCTACGAAGCTGAAAAGGAGCACCAGGCCAAAGATCGGAAGGAGGGAAAGGCACACTGGAAGCAGGAATTGGCCAGTAACAGTGAAGCTTCGGTATGTGCTTTCCTACATATGCTATTGGCTGTAAATATAAGAAGGATATATGCTAACAATGCGCAGGTCAAAGCAGACCGTGAAGAAACCCAGACCGACGCCGAGAACATGGAGAAGCTGCAGCAGCGTACAAAGGATTCTCCCAGAAGTTCCCATGGCCTTTAAGTTTGAATGATTGGGGGTGGTTATTATTTTATTATTGCATTATAGTTCTGTTCTTACTGGGTCAGTCAGACTGGCATTTTTCTTAGGAGTCTTGAGGTTTAATATCTACGGTTTTCTGCAAAGACGGTCTTGGCAGAGTAGTATCGTATATGTATTGACCTTGTAAAAGCGGAGTATCAGTGACGTCGTAAAGAGTGTATCAATAAATGACCATAGCAGCATAACGTCCCAACGCCTATATCTCCCATAAATAACCTCTTCGGAATGAATAAACACGATGAAAGAACAGTTCTCAACGCCGTACCCTCCCAGAATCACATAACAGTAGTTCGTGTCATCAATAAGCCCAAGTAAGGAACTCACTTCAGAATAACAATCAGGATAATCAGAATGATAATCAGACCAACAATTGTCATCAGACTCCAATTGTCTCCCGCACTTCTCCGGACCTTATCCAGCCCTTTTTTCGCACGGTCCAGCCGGGTCTGATGTCTGTCCACACCTTCGTCGACCTCATCCAACAATGCGATATGTCCATCCAGCTCATCACCAATCTGAATACTCAATTGATGCTGTCGTCCGATCGACTCCCCCAGGCGGTCTAATTGGTTGTCCTGGTCACGAAGCACCTGCGAGTGGTACGCATGTACCTGCTGATTATCCATACCAGATTGGTCGACTCCCGGGGGTGATGGCGAGTCACGGTATGGCTGGAATAAATTGCGACGGTTCGGATCTTCATCTTCATCTGCGCCCGCGGCCATGAATCGAACGTTCTTGGAAGGCGGGTGCTGTGGGACGGGCTGTTTCAAGTCGGGCGATGCATTGTTTGCCCTGGCAAAGTCGGAAGCCAGGGCCGGGTCATTGGGTGAATTCAATGTGGCACCAGCACTACCCTCGCCGTGGAATTGGATCGACAGGTCGCGGAATTGAATGCGCAACTGATCGAGTTGGTCTTTCCAGTCCGCCGCGTCCTCATCATTTGCCTCCTCCAAGCGCCGTTGTTCTGCCTCCGCTGCTTCGATTCCTTCTCGTAGAGACTCTAGTGATCGGGAGATCTCTCCATCTTGGCTATTTGACTCGAGGCTTAGTGAAATGGCCCGTTGTCGTTCCAGAAGCGAGAGCTTGATATGATCTGCGAGGAGAAAGAGCTGGGGGGGGTTCGTCATCGCGGAGTCTCAGTATCGTAGATTGACAGGCAGGATTTGTATGCGACAGGTGAAGGGGGGAGTGGGTTTGTGATGGCTCGAATCGCACTGGGCAGCGATGTGCGCGGTAAGGCTCCGATGCAGCAGAAGAACAAGGGATGGCGATCGTTGGCGGATGTACACGTCGAGCAGTCAGACGTGTGAAGAGGATATTTCCTCGGGCAGTAAGCAGCAAATAACAAGTGTAACCGACGACTCTATGGAGAGGTGAGATGGTGAAGATGACGCCGGAGATGATGCAGTGCCGGCGACGGTGATAAAGCCGCGATGATTGGCCGGGGATTGATCTGCCGCCTTCCGCTTCCGCCGCCGCCAAAACCCCCCGCAAGAGACCGGAAATGCTCCATCTTCCCGACTAACACAACAACGACGCTCTACTGCAAACTTGCTGCACGAACAGGGGTCTTGCAGAAGTACGCCTTGTATGCCTCGTTTTGGGTACTTCTGGGTGTTTATGATCTTGTGTTGGCCTCCGCCACCAGCCCTCGGTACCCCTCGACTGCACAACAGACGACCTTCTATCTGAGCAGCAGCCGGAATTTCAGAAACTCAACTAGCATCCAAAGCTTCGATCCGTGACGATGGATCTCGAAGAACTCCTCCTGGTGGAGTCCAGCTGCACTGACGACGAGATCGTAGATCTCCGTGCATTGGACTACGTCTCCGGCTACGACACCCATCTCATGTGTCCGATATGCCACTGCGCCCTAATACGCCCAGTACGCTTGCAATGTGATCATGTGTTCTGCCAGAAATGCCTGGGTTCCGCCGTTACCAGTTCCTCTGGCAGAGACGACTTTACATGTCCGACTTGCCGCACACCGACACAAACTGTCTACACAGATGTACCTCGACTTTTGATCAATATGTGTGATGACCTCCGGGTGAAGTGCCCATTTTTAGGGGAGGGATGTACGGAGATAATGGCCAGAGGCCACGTCGAGTCACATGTTGACAAGTATTGCGGCTACAAACTTCTGGATTGTCCGAGTGAGACTTGCGACAAGAAGACTCGGAAAAAGGACCTCGACTCGGATGGTAAATGCGTGCATGAGCTCCTCCAGTGCTCTCATTGTGAGGAGGAAGTCATGGAGCAAGATTACGAGGTGCGTCATACTTTGTAACGAACTCCTTTTGGACCTAGTACTAACGGGATTTTTCGGGATTTAGGACCACCTAAACAAGAGTTGTCTGCGTTTCGAAACGATGTGTCCACACTGTCAAGTAATGACATTGCAGAAGGACTTAAGAGAGCATATCGACGCCTGCCCAGATGCTATTCATTCCTGCACGGCGTCGAAATATGGATGCCCTGTCAAAATCAAACGAGCCGATATCGTCATGCATGAACAAGCATGCCCGTTGATCGCGATGGGGCCATACTTTGAAGCTCAGAACACAAGACTCGATTCTCTCGAGTTAACGATGCGGCATCTACAACAACGAAACGAGATTTTCGAGGACGGATTCGCCAACATCCGCTCCACTTTGGTCGACGCTTCTCGCGCTACGCCTGGGCAAACTAATAGAGACATTCTGGTTGAAGGCCAAACGGGATCGTCCGACTCACAGGAGGTATCCAGTGACGGCTCCCAGTCCAACAACCCAACAACCTATCTCCTCTCCCTTCACGAATCTCTCCGAGAGGAGGTCGGACAGCTATCGCACGCAATTACAGACCTTGACGCACGCGCCAGTATGGCAATCATGAACGAATGTCTACGAATTAAAGAGGACATGGCACATACCAACGCCGCCGTCAACAGCATGCGGATGCAAGTGCAATGGCTCATGAACCCGCGTCTCCACCAGGGAGAGCGAACATCTAGCGTACGCGCCAACGATACGAACGATTCCAGGACTGGACAGCTGGGATCGTCCACTGCATCTGCTACATCCGCCTCGCCCATACCCGGGCCGAGTAATACATCCAGGCCGGGTTTTCGACCGCGGAGACTTAGCGATAGCGCACGGGAGGGGACTAAACTCTAGTGTTGCAGGTCTCGCTTACTTCTATTTGCATGTTTGTTTTGCTTTGTTTGTCTACGACACCTCATGATTTACGACGATGTATACGATAGATGGCGGATCCCTGGGTCGGGAGTAATCATGGTATATTGTACGCTACGCATCGAGTTTGATACAAGTTTGTGTGCTCTGTATATGTTGGCAGTCTTCACATATTACAAATGGGATATGGTCATTCATTAGAATTTAGATATACGATACTACCCCAATTTCATAGTGCCAGGAGTGATCAATGGTCGCTGGCAACTGATAGACTTCCAAATATATATCTGTCGCAGTAGTCCCAAGCTCAGCTAATTTCTCCCCATAACCAACTCGACGAGACATGAAATTCAAAAAAAAATTAAAAGAAGACAAAAAACCATCTTGAGCACAAGAGCGTAAAAACAAAAAAAACAAACAAAAAAGTGATCAATCGTGATCGTCTTCTGAAGAAGCCGAACGCGGGGGTCGAACCCGCAACCTTGAGATTAAGAGTCTCACGCTCTACCGATTGAGCTAGCCCGGCTGGGCTTGTTGAAAGCGTCTTTTCATAGTGTACTATAACCTATTAAAACTACCAATGCGCTTGGTAACTTTTTGTGGAACCCGATTTATGGGATCGTACCAGACATGAATTAAAGAGATGGAAGTTAAAATGGATGAGAGTCACAATGAAGTAGTTATTAGCGAATATGTCGTGTATCTTGTACTTGTTATAACTACAACTACTTACATACATACATGACCTATAGTTCTAGGACAAAAGTCTACTCCATTTAACGATGTGACGGTTAGCAGGCGGCCGAAAAGGGCTAACTAGTTACTTCGGCGGCCGTTCTAGGAGTCCTGCTAACCAACTCCAGTCTTGGCGTCAGATGAGCATATTCCTACGGCCACAGGCTTTCCCTCCACGCCAAGCCACGGGTTTCATGTCCTTTGACGCTAGTCTCAAATGGGACATTTGTTGCTATTTTGTTCAACATCATCGATCTAGACGTTCTCACTGCGGTCGCTGCGGAGGGGAGCCCTTTGTTTGCCAGTTCCCCGCGGGCTGTGTCGACCATGGCGCCTTGCTCCCAACCAGTCAGATCTGACGACAGAGAATCAGACTGATGCCAGCTCTGACCTGACCGAGATCTTTTCAGACAACGGATCTGATAGTGACTCCACCAGTGACCTGGAACTCGATAATGAGGATTCGGATGATGAAAATAAACCTGGCGATGATATCTCTGATGATGAGGGCCAGCTGCCTCCTGAACACTATTTGGCCCAAGCAGAGAGCTTGAATGTCTCCCAGCTTCAACAGCAGCGGTATAGCGACGGCACCCAGGAAAGACTTGATGAGACCTGCATGTACTGGAATAGGTAGATAACTCTCTTGACCCTCAGGCTATGTTGGAAGCTCATCGGTGGCTCCCTGGCAGATATTGTCAGTACATTGGTGTCGACTCGGTAGTCGGTGCAGCACTGACAATGCATCTCAGACTCAAATGAGACAGTCTGTTTCCTGTATGCATTTTTTGGCTGGTGGTGCGATATCCATCACAGCAAGAATGGTTGGCACTGCCCAGGCATTGGATACAAGAGCTCATTTGAGTCATTCTGGAAGTTGTGGCATCTTGTTCTGAAACAGGAGACGGCGTCAGGACTGAGCAAAGGTATAATTGTCAAGGTGCAGGGTGTGAGTATATAATTCCCCTCTGCTCTAGTCAAAGAAGGAACAGCCGCTGAGGAATGTGTAGGTCATTGCCATTGTCACCAAAGAGAAAGGCCTAGAGATCGACCAGCGGCCAAAGAAAAACATGTATATTGAAAATGTTGCTGAGTTTGCACGCGCTCTCTTGACCACTACTGAGATGACATTTGACTGCAGCTGGCAGTGCATTCAGATCCTTTTCTTCTGTCAGCTCACAGCCATCACTGCAAGCTGTCCAGGGACGCTCCTCCACCTTCGCTATTGGGACATAGCTGTCACGGAGCAGGGATTCTCGCGAGCTGTATAGCATGTTGATCACTTTGGCCTGTTTGGCGTAGGACATTCACTGAGCATTCGCTTAAACCCATCACACACACTAGATAGCTCGTCGCCGGCAGGCCTGCCTTTTTCCTTTCTCTCCTCATGTAGAATTTCGTCAGATAGTCTACCAATATATATTCATATTGCTCGAGACCGTCACAATAGCGCTCACCCTGATCCGAGATCCAGAAGGCGGATGCCCTCGTCTGTTTATTTTCTTGAAGCCGGACTTCACGAAGAGGTGCCTTGGGAAGAAGGCTGCGTAGGTGTTCTCATTCTCCTTGGGAGCCGATTGGCTGACGGAATTGGATAGGAATGAGTTTAAAATTCCAGAAATCATCCTTGATCCAACTCTGGTCCTCAGTCCACAATTCCTTGTCCACCCACCAGTTGACTAAAATCCAATTCACCTAGGTTGACACTTTCTAGTCCCAGGCAGGAGAATCTCTCCTGGGCTAGACTTTCCTGCATTGTCAATTTGTCATTCATCTCATTCTCAGACACTCCCTGCTCAAGCTCCTTCAATTCAGGGGTTGTGGACTTAGTAGGACAGTTCTGAGCAAGGTGTCCATATTCCTGGCAGTGGAAACATCTACTTCTTTCATCAATCAGTCACAGTTGGTTCCAGTATGGGGCTCCACTGAGCCAATGTTTCAGGGAGGGGTCAGTTCCTTCCTGATGGTGGTTCCAGGTTGATTATTTCCTTTCATGGTCTCCTTGTTGGTTGAGTTAAAGTTCTGATTCTTCTGAGTCCAGTGATTGATGATCTCAAGGCAACTGGTAGTCTGGGAGACAGCACTGGAGAACTCTTGGAAGGTACTGTCCTTGGTTTTGTCAGAGATGCACTGTGTAAACGCCGGAGTGTAGGACTTTAGGTGTTTATATAGTTAAACGACCGTTTCGGCTACGAATCGTTATCGGATCGTTATCGTAGATATACCTGTAAGCAAAAAGGGTTTATGTAGGGTAATGAACGAATCGCTTGATTCTCTATCTATGAGCACAATAGTCTATTTGTACCTGAGCGTCTCGATGGTGTGCCGATAGCGAGCCCTTATCCAGAACTGTCGACGCTTTGGTAACGTATTCAACGGGCGAGCGGGTCACACGGGTGAGCAGGTCACCTCACTAAACATTTCGAATTCAAGTCGATTTTTATGCACCAAAACGCCATTATATACAAATATCAATATATCTCATCGATTAGGACAGTTATTTGATCTATGCCCTATTTCTTTACACCCCCCACACGTTGGTAGTCGTCGTTGAGCTGGTTGTAAAGCTGGCTCAACCGGTCGACGCGGAACGACTTCTTGAGCTATTTGAGCCTCAATTGGCAATGATATTAGCTCACGAGCCTCCTGAATTGATAGGCTGCCTTCATGTTCTAGCTGCCATCTAGACCTAGTACGCTTTTGTTTTTGCTTCTCATTGGCAGCAGGTAGATCATGGTTTTCTTTTGTAAAAATTGCAGCACTATGTAGCGCTAGTTCACACCCCTTGATTAGCTGGTTGAAAGCTCGATTGGTAGGGGTTGGTGATGTCTGTGAGCGTTTTTTCAATGCTTCTTTGATTGATGAAGCCTGCTTTTTAAGCTGAATAAGGTTATGAGGTGTTGTTAGTGACCAGGCACTGTCACGGGCTCGGAAACTAGCAGATAAAACGAATAATTTTCATATATGGACTAGGTAGCCTAACAACGAGAATATCGAATCTGGGAAAGAGGAAGAAAAGGAAATCTATCTGGGCGATGAACGGTCTTTATAGACATTTGTGTGGTGCGGCTTAAGCCCTTGTTTGCCCATATTGCTTGTATGGCATCGTTTGACATGTTGGCGCTGTTTATCTGGCGTTAAGCCGTCACAGTGGCCAGTCAAAAAGAGGAATGCCATGCTCATCAAACCAATTCTTAATAATATTGGCTGTATGTATGGGAGCATTATCTTGCATGAATTCCATACTAGATTCCCATATAACAGGTAGATAATCCTCAATAATTTCCAAATATGACCGTGAAGAATACCCTCTTCGAAGTTCGAGCAAATTCCTCATCCCGACTCATTTGATAGATTTCAGTATGGCCACCACCCCAGATCGCTGCCCAAATCATGATAGATATTCCTTTGCTTTTGGTGTATGGAATGATATGCTTTTTT